ATGTGGGCAATTTGTTTATATTTTGCAACATGACCTTTTCTGACATAACTCTAAATAAAATGTGAGGGTTGAGAGCTGAGGCACAGTCCTTCTCTGTTAAACTAATAAAGCTGGCTGTTAGAATGTATCCATGCTGCCCAGTGTTTGGTTTCTATTCTCAGATATGTATTGCACAGAAATGGAGCCATTTTGTCAGGCTATTTCTTCCTGGTTGGCTGGAGAGAGGAGGGGGGTTTCAGGAAGTGTTTCCTATTGTATGAGCACTTTTACTCACTGCACTTAAGAACATTGCATTGTAAAGGCCACTGAGGCAGGTCTTTAGCTGTCATCAGTATTTGCTCACAGAAGTCTTGTCATGCATATTTTAAGCCTGATCTTGAAAGCTTTCAGATTTTTTTTGCCCTTAAGTGTCTATCCAGGTGTTACCTGAGGTGTTTCTTGTTTGTCAGACAAGTTCTCTTAGACATTATTGACTTACTACAACTGGATTTGGAAAGTCGAAACAGCTTTATTCCTGATCTTTGTGATGGCATTCTTTGTTGCCTATGTCAGGCTACTTCAGTTCTGTTTCCTTTCCTATACAATGGAAATAATTGTGCTGAGGGCCTTTGGAAAACTCTCTGAAGTTATAAAGAAAATGGTAGAACAGCTGAATGGTGTGGCTGCTGGTTGTTGTTACTTGTGTGTGTAAGTTTTGGATGTGGTAGCTTGGGAGCACAGGAAACAGTGGAGGTTCTGTCTTGTGTCATCAGCTTTAGTCTTCTGTTTAGGAAAGGCATATCATAAGAGTTCTCAAAACCCATGTCAAACTCTATTAATCTAGTTACAGCTTTAGCCTACTCTTTTTGAAGACAGTTCCTTAATTTCACCTGCTGCAGGTAAAAAGCCTCATCCAATTTTCACAAAATAGTTCTTTGTGGCAGGGCAACCATTGTCTTTTTGTTTGCACGGCACTTCTGCCTCTGTTATGTGTTGAGAGAGGTGTCATTCTCAGACTTTTGTTATGTGAAGCAGAACAAGTGAGGTTTTTTTTTTTTTTTTTTTTTTTTAAGTACAGAGGCTGAGAGTGTTTTTCATGCTGCTATAAGTGAGATTTAAAAACAACCTTTCCTGATTAATTTCAGGATTATATTTGGTTTTCTTCATGGCTATTTCGGTGGCCTGCAATTACTGTGTGATTAATTTGGATATGCAAGTACCTCTCTTTCCAACTGTCAAACATATAACTTGCAGTAGAAACTCTCTGAAGAGCATATTTTTACATTAAGTAATATTAAATTCCCTCTGATTGCTCCAGACCTCAAACCTGATTAGTTTTACATAGAGAATCTTTTTTCCAGCCCTACCGCATTAATAAAATTACTTAATAAAATTAACCATAGCCAGACCCTTAAGGTATTTCCTCTTGGTATCTTTCAGCACCATTCTGTTAACACAACTTGTTAAATTATTTGTGCAATGAGCTGATCTACCTGTCTGAATTTGTAATTCTTGGATCAGTCAACATATTTTCTAGCTTAATACATAAACCTTATTTTTTTGTACTACTTTTCTGTGCCTGCCATGCCCAGTTTGGTAGATTATCGGTAGGTTGTTATTATTTGGTAGATTATTAACAGTCCCTATAAATGACATTTATAATTTCAGAGTACTTAGTTATTCTTAGGTTCTCTATGTTTGGACACATAGAAATCTGCATAATAACAGATATATTGGAAATTTTAGTAAATATAGAAAATAACAATGGAAAACTTTTATCACAAGGATTTGCAGTACATTCCTTGATAAAAGATTATTAAAGATTTTTTTAGATAAAAGGATCATATGGTGACATATCATATATGGTGATAGGCTTGAGATATTCCTTGCCTGCTGCTTTCATATATCTTTTTGTAAAGTTCAGGTAATTGTATTTCCTTTCTTGATGTATCCGAAACAGTGTAAAATTTAAAGACCTAAAGGTGTTCTTCTTATTCACTATAGATGTGGATGTGGCTCTTGGGCTTGACCTGTTGCAGCCTGGATACTTTTTATTTGAAAGATATAGAAATTTGCAAATGCTTTTGCTGCAGTGTGGAGCCTTTCAAAGTTACTCATTACAGAAGTGAGGACAACCTTGTTTCTGTGCTCAGAGTATGTGATAGATGATTGTGCATGTGCGTAGCATTTGTTTCACATGTAGGTTGCTGTCTCTCTGTGTTGCCTATGTATCTCTGCCATTGCAAAAGTCTCACTTTGGATACCTATTTTTCGTAAGTTGAAAGAAGCAGAAAGAAGAGAGAGGGAAAGAGAGAAAAATCAGAAAAATTAATACAAAGTTTCATTGAGCTAAAGCAAAATTCAGATCTGAGTCCCTGTTTGAGAAACTTGAACATGGGTCATGCATCTGTGTGCATAATGTGTTACACCAATTTTATACAGAATATTGGAAATTGCATGAAAATTCATAATTTCAGAGCAAAGTGATATGCTGATCACCTTCAGTCCTACTGGATACACAATTAAACTGGTGTGCATTCAGCAAGAGAATGGATATGTGGAAGACACTTGAATTTGAAATATCAACTATAACTTTAAATTCTGCATTTGTACATGAAAACCGAAAAGGCTCCAGGTTTAATGTGTGAAGGACCATAGCTCAAGATCCCACGTATCTTTTACTGCTGAGATCAAGTATTTGGCTGTTTTACAGACTGGAGTCTTCTCCCTTCCCTTTGTTTGTTTCCAACTCCACCAAGAAAATTGAAGCTCCCATTCTCCTGATGCCCAGCATAAGAAAAGAAATCTAGACAGTCACAACTAGTTTGTCCTCACAACAAAGTTTCTTTTTGCCAACTCAATTCTGTCCAAAGAATGAATGGGTTGTAGGGTGATTTCTTCTCTGGAGGCAAGAGGTGTAACTTCCAGGAGAGATCTGAGTTAGTAATCTTTGGCCAATTTTACCAGTGAGGTATTCTGATGTTCCTCTTACTATCTTGCCTTCCTTTCTAACCTGGGACTGTCCTCTACCAGCTCAGTGATTGGTGGCATTCTCCTGAGAGACTCTGGTAACATATTATGGGGGTGGAGTGTGTTTTTTGGGATGGGTTTAATTTCATATTAGCGTGTTATTTTGATTACAAAAGTGCCAGGAAATGTAGAGACACAAATAAATTCTCATACTGGTGTACTGGAACAATTAATCTGTGTACCTGTTCCAAAGACATTCAGTTATCAGGGTACAGGAAGCCAAAGGCCTTGGTAGATCTGTATAGCCAGCTCCAAATGCCTTGCCAGTGGATTGTTAAATAAAGGGAAATCCCTTAACTTGTGTGTAAGCTTGAAAGTGAGGGGATGTCCTGCTACTCTTTTTGGTTTTATTTTGTCTCGTGTTCTTCACTGCAACACTGGATCTACATTGCTTCCTCTTCTGTGTTCATTTTACAAACCTTTTTTTAGGGCCATGTAAGGATTCTGCTTCAGCAGACTAGTGGCAGTCTAAGCCTGTGTGCATGTGCTTGGTGCTGTAGGTCTGAACTGTGACAATTTCCCTAAAAGTCTCTAGAATATTTTTTATGTTTTTAAATTTTTCAAGAGCATTTTTGCACTGATTCATAAGGACTGTTCCATTTATATGCCATTAGAGCGGTATCAAACCAGACAATAGAAAGCATGGCTTATTTATTCAAATGCAGTCATGCAACCCCCACTTGTCTAGGAGCAGACATAATTTTAATTGCCAAACAAAGTTTGTTTGTGTTAGAATTATTGCTCCAAATGACCTTGGCAATTTGCAGTCCCCTGTAGCTAATAGCTTTCTGAATGAAAACCGTGGACCCTGAACTCTGGAGGTGAATAAAGTAATGCTTTGCTCTGTATTAAGAGGAATTTTCAAGTATGCTTTTCGTATTCTTTGATAACAACACTATTTACTAAAATAATAAAGTACTAACAGCTATTTGGCCTTTCTTATCAACAGTTAACCGTGATAAACCTTGTCTCCATAGACAGTCAGCATTTTTTAAATTCTAATTTGTTTAGTGTGCTCCCTTCTCAAGTGAGTAGCTCATTAAAAATTTTTGCTCTTTTCCCTTTTGTCTAATGATAGTTCTTTTAAAAGAAGCCTGCTGTCACATGGCTAGCAATAATCTATATTTTTTGCCTTATTTCCATTTCCTTTTTTGTTGTGCGTGTTCTTTGTTACATTTGGTTTTATATGTAGAATTGGAAAGAGACATTGCTTATTGAAATGGTCTATAAAGACTCCTTTGTCTTTCAAACTAAATTTCTTTTTGGTACCTTGGTCTTGTTCTTGTACAGGGTTTTGCTAACATCTCTGCTTTGTCCGTGCTTTCCTACACAGATACTTTCTGCACTTCCCCCTCATACATCTTGAGCTTTGACAAGTTGCTTAAAAATACTTTTAAATTAGAACAAAGGAAATCAAGTAATTTTAAACACTCTTTAAAAAAAAAATATTTTAAAATTTATTACATTTGTATTAATATTTTGTTTTTATCTTTTCCTGGACTTTGTTTCTGGCTTAATCCAGTATATCTTAATTCAGTATATTTTGCTGTAATTCTGTTATGGAAATTACGATAATAGTGATGATGAAAATTCCCAAGTCCGTTGCTTTGTGGGAACCTGCTTGACAGCATTAAAAAGCAGCCTTAATAAAAAAAAAAAAAAAAAAAAATTATGTTGATAAAAGTGCTAAAAATCAATGTGGTGATAAGCTGCTCTGTCTTGAGAAAACAATTTAAAACCCCTAAATCATAATATAATTTTCTCAAGGCTTTTTAATACTGAAATATACAAACAGGGGTTACATATATGAAGAGCAAAATATCATGGAAAATTTTCCCTTTGCAGAACTGAGAGGAGATTTCTACAAGTAAACTTTGAAAACATGCGTTAAAAATAGAATCATTGATAGTGTGAGATCTCTCTGAGTAGTGAAATAAATCTGTGGTGCATTTTGAAAAAGCAGTGCTGCTGTCCATTTTTGTCTATTTTAGACCCTCACATCAACGTCTGCACACAGAAATATCTGTTATTAAGCTGTTCAGGTCATTAAACTGGATGTAAGGCTGTGCAGAAAGAATGCATGAACAAAGTATCATTCATCAGTATGCTACAGTAAGTATCTGCCAGCTTCCTTCTGGCACTTTTACTCTGTTTCCTTCTTAAAGGAAATGAGATCATTTGAGGTAGGCTTGTCTTTGATGAAAGAGGTGTAAACTAACTTATATTTTCCAAAGTGTTATTGTTTAAGAGCTTGCCAGAAGAGCTTTTTGCTGCTAAATTTTTTATAGCCAATACTAAAAAATTGAATACTAAGAAATAGTCTTAAGAATTAAATAAATGTTTATTAAGAAACTTTTTGGATAATTGAAAGCTATATAACTGTTTGGAAGCTGATTTTAATTGCCAACTTCAACCTCTCTGAGGACAATTTAACAGATGGCAACTTATTAAACCAGTCCCTTAGTTTCTATGGGAAACTTGATATCAATTTTTATTCTGATAGATGAGAAGAATTAACTGGCAATTTAAAAATGGGCAATTATTATGGCTGTGATCTGATTGAAGTAGGTATGTTTGAGCAGACCATGACTCCAGGCAGTAGTGTGTTTATTTGGACTATTAAAAGGCCCTGTTTGCTAACCTTAAAGCAGTTAACTAAAATATAGCACAACTGTAACCAAATTGCAGTGAAATGCAACATGACGCAAAACAGAATCAGTCTTGCTTCAGAAGTGATGGTCATGAAGGACCTGATAAAGGAGATGAGCAAAGAACGACACAATTCTGTGGTAAGTTATTCAAGGTAGGGCAAGAATAGAATGTGAGTGACAACAACAACAACAAATTAAGATAAGTGAAAACATGATTGTAAGTTCAGATAAATATGTGTGTATAACTTATATCTATAAAATAATGACCTCTGCACTGACCTTTACCTCTCATAAGCTACTTCTCTGAAGACAAAATCTCAGTGCTTGGTAACAGTCAAAAAACCATATACATTAGGAATAAATGGGAAAACAATGGAAAATGAAATAAAAGAGACTTTGAATATACATCTGTGGCAGTCCCTTTTTCACACAAACTTTGAATAATATTTTTGGTTGTGGTATGTTCAAAAGGAAAAAATGTTCTGGAAAATCACCAAGGATGATTAAATTCAATTGGAGGAATGAATGAGTTCTGGTGCAGGAGTCTTCAGCCTAGACAACAGGGGTTTAAGAATTCAGAAAGATGTTGTAGAAAGCTCTACACAATTATCATCGGGAGTTTAAGTCAGGGAGTGACTGCTTTCACTGTCTTCCCATGCAAGAACTAGGAAGTAACAAGTGAAGCTCATCAGAAGGCAAACAAACCAAGCAAGAAGAGATGCTTCTTTGTGGAAAGTATTAAATGACGTATTTTTGTGCTACAAGTCTTATATGAGTAAAAAAAAGTCAAGATTACATCAAGGATAAGGTAAGCCCTGAGAAAAAATTGTGCTGCAGAATGAGAAAAACCCACACCAGGTTCAGGAAGTACACCAGACTGAAAACAATTGGAGTAAAGGAATGTGTTTGTAGGGGAAATACCACATATATTTACCTTGTCCATACTGCTTCCAGCTAGTGCTTGTGGCCATTCTTGGATAAAGAACACTAGGCCAGATGGACCTTTGGTCTAAGCCAGTACTAGAGACTCTTAAATTCTATCTTTATATAGAAGCAGTGATGAAACATTTATATAAAATATTTCATAAAAATATAAAATTTAGAACATTTATATAATAGATGGAAAGAAATTTATGCTGAATATAAGTTACTAGCTAAATACAAAGGATACAAAAAGGTGGAAAAAGTCCATTATAAATGGCCGACAGAGTTAAAAATAATAAAGCCTTTAAAATAAAGGATCATTTTAAAATGCAGGTTTTAGCTATAACCAAGGTAACTTCTGCCAGCATTCTTATTACAGGTCAATGGAATGTGGTTTCCAATCTAATCCTTTCCAATTTTTTGAAGTGTTTTTACATGTTGAATTTGTATATGAAATAAGTAAGCTCTTGTTTCACATTTGAGATTTAGACTGTCTAAAGTTACAACAACATATAAAAAGTTACAGTATTTTTGGAAAGAAGCAGAAAGATGTGTCCGTCCCACTTCCTTGAAATATCTGAAGCTGGACCACAGTACTGTTTAAGGAGGGTTTGTGGTCAGTGAGGTATATGGCAGATAGCTAACTGGCAGATTTCAATTGCTAACTAGCTGTTATCAAAGGGGAATCTCAAATGAGAATGCTTTTAGCAGTTTTCCCAGTGGCTAGTCCTTGGTTAAAGACTTGAACAAATTTTGTAGGTGTTCTAGTGGAAAAGATATTTGCTGGGAAATTATAGATACAAAGTTAATCCCAGAGGTAAAATGAAACATGGTGATCTTTCAACAAATACCCTTGGAGTGATTTCAGATTTCGGGTTAAATGGTCAAAGTCTGAAAGTACTTATTTTTAATAGTCAGATGTAAACAAATCAGCTTGTGAGCCTGAAAGTCAAATGATACTTATCACAGGATGAGAGCTGGATTTAAAAGCCAGAGAAATGTAGGAGTCATTCTAGTTGTTTCTGTCAGTGTAGCACTGGGGCAGATAAGGTGATGTCCTCGGAGGTTCTGTGAGGACACCACTGGGTGGAAGGAGGACGATACTCTCGGCAGAGGCTGTACAGAATCAGGGCTGATACCGGAGTATGGTGTCCCCATGGTAAGGTGGATTTGAAACAGATGAGTAGAGTTCAAGGGAGGCCAACAGAAATGATCCTGGGGATTGTAAAATGATGTTAAGCTGTTGGGGTGACAGCTATTCATTCATATGTGAGAAAGAAATTGTTTTAGTATTGCATAGAGATATTGCACAAGGAAGAGATATCAGTAAAGCTGGGACGTGACAGCAGTCCTGACAGAGATAAGACAAGGTCTCCAGGCTGTGGACTTAATTAAACTGCATCTTCCTAAAGGTAGTTGAATGCAGTAATATTTTTATTTAGAGGAGACATGGCCTGGATCAACGCTTTTAGCTGCTATAGAGAACACTTTTAAAATATCCTGCTCCTTTCAGCATCAGACTAATTGGGTGTGGGACCTAGAGGTGTTTCCCAGAAATATTTGAAAGGACTTGAGACCTTTTCACCTTCTTTGCAGTATGGCTGTATCTTACTCTGTGCCAGACTTCTTACTATCCTGAGACTGAAATTTTTTAATGTACTTGAATTCAATGAAGGGCTTTGGAGTACAAAATGCCATCTTATGCTATGCAGAGAGATGCAAGGAAGCTGCAGACAAAGTGAATATTTTTATGAAAAAGAGAGACTTACAACTGCTGAAGGTGAGAATACCATCATCATGGTATTCAGTTTCATTTCTACAGTGATTTTGTTGGATTTTCTTGACATCTTTCAAAGTTTTTACATATGTCTTCTCTGTGTGTGCTCATGAAGGCTTGCACACAGGGAGTCAAACTTCCTTCTCTCTCCTTATTATCACTCTTTCTAACTCTAGTTCATGACTCACTACTGTGTAGCCACTCCCTCCCTGGAGTCCTCACTGGTGGAATAGGAAGGAAAATCAGAATCAGGAATAAAGTAAAACTGAAGGGTTGAGATAAGAACAGTTTAGTACTTAAAACAGAGTAAATAATAAATCAAACACAGATAATAATAATAGCAGCAGCAGCAACAACAAAAAAAACCAGCAACAACACAACAACAGCAATAATAATCAAAAGGAAATTAATAGAGAAAAATAAATGCTAAAAAGAATGAGTGATGCTCAATATATAGTTGCTTACCACCTGCTGACTGATACCCAGCTGATCAGCAATCACTCCCTCCCAGCCAATTTCTCTCAATTTATACACTGAACAAGATGTTCTATGGTGTAGAATATCCCTTTGGCCATTTTGGGTCAGCTGTCCCAGCTGTCCCTGCTTCATTCCCTCCCAGGTTTTTGTCTCCTTCTTGCTGCCAGGGCATGAGACACTGAAAAATCCTTGACTTAGGGTGGTACTACTTAGCAAGAACCAAAACATCTGTGTGTTGGCAACATTATTCTCACACTGAATCTAAAACACAGCACTGTACCAGCTACTAAGAAGAAAATGAATGCTGTCCCAGCTGAAACCAGGACATGATCCTTTTGTAAATAGGAAGGATTGTAATTGTTTTCTTAGAGCATCTTGTCTTAAAGCTGTCCAGCATACTCTTGCCTTTGCCTATGCTTCATTGGTTTGTAATCTCTACTGACTGCAGGATCAGAGAGAACAGGAGACATAGATGCTATTTATAAGGTCTTCCTACATCTGCTGCAGTTGGACTTCCAGCACATAAAGGATTGTCAGTGTAGAAGTTAAGTGACATATGAAGGGTTTGCACAGGACAGTACTGTCTGTGATGTCCAACTACTGTTTCTTTTGACATTCTCAAATAACCCAATAGAAATGGAGCAACTGCAGAATCTGATAAAAAAGCTAAACTACTGTTCAGAATAATCACTGTTTCTGGCCTTACTGTCGTTGGTAAATCTATATTTTTGCCCTTAGATCAATTTCCTTTTTGACTTTGTGATTGACTTGTAACATGCTCACAGACATTGTGTTTGCACACTGAACAACTGAGCTGGAATTTGATTGCTTTGTATTACAAATTAGAAAATTACTATTTTTTTATTAAACAGCATTCATGGAATGAATGCATTTGATTATTGCAGAACTACTTTGAGAATATATAAATACCTGAAATTCATTATTGTTTCTTTAGGTCCTGGGTAATCTTCCTTTGTCCTGAGATTGTTCCCTTATTACAGGTATGACTCCGTAGATAAATGAATATTGCCTTTCTGTTCATCTTCTCTAAGATAAATAATAAACAAAGCAAAGAAATGGCAAATAAACAGATTTAAATAATCTTAATATTTCTATGACATATTCTTATATAGTTTTTATTATTTTATCTTTCTTATATAAGGACGCAGGCACATTACTGTGAAGCAAGTCTTTCTTTTCCCATTCACTGTTACTTCTGCTTTTTAATACACTTTTTAGTATTTCAGCATTTAAATTCGAAGAGCTATCCATTTTTCTCAACAAACAAGTAGGAAACCTAACAATATGATGCTTGAATGTGAGCTTGGATAGAACTACTTCAGTAGAGAAAATAGTAAAATGAGACACAGGGTGGGTATCAGCTGCTTATGCAGGGACCAGAAGAGTTCCACATTCCTTACAGGTGTGAACCTATAGATGTCATTGTTTGTCTATTAGTATTAATATTCCTCTGCAGAAGCAGCAGTTTCAGTTCTGGTGGATAAATTTCAAAAGCTGAACAAAGCAGAGAAGGTTTGGAGAAATGGTAAAGGCTTGATCTAAGGCAATATTTTAGTCCTTAGGCTAATAGTTTTTTTTTTTGTTTGGTTTTTTTTTTTTTTGTTGTTGTTGAATAAAATATTGAAAGGATTTCATGGTTTTGAAAGATCTTGTGAAGAGAGGATGTTTGTTTGGAGAAAGAAACTGTGTGTTGAAGAAAGCAAAACTAAGATCTACTGTCTGGAAGAGGAACTTATGTTTGAAGAGCAAAGATAATTAGCCATGATTAAACATAGATGATTGACTAACCATGAGGATTGTCAGAAAATGTTCATATTCATATTAACTTATAAGGTTAAGTAATGGTTATATTTCTATTGGCAAAATTTTATATTTTGCAGCAATTTGTGGATTCATGGTAAGAAAACTGGTCAACATGTTACGGAGCAGGTAGATTTGAGACAGACTTATCTACACTTCCCAGGAGTTATGGGTGGCAAAGAACAAAATTTATAGAAGTGGAACATTTACTGTTCTTCAGGGTTGATTATGTATACAGGATTGATGGCTGACCATAAGGATGCATTTCAGGCTGTGATGTGACTTTTGTCTGGGGGTGATCTTACATTATGTTTCTGTTTAAAGACATGCTACTGCTGTCTGCTGTGACAGTGCCAGGGATGTTCCTACCCTTCTGTGCTGAAGTTAACACTTATGAGTTGTGTGGGAAGACGAGGAGAGGACAGGATTCTCTCTTAAGTGACAATGAAGTTCTGAATAATTGGTTGAAGAGAATTGTGAATCTTGACTCATATGTTTAATGTCTATGAGGAGGTAAGAAGTTAATGGAGGTGGGTCGTAAAAGTACTTCTTATAGTGCTGGAAGTTATTTAAGATCCGATCCCCTGCAAAATGTTTAGCTGATCTAATTAAATTAGATCTTACATGAGTTTAAACTAATACAATTTCTGTGTATCTGGAGAAAACTTCATGGAAGGTGAGTTTGAAGAAGGTGATCTAGTTACTTCCTGTAAGATGCTGCCCAAGAGGCATATCAGAGAGTTTAGGCATATCCATCCTTGATGTCCATCCTTGATGCCCGTGTCTTAAGAAGTTGTTTTAAGTTAGTGCCTTGATAATTTTGGTTCAAGGTGTGCCAAAGGTTTGATGCATCACTGTGCACAAAATTAATGCTGAAAGAAAGGTGTCTCTTAGAGTATTCATCAAATTGTCCTGAAATATGGTCTGGTCCTTTTCTTATTGGTCTATATGTAGGCTACAAGTGGATCCTGCTTCTAAGGGCTGTGAATCCATAAGAATTTTCTAGGGGCCTTCTGCCTTTTCATGTAGGTAAAAATCTGCCTCCAGCATGAAACTGGAGTTTTCCAGTACACCAAGAGAGCTTTGAAGCAACAGACTTTCAGGTTTGGACATTTCTGCAACATCAAAAGGCTTTATGACATCCAAGCCCTTGCTTTGTAGGGGAGATGATCAGCACATCACTGAAACTGCTTCTCATGGCTACAGGGTGTATAGAGCTATACAGGTGTCTGAGGCTGGAAATCTTTGGGCAATAGAGATAGGGATATGGGAGAGCAGAAGTAGGGCACTCAGGAGAAAAGTCTCCTCTATAGCAAAGTCGTTAAGGATTTCAAAGGGCTTTAAAAGGTGTAAGTGGATTTTCAAAACAATTCCAAGTTTGTTATGTTCAGAACAAAAAAGGAAAATATTTGTGGATTGCTTAATGACTAGAAGTTGCTGGAAAAGGATGTTGAAATGTTACCTTTTGTCACAGCAGTCTCAAGCCTTTATTCACTTGTATTGGAATGGATTCTCCATTCTGGTTGTGGAAACCAATTCCACTTTTCTACCTCAGTTTTTAAAACTGGAGTTATAAGGAAAAGGTAAAATTTAGGCAGAAGCCATGATGGTAAAAATAAAGGAGATACAAGATAACACACATAGAGGCTAAATGTTTTTCCATATTTTAATTGGTAAAAGTGAAAATGTAAAAAAAAGTTTTCCAAAGACTATATTAATATAGTTCCTTTTTGCACTTGGTTTTGTTGCCAGTTATAATAAAAAAAATATGAGAAAAATTTTAGTGCTTAATTGGTCAGTTCAAAGCCAATATATGAGATAATACTGAAAATGTATTAAACTTCTTAAATGAAAGTTATGCTGCAATTTAAGTGCCTTTTGCTACAGAGAAAAATGGTCCTATTATAGTCTGGTTTTATATAGATAATGGATGCAATTCATTTGAAGAGGCTTTGTAATTTTGTTTTGGTCTATGAAATAGCATTTCATATATGCCTTTTGGCATTTTTTTATGCAAATTACTTTTTCATCAAATGCAGTTTTTGTAGTACTAGCTCTGATTTTCAAAAGATTAGCATTCAAAATAAATTGATGCATAAGTATTGAATTTGTGCAATTAAAATGTGCTCCAAGAAGAGAGAGGAAGTGGTTTGAGAGTCTGCTGAGATGCTTATTGTGTTTATGACTGTTGCAATGACAATAGATGCCAGTGTTGACCCTCTGTTACTAATTTAATTGCTCATAGGGATATAAATTTTCCCTTTGAAAGCAGTAAAGACAACGTTTTTATAGAATCAGTGGTGAACATTGAGGCATCCATTGCATTTTGTCCATAATGTAAAACATTCTCTCATAAAGATAATTAAAAATTTGTTAAATTACACATGGTAGTGATTGGGGTAATTTGTTTTTTGTGAGCTGGGATCAGAAGTGGACACTGGGCTTTTATTTTCTGTACAGTCAGAGGATGACTCTGAGGTCCCTGCTGGTTGGTGCTCAGGTTGTTTTGTGCATAGCTGTTGCAAAATGCAAGTAATTATTTTGTGACTCATGTATAACCTGTTAGTTATTTAAATAAGTAGAATATGAGTCTCATGTGAGGTTTAAATCAGGTCTGTTTCTTCTGCACGAGGCAATCTCTGGGTTGTTCAAGATAATAAAGACAATTTCTAGTGAATAGCACTTAGAGACATGTATTTCTTCCGTCAAATTAGATAGGTAGTTTGTATTTATCATCTCCTATTGTGGACAGTTTTGATCACAGTATTAGGCATTGCTCCTGTGAGGAAATTTATTAGGGTGCATGATTTTGCCTGTGCTATGAAATTGTTAGCACTTTGAATAAAGGCAGATCTTGACCTGCACTGAGCTCATTGCAGGACTGTTGCTGTAGAGACTGCATAAAAAAACCCCTGGAAAGTATGAAAACAAAAATCTGATGATTCCTTTGAGAAAATTATATTTTGTCACTTTCTAAATTAGTTACATGTCTTAAGTTACTCTAAAGATGCTTGGGCTGTACTCTTGCTCTGTATGTGTTGATATGATTACAATTAAGTGGTAATTAAAGGTAATTTGATCTCTGCTGATGCATATACTTCTCTATAAAAACATATATGTAGACTGTTCTACTGACAATGATGGAAATCCCTAGGGATGTGAAAACTTGTTACACAGAATTCCAAGCAAAATTAAAGGCAAAAGTTGAGTTTCCTCTTTATGAAGTTTTTTATTTTGTTTTGTTTTGGTTTTTTTTTTTGCCAAGTAAATACTGGAAAATGAATGGAAATAGATTGAGATTGATGGAAAATATGATGACCATGGCATAAGAAGTACATTTCTCTTGTTCTTCCCCCAAGGAAAAACTCTGTAGTAATTGAAATAGACAGAATGAATATAAATTCCTCAGCCCCGGTATTCTGTCTAGCAATGCTGTGGCCTGTGTCACTGCCAGGTCAAAATTTATTAAATGATAACAAAATAAAGAAAGATTAAGGCTGTTTAATTTCAGATGTAATTACAGAAATATATATTTATGTATTTGTGCTATATACTGTGATGTAGGAATTACTGTATGAAATTTATCAGTTTTCATAGGCTTAAAGTAAATATCACAGTGGTCTTTTGGTTGAAAAGTACTGCTTTCTTTTTAATTTTAACTACAACCCTGAATATTCTGTGTTCATAATTTATTTCAGGATAAGTAGAAGGAGGTGTTTTTTTTTTTTTCTTTTTTCTTTTTTTTTTTGCCTGATCAGCCTGCAAAAGGTGGATCTGGCACAGTCCTGTCTGTAGTTGTGGATGGGATATAGGAAAGGCTGGGGTACATCCAAAGGTGTGGGGATGATGGATAGACCTTTGGAGAACCAGTGTCACAGCTGGCAGGGGTTGTATGTCTGAACAACAAAAGACAGTGGGAAATCAAACCTTGTCTTTTCTGGGGCTGGTGAAAAAAATCAGTTAACTCCTAAGTTACTGATGCAAACTTTCAGTTGTGACTTCAGTTTCATACAGCTTTGTCTGGGGGCCCTGAGGTTTCTGGTGTTCTGTTTCTTCAGTTTTACGGAGTCATAGTATTTTTCTCTCCAGTTAAGTACATTGACAGAAGACTGAAAAAATGTAGTGATATAATTTACATTTCCAGCTGAAGTTTCAGAATTCAGTAGAACAGCCCTCACGTCAGTGTTTCTTTAGTTTTATTAGTGGATGTTTACAATGTCTGTTGTGCCTGTTATCTGAGCCTAGATTTAAAGCAGTTCCTGTTGCTCTTGTAGAGTTTTTCAAAACTTCAACAGCACAGTGCAGGAAAAGCAATTACTTTGAGGTGCATCTATACCAATTCAAACATGAAGCCGTCAAAATATAATTTTCATTTACCTTTTTGATAGTGTTTGTGTTGACCATGTTTTTCTAGTCTTTTAGACTATGAATGAAATGGAGCATCTTTTGCAGAATTGACCTTTCAGTTGAGTTTGGCAGCCTGCAGTGACTTAGTGTCATTTTGGCATCAGTTGGCATTTCTGTGGAAAATGTCATTACCAATGGCTCTGTTCCCTTAGAGACAGGCCTAGAGGGGAATGTAAGCTTGCATTATAACTTAAAGAAATTACAGTGATCAATACAGAGTTCTGGTATCAGTGTGCAGTAGCGAATACCGTATATGGTCCAGATTTGTTTTCCTCAGAGAAAGCTTAAGGCAGGTTCCATTATGAAAGGGAAGGACTCACTTGCTTTTTGGGCACTGTGTGCTACTTATGTATAGCCAGTTCTGTGGAATATTAATAAACTGCATCTCCTGCTTGTGGGTGTTCCAGAATGCCTGATATGATTGTTTCTGAAATTAAACAGTACTTTTGAGGCCTGGAGTTTACAGATGTTAATTCTAATTTTTAACTTTTGTGACATTTCTCTGTTTGAGTTGGGAAAAAAAATGTAGTGTAAAATTAGGAAGGAAGGAATTGGAATTGGTTTCATATGCCCCTGCTTAAATGGAAAAACGTTTAAAAAATGTCAGCAGAGTCATGAGAGTTATTCTGATGTTAGTATATCAAGAGTATCTTTTTTTTACCTTGTGTTTTTTTTTTCAAGGACACCACTGAAATGCTGAAAAAGCAGTAATCCCACAGTCAGGTTTGTTCCATTGGGATTTTTTTTTTTCCTTTTCTATAGAATTTACAAAAATTTAGAAGTGTAAAAGTAGGGTAAGTGGGAAAAAAATTTGTTTCAAATTCATAGCAGAGTAAGGATAAAAAAGGGATCTCAAAATGGTAGGTAATGGAAGACATACAGGTGGACTTTGTGCTCTGGAATATTGTGAATACAACTGTATCTGAATTTAATATTGTGTTGGTCAGAAAAGATACAACTGGGGATGCGGATGTGCAGTCCCATGCTCAAAGACTCATATTTTTGCTTGTCCCGTGGACTTTTCTGTGATCTTAGACAACTCATAATCTTCCTAGATAAGGGAAAAACCCTGTATGAAACAGAAGGTGCCATTCACATCTAAGAGGAGTTTGCATCCTGTGAAAAGGAGAACTAGAAAAATGTAAATGAATTATTACACTTCTGTGTTTATTCTTAGAAGAATCCGAATTGTGCAAAACAATAACAGAGCTGACGCTAGAAAAGTGGTGGAGTTCAGGACTTGATAAAGATTGACACCAGCTTATACTTAGAATATAAGCTGTTTGGGGGAAGGAAGTTTTGGCAGCTCTTACAACCCAGCATAGTGGAGACATAATCACAGATCAGGACCACTCATCAATGCTCCAGTAAAATCTGGAAGCATGGTTTAGAATTCAACCAGATATATGATATCAGTTAAGAATGTAAACATCATTAGAGAAACAGGAACGCCAAAGTAGGAAATTTAACCATATATATCCACAGACACTGTGGTGGTCTGGTGACATTCTTGATTCATAACTTTTACAGTTGATTTTCTTTTAATGGACAGAAAGAAAAGAAAGAGAGTAGTTAATAGAATATTCAGAGAGGAAGTAGAGAAAGAGAGCTGGAGCAAGAAATAGAATAGCTCATGGGTTAGAATTAGTTTAAATTTACTCTGGTCTATTTCTGTTCTAATGCTGTACTTGTGCATTATAATAGGACGTACCCAGGAAGCACCAAATGTGTCTAGAAATACAATACTATTTTCTTGATTTAAATTGAGAACAAGCATGTTGTCAAAAAGAGAAGGTATCTTTTGGGGTTCTTTCTGTTTATAAGTATAGTGTGACAAATGGAATACCCCTAAATCTCAGTGTTAGTCTTTCTTGTTCTACCAAGTGATTAAAGGGTTTACTTTTATTCTCTCCAATATTTCATGTGATTTACTAAAAGATCTTGAATGCAGTCACAGTACTTGCCAAGATTTCATTTCCATTGGAAACAACAGTCATCCTAAGTAACTTGTATTACTGTTGGTTATACTGGTTTGGATAGGAATGGACTTGAGTCATCATGTCTGTAACTCAGTGAGAACTGAAGACAAATACTGACTTTATTTATTTATTTGAATGCATGTAAAGTAATAAAATTTGTTTAGTGTGTTTGTTCAGAACAGTGATGGGCAAGTTCACTTCCGAAATCAACAGTACTATTAACCTTGAATATTGTGTGCAGTTTTGGGCACCACAATATGAGAAAGACTTGAAGCTATTAGAGTGTCCAAAGGAGGGCCATGAGGATGGTGAAGGGCATTGAGGGGAAGCCGTGTGAGGAGTGGCTGAGGTCACTGGGTTTGTTCAGCCTGGAGAAGAGGAGACTGAAGGGAGACCTCATGGCAATCCACAACTTCCTCATGAGGGGAATAGGAGGGTCAGGCACTGATTTCTCTGTGCTGACCAGTGACAGAACCCAAGGAAATGGCCTGAGGTTGTGTTAGGGCAATTAGGTTGGATATTAAGAAAAGGTTCTTCTCCCAGGGAGTGGTTGGGCTCTGGAACAGATGCTCAGAGAAGTGGTCACAGCAACAGCCTGACAGAGTTCAAGAAGTGTTTGGACAGTGCTGTCAGGCACATGATGTGACTCTTGTGGCTGGTCCTGTGTAGGACCAGGAGTATTTTGGTGATCCTTTTGGGTCCCTTCCAACTCAGCATATTCTGTGAGTCTGTGAATAAAGATGAAAGCAGTGTATCTCTTCAGTAGTGGTGGCTGTGTACCATTTCCATGTCAAAAATAATTGGTAGATTATTGGTAATTTATCATCTTCAGTCTAGTTTTGCTACAGTTACCTGATTCCATTGCTGGTAACGCTCCCTTCTTTCTTTGTATGGAGAGTTTCTCCAGCAATTACGGTAACTTTTCAGCAGTACTTGCCAGGGAGTTCAAAGATGAACTTGGAGGCACACATTTTGCTGATGAAGCTGTCTGTTGCATTGTTTACCAAATATTTTCTATTCCAAATGTTTGATTTTGTCACTGCTATGTGAACTTAAAATGTCCATGCCAGTTGTCATCCTGGAACAGTTCTTTCAAAGCAAAGGAAAACATATATATTACTTTGCTTATGTTTTAATAAATTACTTTTTTTTTTAATAACATAAATATTTTTTCAGCTGCATTTGATATTGTTGTTAAAAAAGAAAAGAAATGAAATAAGAGAGGAGAAGGGTTTATATGGTGAATGTTTTTCTGTTGATCCTTGTCTAATTTGCTTTAGGAATGTAGCATGGCTATAATCTGCTATTTAACAGGTACTCAGAATTTCCTCCACATTTTCTGCTGTATATTGAACTTCTGCAGATTGGATGAGCTGAAAGATCTGAAACAGGAATAGGGAATTTCTCCCTTCTGTACCATCAGTTCTTCAAAAGACTATTGCCTGCAGGTGATTCCTGTGTAAAGGAGACAGAAAACAAACTGTGGGAAACTGTAGAGGATTGAAAAAAAGGTGAAAAAGAACACTGGTGTTAGGACTAGCTCTTTTTCAGTGAAAATGGAGGAAAAGACAACCTGGACAAGGAGATTGGGACTATCACTTTGAAAAGAACCATTAGTGTTTGGGAAAAGGTATAACATTAACTTTGGCAGGGGGCTTGCTTGAGCCTGGTAAGACTGATGGACTGAGATTGTGGCAAAGGACATGAAAGTCTGTTCTTAGTCAGCTCAGGTGGCAGAGATCTGTGTGATGGGTTTAAATGCTGCAGCCTGGGTGGAGGCCATGTGAGTATCAGTACAGGAATTCCTGCTTTCTTAGATTTTGGAAAAATAAACTAGAAAATTACATACAAAATAGTAGAGAAAATGTTACTGTGAATACACAGACATATGACATACATTTGTAAGGTTAGGTAGGAAATGCCAAATTTCAGTTTATCTTGGCATCCTCAGTAGAGACCATATGTGTAGTGATATAGTTCTTAATCACATTCAGATGTTTTCATGTATAATATTTTAATATTTTTAATAAGCTAGCTACTAGCTGTATTGTCAGTGTCCATCTCTTGTCTTTCCACCCCATGGTTGTGTATCCAAGACTGATTTTTAGTTGTAAATCTGAAACATGAAGTTCATTCCAGCTTCCAACAAATTGTGGCTCATCTTGGTCCATGAAAAGTATCTGCCATAAACTTCGTGCTTGGGCCCATAATTGTTCCTCTGACTCCTTACTGGAAGACTGCTTTTTCTTAATTCTTATTATTGATTTTGACATTTTATATGAACTGATGTGAAAGTTGGCCTAGACCTTCTCAAATTCTACACAATGTGTAAATTTTCTGGAGACGTGTATTTTCTTTTTACAGTGCTTTTGTGAAGGGGTTTTTATTTGGTTCTGAAAGTAGAGCTTTTATCTGAGGAGTGACAAGCTGCGATCTCCAGATCAAACACTTCTGTTTTTTGTGTACTTACAATAATTTGCAGATTTAATTTGAAAATGAACGTTCACTGCTTCCTATCTTTCTTAGTAGTGTTGACGTAGAAAAGTATGAGTTTAATTGAGCTTCACAGAGTATGTTTTTTGTAAAGTAGCCTGCTCTGGTCATAGCCATATACATTCATTGTAGAAGTTGTCTTACTGTGTGCCAGCATCTACTTGGTAGGGCTAATCTGAAAAAGGCCATTGACCAAAAAACAGTAGAATTAAACTACCCTGGTTGGCTTTGCACTGGAGAATATTTGGTATATAAAGAAATTGTGAACTCTCGCATGCCCAGAGGGAGTGTGCTGCAGCAGAGTTGCAAGGTGCACATGTGGCACCTATGGAAGGAGGATAGCAGCAGGAGAGCAATGAGGATGATGCAGGAACCAACATGAGGTTAGACTGTAGGAGCAGTGGAACAGTGTTTTGCAGTTTTCAGTGTGGTTGTATTCATCTTGGTAGTTGTGTCAGAGCTGACCATTCTTCCCTTTCACCCTCTTCATCTCCTTGCCATAGAAGCCCCACACTAGTGCAGGCAGCATGCTGCTGATGTCCCTGTTGTGATGTCTCAGGCCAGCTCTGATTTGCAGTGTCCTGGGGTACACTGTGTTTTCTGTGTGGGTGGTCTTACCAAAACTGCCTCGGAATGGTTGTGTGGAGCTGCAGTCATGTCTGGGAATGGGCTGGGACAGCAAGGCCATCAGCTATGGTCAGACTAAGCAGACCTGGGAAGTGAAGCGTGAATCTTGATGTTCATTTGTTCCGGCCAGGGAATTTAGGATAATTTGGTGTATCCGGAGACTGGAGGCGGGATGGGAGGGCAGAGGCAGAGCAAGCGGAACAGTCACTCTGACATCTTGAACTGCTTTCATACCACGTCCTGTGCAAAGCACACACTGTGGCAGCACTCCTCAGTAAATGCAATCTGGCTGTAGGATTTAAGTAAAAAACATTTTTAACTCCACCATACAAGTACAAGAGCATGTTATTGAAAGTATCCAACAGTGCCTTATTTTCACAAATGTGTTCAGCTTTAGATTTTGGAAGAAGAATGAGTGTTCTGTTCTGCCAGCTTTTTCTTCTGTTTGTTTCTTCCATAAATTTGAAATGATAGTGGGGACTTTGTGCAGCCAAGCACTGCTGGTGAATAGATGTTGGAAAAAAGAATGAGAAGCCACAGTGGTATGGAGGAAATCATGTGGCTACAGCTATCTGTAGGAAAAATAAACATCCTTTTTCCCACTTCTCCACAAAAATGGTTTTTGTATCTGGAAAAAATATGGAGCTAAGGCAGATAGAATACTGAAAGGAATTAACATCTATACACAAAATACACTGCCTTATGTGAGCACAACATTTAACAAGCTATTTCACCTGAGAGGAAAAGTCTGTCATTGCTTTTGAATTTGTAAATTTAAAAAAATCAGTGGAAAGAAAAATAACAATATGGTCAAAAATTAAATTTAAGTTAAATTTCTGCAATATTATATCTAAAATTACGGACAAAAATGTGTATGGCTGAGCTGAGGACTGCCCCTTGTTATGAAATATTTTGTTTTCTAGATTTTTGTATCTGTTCATTCTTTCTTTTAATGCATTATTTTGTTTGCCATTCTCTATCATTATTATATTAAAAAGTGTTTATTTTGTATTTTTTCAAAATCATAAGCCGATGCATGGAAGGCATGAGATTCAAGCTTACCATTTGAAAGATTTATCCGAAGATAAGGATGTGCTTTAAGGATTTTCTTTAAAAATGTGCATTGTTCTAGCTGTTGCCAGCCTCAAATTCAGCAATAACAAGAGTTTGTGTCTCCAAGTGGAGCATTTTTTCCAATAGCATAGGATTCTGAATTAATTTTTAATGAGAGACTAAGCAGAAGTCATTAATATTCACTCAGAACAAAAGAACTTTACTAATGTCAATTCTCACTCCATTTTTCTCTTGATTCCAAACACAGTCCATCATTCTGAACAGATACTGTGCTGGACTGCCTAGCAAAATGCAGAACAAAGTCTCTGTGGCTGGTGTGTTCTGAACAAAGCCTTCTTATTTATTTAAAAATACAAAATACTTTGTTTTTTATTTATTAAATGAAAGATCAGGACATCTAGGTGTCCTGAAATGAGGTGATGAGAAACTAAGAAACCATGTGGACAATCACAGAGATGTCTGATTAAAAGCAAGATATGGACAGTCTTTGATTTTTCCAATGAGTGACATAGAAGAGATTTCTGCATCCTTATGAATCTTAAATATTGGCAGACAATATTTGGCATAATTTGACTCAAACATGATACTTTTTCTTTCATAATGAGCACAGGTGTGAAAACCTTTTGTCATCTTCTGTTTAGATTTGAATCAAGACAAATAATGCATATTTCAGTATATAGTAGCTTATAGAGGAAAATTGTTCCATTCCCAATTATTTGTTCCCATGGCTAGAGAATATATGGATATATTTTTTCCATACCAATGAGTAAATTAACTTTTTTGGCAGAGTACAATCTGCAACTCAGAGTGCAATAAACTAAACTGTACTGTGGATAGCACATCTTGTAAAAGAAGGAAGCCTGGATTTTAGTTCTAGACTGAAATTTGCCTAATGATCTGATATTCTATTTATACCAGATTGTTTTAAAACTCTGCTAAATTTAGCCTGTTTTCCAAGTTCTTCCCAGCTCCAAGCAAACTAGTTTTTAACTCTAGAGTACCTATAATGATTGCATTGGCAATCAATACATATAAGCTTTTTCATCTGTGAGTGAGTTGTGTTAGGGCTTGCATGAAATGGACATGTTAATAAAGAGATACGTTTTTCATAAATAAGATTATTTTGTAATGAATTATTGAAAGTAGTAAACTTCAATTCATCATAGTCTGTAAAAGAAGTCAGGTGGTGTTAAACTGAGTGAAAAATATGTGCTAAACTGTAATTTTAGGAATATCTGCATTGTGCAAGTAAATGTTCATACTTTTGACTAAAATACAGATCTGGAAAAAGAGAAAGAAACTAGGCTGTTGTTCCTTCAAGAATAATATTAATGCAGATGCCAATTATGCTGTTTTACATTGCTTAATGTTAAATAGCTATCTGGTGAGTGCTGAGACCCTGTGATATTTTCTACTATTTATGGATTCTGCCAGTTTCCCACATGAGAATTGTGTATGGCAGAGAATTTCTCACATATTTGCTGTTAAATGTAATTCTGGTTTGGTAGAACTGGATCCTTAGGGATTAGTTGTGTTGTCCTTATTGATGGAAAGATAATGACTATCTACACTGGAAGAAAACTGTTGTTTTTTATAGAACATAGAACATACTTATTTTTAAACACTCTTTTCTTTTGTGGCTAGAATACAAGGAATGACTAGTGAATAAAAATATCATTAATCTGACTCTTCAGCAGAATTAATTATAATTTAATGGACAGAAAATCCATGAGGAATGTCCATACTCCTACATTGTTTGAAAATAATTTTAAACCAGATGTAACAATGGAAGTTCACTGCTTTTCCAATGAAAGTAAAGTAGCAGAGACTGATAGACTTTTATGTAACAAAAGTGATTAAGTTGGACAAGTTCACCTTGATTTCTAGATATGAACAAAATCTATCTGCTTGCCTAACTTGTATCTGTACATCTATTAAGTTAAGCTGGGATAAAGATAACAATTTGCAGTTAAGATGCAGATAGAAGCAGGCCCTCAAAGAAAAATCTAATTGAAGTTTATGAAGTTAAATCCTAATATTTTGTTTGTCTCAAGATGAGAGACTATTTATTCTCTGTTTTAAGATTTTTAGCAATTTAATGTCTGGCAATTTATTGGCCTTTTTGAAAGTGAATGACAACAATATAAAACTTTAATTTCAAAAAGTAAAACTTGTATTTTTAACAAAGTTATCAAAGTTAATGAGCATTTAGCATGCACTTTTTAGATTTTAATCTCATCATTAGACTTTAAATGCTGCTAGTCTGATATCCTATCTCTGTCTGCCTTGATATTATGATGATATTACCAAATAATGTTGAGAAAAGCTGCTGGGTCTGGCCCACCAGTCCATCATTTTAGAAGTCCTGATATGGAACTGAAGGGCATTTTGCTGAAGCTGTGTACCCTGGTGTAGACAAGAACAGAGGGTTCATGGGCCAGAGAAGAGTCTCCTGTGGTGATCACACACTAAGGGCTGGCTGTCTCAGTTCTGTCTGCTGCTCCTAAGGCTGTTTGTGTGTTTAATGATGGTGAAACAATGAGATTAAACTCATTATTAGCTTTTCAACCAACAAAGACTAGCATGACTTGTGCCCTGATACTAATTTTTTACCTCAGCTTGATTTTTAGCTGTAGAAATTTCTGACATCTTAAAAAATCCCTGTGGGTAGCATTAGTCAAGTACTGTGCACTACTGGATGTTAATATCCTAGGATTTAAATATAAGCTTGCAGGAGCTGAGTCTGATGTATTTTGAATGTCTACATGGAGCATATTATAGCTGCATCTTCCTCTTGCAAAGAGATGTTTAAAATTGTTGGAAGTAAGTGAAATGCGCCGTTACTTCTGGGGCTGCAGAGCAGCGTCCCTGGATGTCAGGTTAGGCACTTACCGCCCCCGGGGCTTGCAGTTTTGTATTACAGATTATCATTATTGCGTACACTTTTCTGATGAGATTGGGAAATTTCTTTAGCTGTAGTGTAAAGATGCCAAAATACATTTACTACAGACCTTAAGGCAAGTATAATTCTTCCAGAGGCAGCCTCAGGCTTTGGAGGTTTTTGTGCTGAAAGCATGCTTAGGCTTCCCATGAGATCCTCAAAGAGATAAAAAGACTAAAAGCTCTTCAAAGCTAGGCCTTAGGCCCTGACATAATTTAATTCTCTGGTGATGGTTTTTGTATGTAAAAAAATGAATAAATATTTACAAAAATTTAAATAGAAATGTACCTAACTAGCCATGAAAATAACTTTTTAATATCACCCATTCTTTTGAATTCAACATAAAAACATCTTCATATAACTTTAATTTAGACATCAGATGACCAGGAAAGGACATGGTATTTTCTCTCTCTCTTTCTATATGCAAAATTTCAGCAAGGTTATCTTGTTTTTTTCATGCTGAATAGTTACTCCTGATAACTGAACTGACATTGAAATTAATTTGCATAACAAGTAACTATGATGTTATTCTAACTCTATTCTGCACTTTAACCCAGTCACTTACTAATTGTAATTTAGTTTAAGGTCCTGAATTAAAGAGCTGCTCTGTGTTCTGATCTCCTCCCACTTTTCCCTTTCTTATTTTTTAGGCTATATTAACACTAGATTTTATATAACAAATAGCAAGATATTCTAGAAAATTCCCCCAATCTTCAACACTGTGAGTACAGTATTTTAAGTTAAGAGTTAATTTATGCTGGAAATGACTTAAGAGAAATATCACTGAAAAAGAGCCAGGAAAAATCCTGTTGAGAATCTCTATGGTATCAGCATTAAAACTGTAGGGTAGGAGTCAAGAAGTCTTGATTGATTGCAGGCTTCCCTTCTTACTGTGGAGATGCTGCTTTGCTTCATGGCTTCCTGTTCTCCACCTTGTAAAACAGAATGATGGAATCATCATATATCTTCAGGTATATAGCAGGGAGCAGCCCACTCTGGTAGCTATTTATCCTCTTCACAAAATTCCAGATGTTCAGAGGAGACTTGAGATAGTTTGTTCCCCAAATCAAATCTGCTGCACCTCTCAGACCTCTGTTCGTACCATGATTGTCAATTGGCCATGAATCAGCAGCATGATCAGGAGCAGGTTTTTTGGTCAGGCTTACTTATCCCTGGCTGTTCTTACTTAAGCCTGACTCCAGCCTAGTCTTCAAATGCCTGAGGATAAGGAGAGAACTTGGTCTACTCTGTGTCTGTATATTCAATCAAAAGCTTTATCCCTCTATTTATAAAATTCTTTAAATCTTATCCACAGGAAACTGCATGAGTTAAAAGTATTTATTGCTCTTTAATATTATTAATAGCAGCAAGTGATCAAATCTGGATAATTTGTAGTGTACAAAACATTGCTATATAATTTCTTTTGCTTTTCTCCTCTCAGGAGGTGCTTACTGTGGAGTTTCACATAGTGCAGGCATTAGCGTTCTTTGATTTGAAGAATTGTAGTTCAGTGTGCTTTTTTAAAGTGGTAACTTAGATATACTGTGTTATGTGAAGAGCATCTTAGGGTTATATTTTCATTATTTATTTATAGAAATTATTTTTTCCTATAGTAAAATATGAGAACTGACATTTTAATAAATATTATGAATGTTCATAATAGATTAAGAAGCATGTTCACCTAGAAGTACCTGTGTTGAGATAACTCCCAAGTTTAGATTCCACTGTCACTGGAATTAGTTGGTTCAAGAGTAACCAGGTCACAGGAGCGACTAAAAAGTTAACTGAGGCAAGAAATTCCAGTTTTATGTCCACTACTGGTTTCAAGAAAACCATTCAGATTAGAAGTAAGATAATGCTCTAATGTGAAAGCAAATTAAGTAACTGATAAAATGTAATTGCTTTATGTAATTTTTTTTTTTTTGTGAATACGGGAACAAAATTAACACAATTTAGAAATAAGACATTCTTCTCCTAAAATCTTCAATGTTTGTTTGGAAGGTGCTAGATCAACTTTTATTTGATTCAATACAAAAGAGATTTTCCCAACAGTAAAAACTTTTTAAGCTGAAATTTTGCAGCTAAACTATAGACCATGACTGAAGTAAAAGATAATTTTAAAAGACTAAAAAATCAGGTAACAAATAATTTTAATGTGGTTCAGATATTTAATTAAATCCTTTAAAATTATGATCTGCATTTCATTGAATATAAAAATACGTTACTAAATGCAAGTTGACATTTCTAAATTAGGTACTTGCCACTTCATCAGTGATATAAGCAGAAAAGTATTTTTCAGGGAATTATGGAAGATGTTTTTATCATCTTGTCACTGTTGTCATGGAGACTTGTGTATATCATTGTTAAACAGACTGTACATAGGATCTAACATTCCTGTGACTTAAAATTGCCAGCTATTGTATTTTTAGTGTATTTTCTTCAACACTGTAGTCAATGCATAGGTACTTGTAAGTTGCTCTCTCAATTGCAGCCATGAATACAATTACAGGATTAGGCTGTCCAGAGACCCCATAGTACAGGGTTCTCTGTGAAAAGGTTCTTTTCAATACAGGGTTATTAACAGTTTTATTTCCTAATCCATTGTAGCCTATTATAAGCACTTAAAAATTAATATTCCCTCTATTAAAGTAGACTATTTTGACAGCAGTTTCTTTGGGAAGAATGAGCTATCCATCAGTCATTATGAACTATGTCTTGAAAACTTCGGATCTTTTCTGAATGTGGATTTTATGTGTTATGTGCTTTGTTTTTGAATACAGTGCTAAATTCATAGTAAACCTCTTGTGTGTCATTGTCTTAACCTATCATGCATGGAACACTAGACTGAAAGAAGCTTGACTGGAAAATCCAAATTTAAGTGCTCCTAGACACAAAGTATGCGTAACTTGTTTTTCTCTTAAAATCTTATGATGGGCACAATTCACAAAGTAGGGAAAAAAAAGGAATTTTTGTTTTTTTCCTTCCAAATGAGGTTTAAGAATTGGTAATTTTAAGCACAATAAAAGTGTTGTATCTTTTGCAGAAGTAAAGGTTTATTTTGTCTTCTAGTGTCTGGAGTTACTTCAAAATATAGCTTCTGCATCAATTATTTATGACTTGAAATTACTTATCTTTTAAAAAAGATGAAGTTACTTAAATACATTTTTCATCATTGAACAAGTGACTTTCATTACCTCAAAAGTATTAATTAAATTTCTTTTCTCATCCTGGCCTGTCTGGTTTCATCTTTTGGGGATTTCTCTGAACACTCTTCTGAAATTTTAAGGCTATTATTTTAAATAAATGAAGAATGTAAGTTTTGTGCTGGAGTAAGCTGTCTGTAGCAATTTGATGCAAATTTAACTTATCTGAGAATCACAGTAACATGAAGTATTCAAGAATAGTAAAGTTGTAAAGGTTTTTTAAAAGATGTATCTCACTTATGATGTTGGTATTGTTCTGTTCAGAGAGTTACAGTCAGGACTACTAAAATACAAGTACAGAAATATGAAGAAGAAAAAACTCAAATACAAATAACACCATGGCTTTAGTATCTAAAAAAATGCTTTCATTAAGTAAGTAAGGGTTATAGGTTGAAAGTTAAATTTCTAGGAAATGTATACTTTTTCTCTTCCTGCTCTGGGAGATTCTGTCAGTTCAGGCAGTTGAATTCAGTGAAATGACACAAGAAAATATCCTGGCTAGTGAACATGCCCGATCGATATGACTAAGAACTAAGAATCTGTATATAAAATAAATGCATATTTTCTATTATTTCAGATTACAGTAAGCTGTATATGAATGTATAGTCCTATGAGGAGATATACCTAGCTTTTTAGGATTTATTGAGGCAAAATAGAACTCATTTATTACTGGCTTCATACCTTTCACCTAATCATAAATGATTTTAGCTGGGATTTGTAGAAAAATAGAATTTCCAGACTTCATATATTCCTGTATCTTTCTTTCAAAGGATTTAATTTTGGATAAAATGGAAGTTTTGTGAACAGAGAGCTTTGATATTTTATCCAAATTTTCTGCATTAAGAGAAAAGCTGTAACTCCCTCTTCTGCTGAATGCGATTTTGCATTTATGGATACCTCACACAGTAACCCAGTCAGCTGATGAGTTTGTTTTTTAGCCATCTTCTGTAGAACAGCCTTATGAAATCTGAGTCATAAGTTGCAGAGCAGAGGGAAGAAAGTGGGATGTGTATTGCCCCCCCAGCAGTTACAGGGCACCAGCTGTGGGTGCATTCAGCACATGCCAGCGTTGGGGCTCCGCGTTCTGCGGGTAATAGGAAAAAATATCCTGATTATTCATTGTTGTAATGGAGTTGGGAGTGCTGAAGAGCTCATCTGCTATGCCCCAGAGCTGTTAGCTCTGGTGGACTGCCACACCTAGGTGAACCCTTGAGTAAGGGGACGGGGCTTTGTGACAAGAAAGGGAAATGCCGCAGCAGTCAGCTGGGGTGGATGGAGCAGTTGCAGTGCAGTCAAATGTGGCACCTCAGCTCTGATCCATCAGCTTGCAAAAGGAGCTGTAGGAGGGATAGGTTTTCAGGCTTCTGGTTAAACTGAAAATATTGAGGGAGTGGAAACATCAGATTCCTTTATTGTTGAGGGTTTAATTTCTTGACAAATGAAAAACTAGGAAAATATAGATAGAACTGTGTATCCAATGTAGAAAATAATGTTTTGAGGCTTAAAAAATATTGTGTAAACATAGTAAGCAATTACAAATACTGGTAGAAAAATGAAGTGGAGGTTTTGGGGTAATTTTAATAGCTTATTTTGTTTTATTGTAATGTATTGTTCTTCATCACAGGTAAGGCTATATCTGTATGGCACAGTCCTGTGCCCTGATACATACTATCCCTTCTGAATGAGTTCACTTCTCAGGACAATGAGTTGTGTGGGAGAGTTTATTAACTCAGGTTACATAACTACTGGTATCTAGATTAGATTGGGTATTATTATATGAAACTAATTGTGTACCATACAGACATCTGAAATACTCTGACATCAAAATCCAGTTAGGCTAGACAATGTCTGAGAGTGTCAGTTTACAAGTCTGTTTCTGTATCTATTAGACATTGAAAATTCATTAGGATTTCTGGAATTCAGAAATCAGAATTCTAACATCTCATTTGTATTTGTCCTTAGAAATATAATTGCCACTCTCTGCTTTATCAAAACATTGAATAAAATAACTTTTATTGAATGAAAATCCTAACTTAGAGCCATGAGGTATTTGCAGGTTCTGAAGTACTAATGATGAGTGCAGTGGTAATGATCTGACAGATACAAACTCATGGGTAAGTTTTTTTCTCTAAACAGAGTAATCTCTTGATTTTCTCTAGTTAATGTGAATTGGTATTTCATGTTCAGGGAGGCTAAAGCTGGCAGGCTGGGATTCCTTGCATTTTCCTGTTTGTGATTGTGGTGCTGATAGCCTAACTATGAACTTCCTTATGCAGGGCTGCTAGGAACTTCCAGTCTGAGTATTTCTAGAATTGAGAAGTGATTGAGTCTCAGCACTTGAAAATGGCTTGTGTGCTTTTTAAAAAGACACCACCATCTGTGTTACGTTGAATTAATTGTATCTATTTTGGTGATGTCTGCATGTGTCCAGTAAGAGCAGAAAATAACATTTTAATTTCATGGATGTCTGTGGGTTGATTTTTAACTGACTGGAAACATCATACCTTTACCTCTTATTTTGTTAGGTTTTCAGTCCAGAATCGAAAGGACTATATTAATAATGTATATACATCTCAGTATAGTGCTGTGCAGATTTCTAGCTGAAATACCTTGGTCCTTAATTTGCAGCTTATGCTCATATACCCCATGAGGAGCTCTGCTTTAAATAAGTTTGACTTTGTAAGGTTTCTGGTATCTTTGCCAGGACAAACTTGGGTTCTGCTGTTCTGTGAAGACTAATCCTTTCAGCCCAGCAGTACATATAGATATTGAGTATATCAGAAGGCTTTTAGGGATGATGCCAAGAAGGTCCAGAGGTATTGCTTGTTCAGGGACACAACTGAGAATCATTGCTGGGTTGTTATGTGTATGAGGGCCAAAATGAGATGAAGCCTTTTAACTTTGCAGGCCAAAAATTCCCAAATGTATTTCTTGAAAGACTGATAAAGGGACAGGGAGATGGTGGGGCTCTGGCCAGATGTGGACTCAACTATGTGTGATCAAAGTGGGAAATCTACCCAGCTGTGCACCTTAACTATTCACACTCTGGGCCAGCTCTTACTCAGGGGGATTTGGGCTCACTTATGTCCCATGTTTCTTCCTCTTCTGCCTCCATAGCGGATACGTGTTTACATCAAGTACTTGAGTGATGCTCTGTGACAAGAAATAGTACACTGACACATGGAATGATGGCTCTAAGTGTTGGGACACCAAAATGTCTCCTTTCATAGCATAAGCAAAGGTTGTGTATTGCAGGTACAATACTTCTGTAAACAGTATAGGCTAAATTTGAACTAAGTTGTGAAATGTCCTTGTAGGTGTGTGGAAATAGAAATGTGGAGCTACACAGGATTTTATTACAAAATCTGAATTAGTTCATGTTGGGTGCTTCTCTGAAGAATCCATTTGTACACATTTTAAGGTATCTGTAAAGCAATAAGAAATTCTAATTTTGCCATGCCCTGTGTGCATATAAGTATGGTGGATACACAGCTTAGCACTCCATTACAGTGTTTTCTTAAAATTCTGTACAATTGGATTTTGCTTAATCTGTGTTGCTTCATGCCAGAACATAAGATTATGGATCATTACATTATATATAGTGGAAAATGATTAAGAAGGGTCAGTTCGAAGGTTTTGGTAAAATTGCAGGTTTTGTAGGTGAAAAGTAATCTTTACTACAACATAGTTCGGATGTAAAAGCTCATCTTTTTAACTAGGTCTTTATTCAGATTAAATTTAGTATTTTTATAGTAATTTTAGAAATATTGGAAATGCGCATGCACATTTGTAATGCCAAACATTCCTGCTGATTCTAGATAATTTATTGCTTCCTATAGAAGTAGCTAAAGCTTCTTTCCCATGCCTGGGCACTTGAACAAGGCCAGTTGGACGAGGCCCTGAGCAGTCTGATCAAGTGGGTGGCACCTTGGCCCATGGCAGAGGGGTTGGAACTGGATTATCTTTAAAGTCCCTTCTCTCCCAAGCTTTTCTATGATTCTTCTTGACTTGCAGGCTGCTAATTAAGTCACAGTGCACTTCTAACCCATGCAACTCTTAAATGGTCCTAACAAATTCTTCCCTGGGTTATATCTGGATATATTAAATTTGCAGGATTGCTTTATTGAACAGTGAATGTTTTCTGATAGTATTCAGTGTTTTGAGGAGAGTGAAAAAAGTGGGATAGGTTTCTGTGTCATAGAGTACCTTGCTGCATCTCTTATGTGAGTAACTTGTATGGTCAGTTGTGATTTTTTTCCCTTATTCCTTTGTGCATAATATATTTTTCTTTAAGTGGAGTTATAGTAGCTGTCTATTGCTTGTATTATGGAATTACATGGGGCACAGGGTATTTGAATGCTTGATTCTGCCTGACCCTGATCATGCAAAAAATGAGGAAAAATGAATTGTATCAAAGCTGTTACAGATAGTAGGATAAAGAAGAGTGGAATGGAATAGAATAATTTTGTTGGAAGGGGCTTGCAGTGACTGTGTAGTCCAACTGCCTGATCACTTCACAGCTGACCAAAAGTGATCTTGTGGATTTTGATTATGCAGAAGCCATTGCAGGAAGACCAGAATGAATACATAACTTCTGGTCTGTCCAGCTGCTGAAAAGCCACCAGATATAATGTTAAAAGCATGTTAAAAAGCCAAACACTTCTTTTTGCCTCAAAACACAAACAGCTTTTTTGTAATTTTGACAGCATATGCTTTCCAGTGCAAAAAATAGCAGAAGATTTCCCTAGTTCAACAAAGTTCAACAAGCTTGCAGCTACTAATAATTTTCTGTATGTTCTTAAATATTTTTCAATATCTCCACTTAAAAAAAATTAGTACTTGTAGGAAAGAAAAGTGTGGAGTTGTGTTTTGTCAACTGCACTGAAAGCATATAATATTGGCAATATTGTCAGAAAAATCCCAAAGTGAAGCTTTAGTGCTGCATTTCTGTCTGACACTTTTGTAGGTACTCTGTCTCCTTACTGTGTGGTCCTTAAAATCATGCATTAGTCTCTTGTTTAGGAATATATTTGCTGTAGCCATAATCTTCAAAAAAGACCTGTTACTTTGAATACTCATAAGAATAAACCATTTGTTTCCACCAGGATGAAGCATCGTCAACTCCAAAAGCAGTCAGCATATATCACAGGTAATTCTCACTTATACAAACTGGGCTTCTAGGTTTAAATTGGAACTTTAGCAATGCTAAAGGTTCAAACCTGAAATGTAGGAACTTACATTTGAGAGTGGAATGGAAAGTCTTGAAGCTTTCTGTACTATTAATGTATAAAGAGTTCTCTCTTTTGGTTTAGGATGAAAGCAGTTCTGCATTTGTTTTTAATCCTAAATTTTCAAATTTTTAAACTTTAAAACAAATGCTGTGTTTTTTTCATCTTTGAAATGTTTCTTTTTCTAAGGAAATCTGTGTTCTTAAATAAACTCTAGACATTATGTGTGGGCACACATACTTAAAATTCTTTAAAGAGTTGTTTTTAAGAGCATGCATTCCTTGTATCTTTTTCTGATTGCAAAGCTGCATAGTGGTGAATGACTTTGCTAGATGAACTTCAAAATCATGACCTCTACAAAATGAGAAATATACAAGATACAGTTCAGAAAGAAAAATTAAATTAAAATTCTGGTTTCTCCAATTGGTCTTGTAATACCTTCTTTCTTTTTTTACAGAAGTAAACACTGACACTACACCCATGAACATCAGGATATCTTTCAGTTTCATTGCAGCTGGAGTCAGTGACTTCATACTGAAAAAGGTTGGTTTTTAGACTACAGACCATGACAGTTTGTAACAGTGAAGGAACATAAATGTTTGTGTGAGTAAATAGCCGTGTATACTTGTAGTACAGACTTGTCTGTATCTATGCATGCACAGGTTTAACCTGCAGCTGGCATGATTATGCAAAACATTTAAAGAATTCTATAAGCTTTGTGGAAAAGAAGTAATTCTGAAAAAATATAATAGCACATCTACTGGAAGATGAGAATAGTGTGCTTTTTTAAAACTTGAAGCGTTATTATTGGGACAGTAAAATAAAGTTTTGTGATAGCTGATTTTGGAGTCCCTGATGCCTTGAATCTTACAATTGGGTAGTTTTGCCATAAAGTTCCCCTTTTAATCTGTTAATTTTAATGTTTAATCTGTTAATGTTCCCCTTTTAATCTGTTAATTTTACTAAATTACTTATGTTACAAATTAACTGCATCAGAGTATTTTAATTGTGTTTGTAGTAATTTTAAAAATAGTTACTGGGGATAGGTCATTTAATTATATTTTATCAGTAAGAAAGCATTATCTCTGCTGTGAGTGGTAGCCAGCAAGGCCATCTGCAGTGCCTTTCAGTTCACTCACTCTGAATTGTTCAGATAAAGACTGTCAAGTGCTGCCTAAATAAGGAAGGAGCCGTGGTAGGGTTAAGTGCAGTGGAGGACACAAATGGAGCATTGATTCCAGGCATGCTGGAGGGTCTGAGCTGTTTCCTGCAGCACTGAACCTTTTAAGAGTTTTCATTGTTTCCTGCAAAATATTAAAATGCGAGTGTCTGCCATTCAGGATCTCAGGGAGGATGAAAATGGGGATTGGGAAGAAGAAAAGGTGAGTTAAACCCCAACAGTTTTGCAAAGTACTTATTTCCTTCTATTTTTCCTCTTTAGGACAATAAACCTGTAATGATTACCTTCCTCTTTCAGATGTTTCTCAAGCCTGTTATTGAGGACAGAAATATGGAACTGGCCCGAAAATGCAGTGAATTAATAAGTGATGTAAGTGATGGCGGCTATTTGCACTCTCATATTTGCATTTCTTCTTTCAAATGCATTTATATTTATGATACATATTTTCTCAAATATGTATAGTTTAGCATGTGCCCATCCAAGGCTCAAATAATAAAAGCCGACAAAAGAATAGAAAAGCACAGATTACTCTAGTACTGTAAATTATCAGCCACAGAAGAATGAGCTTTTCAGAGCTCGTTTAGATGGTTCAAAGCACAGGCCCTAGAAAGGGGTGTTTTAAAATGTGTGTCTAAGGCAGAGGATGTCTGCCAGGAGAACACCTTGGCTGCTTTCATCAGGAAAATGTGGTATTTTTTATGGTTGTAGCCTAATCCTATGCAGTTTAATTGGTTTGAACAAAACTGAGTTCTAGTATACATAGCTGTAAGGAGGGAAGTTAAAAATAAAAGATACATTTTTAAAGTTTTCTTTTGTTTGTCCTGATAGATGTCCAAAACTGCTCAGCACATTGTTATTGACTATGGTTATAGGACAAATCCACTCAAATGCTAGATTATATTTTAAAAATATTTAGCTTGCTAATTCTTGATTTAGCTACTATAGATTTTTAAAACTGTGGATCAGTTATATAAACATTATTTAAACATCATAAATCAGGTCCCAGACATTTTAAATTGGAGTAGATCTGATTGCTTCAATGTAACAGGATCAGATTTACCTTGATGGAAATTTATTTTTGTTTCTCTCTGGGATAGTGTATCGAGAAAAGTAACTTTGTCCCTTCATGGGCACCTGGGTGTAAGGAATGATATTTCTCCTGTGAGAAAGCTGGCTGGCAGGAGAAGAGACCATTCTGAGGAGAGAATGACTTGCTTCAACAAATGTTCTAAAGAAACCAAAAAATGGTGTCTGGTTCATGTTGCAATATGATATTTAGGTTTGGGTTGTTGATTTAATGGGAATGGAAAATACAGAATCTACATTTTAGGTATAAATTTTCAGGGATTGTGTATCAGAAAAGAATAGTTAACTTAGAAGACCAGTATCTGGAATGTGAAAAGTGTTACAGTGCTGGTTTGAAAGTGTGACTTGACAAGGTCAAAGTTTCCTCTTTCCTCTTGTCCATACACCTCCTACTTCAGTTTTCACAGAAGGAGTGCTGAAAATGGAATAGATCCTTAAGAGAAGCTATCAAGATGACTCCTTTGTAAACTCAACCTACTTTAGGAAGCAGTAGAGATTAGTAATATTTTTACTGATAGATATATATGTGCTTTCTTTGGGAAAAAAGGGCATATGGTGTGTTAAGTGCCTGTCAATTCTTGTAAAGGCAAAATGAAAATGGACCTGAAGTAGTTATATGACCCAATATATATTTATTGCATTCATGCAGCTTCTTTCTAAACATGGTCACTCTTCTTAAAGAAAAAAACTTCTTGAAAAATGCTGAAGAAATCTTTCTTTAACTGAAAAGGAATTATTACTCTGCTGTATACCCATTAGGAGTAATGTTGGCTGTGGCTCTTAATTAGTGGATAAATGGAGGGGCTGTATTTTCTTGGATTTTCTGCAGGGACTTGAGAGCTAAGGTGAATAGCTAAGTCAAGCCAGGCTTCTACTGCTTATAATGGTTCAGGGATATGGGCATTTGCTGAAAACTTGTGATGCATTTAGCCTGCAAGTGTGTTAGATTTTTCTTGAGATATGTCAGGCATAATGGCAAAGTGTTATTAATGCTTTCAAAGCAAGAACAATATATAATGGTCCAGACCAATCTAATTTCAAAAAAGAGGCTCTTTGTTTAAAAATAACATCCAGCTTTGGTGCTTTATTCAGCCTCTGATTAAATCAGTAGGTTTTTCTTCATTGGCTTGAATGGAATATGCATAGAATATGAATTTTGTTTCGCAGAATTTTTTGCTATAATGGAATTTCTTATGACCAGTGAAGTCCTTTGTACCTGAGTATAAATTCCTCACCTTGCACATTTCATTGTGGAGACCAATAAATTGCAAGGAGTTTGCATTCTTACTTTCAATTTTTAGACTTGTTGATGTTCAGAACTTCTAATGTAGTTCTTCTTCTTTTTAGCATGAACCTTTCCACATATTACTATTTTTTTGGATTTATGATTGGATTTAAAATTGTATATTTTATTTGTACTGTGGTTTTACAGTGCTTTCAGTTTGGCCTGCAGATGACCTTGGGGGAGCAGCCTGTGTCCTTGCTGGCCACGAGACCGGGTGTTTGTCCTTTTCTGATGGGGGAGCTGTCAGCACATCTCCTCCGTCAGAATGCAGAGCCAGGAGTGCACATGCCTGAGATACTGGGGTTGTATTATGCTTGCCCTGCATTCTTTGAGGGCTGACTTTAATTTGGCAGTATGGTTTTGAAAAAGTGTTACACTGGCAGTCCTTGGTGAATCTGAGTTGCCAGTCTTGAGCTGTGTGTAGGGGAATCTGTGAAGTGTTTATGTGCTTCCGTTCTTGAGAAAATCCCCAGTTTCATTTGAGGCTGGCAGATGTTTGTTCGGAGGCTGTGATATCCCCTGGATTGTTTCTCTTGACAGTCGTTCCATTTAATCTCCCTCTATTATGAAATTTTATTCCACAGATGTTTTCAAAACTGTCATGTGTGTTTGATTTATATGAATTGCCTTACTCTCCAGGCCTTTTCTCTTCCACATTGAAATCCAGCTCGTCCATTTACTTGTAGTGTATTTTCATTCTCTTCTTTGTTTTGATTATGTGGTAGGATGTTGTCAGTCCCGTTATAAGCAAAGATGGGAACAATTATAGAAGGTAATTGACCAAACGATCATAATCCTTTTTGGTAGAATGTCAGACACTGCCTTCTGAAGATTCTGCTGAATTGTGGTAATCAGTGGTACCAAAACTTCTTTTCCTCTAAAGGAAAATATAGTACTGCTTGCTATTCATCTGTCCTTGCACAGAGTCCAACTTTGCTTGAGGATGTCTCTGTTGTAAAGAAAAGTCCAAAAAGACCTAGAGCCAATAGTGGAAACACTGTGCCAAACTAATGGGATTTTGACTACTTAATTCTGGGTGCAGCTGTTCTCCTGGACTCACCAAAACTAGTCACAGACTCTAACTCAAGAGGACCTTGAGTTTGAAATTGCTGAAGATTATTAATATATTATGAATTTTAATATTAATACTATATGCCTGCCATTTTCTCTTGCTTTACTCTAGATTCCTATGGCCACGGAGAAATGATTCTGCATTAGATGGATCTGTGGTCTGACACAGTTTTTAGTCTTGTAAGAGATTATAAGTTCAGAAATGTAGGTTTGGAAAGTGAATACTTAGTGGAAGGAAGTTTCCTTTTGTTCTAGCAGAAAAGCTAGATAAGAAGGTTCAGACATTCTTGTTGTTTTTCTAAACAAAAATTTCAGATATGACAGTTCCACGGTGGATCTTGGCAGGATGACTGTTCACATGGTTACACCATTGATGTTAAGATTATTAAAAATAGCTTTTATGTATATTCATATTAAAGTTAGATGAGCATGTGTTCCTGAATGAAAGGAATGGTGACTGCTTGGATTATGCTGTTTCCATTGGAGTCTTTCCTTTAGCCCACAGTTTCCCTTCTGTTTTTCCCCCTGAAAAAGGCTGGTGAAACAGGCCATGGGTGAGATGAATTTTCTTGGTGAATCAGGAAGCTTTGGCTTAAAGATTGGATGCCTTTGTTTTATAAAGTTGATCTTACCATATAATATCCATTAAGAAAAAAAGTGCAGCTTGAAACTTGATGTTTTGATGGTTGTCTAGGAATTTTAATCCACTTTACTGGATAGTTGTGCTGTGGTCAGAGTTAGTTTTATGATGAGTCAGGAAGAAGAAAAGGATCTGGAGAGAACTGTGAAAAATTGGGTCTTTAGTGAGCTATTGAGCTTCAGAAGTATATTGAAAGAGCAGTTGCTCCAGGCCATCATTTGCAAATATTTCCTATTTGTTTTTTCACAAGGCTTACCAGATCTGCTCAACCTAAACAGCGTATTTTGTGGTGAGGGGTAAGCCACTTGCAGGCAAAATTTCCTATTCAATATTTAAGACATCTGAATTTTTAATTACATACTTTGAAGAGGAATATTAACTTCTCTGCATGTTCATTCCATTCATTCATTGTGTTCAATCATAGTCAAGCTTTTGAACATCTTCCTTGCGTCATTTACACTAAATATGTTTTATAACTGCAGGTGTCATGACTTCATTATACTTGTCCTGTTTCATTTCCATCTTTCTGATTCCAAGCAATGTGGACAATACTGTAGCAGAATTGAGTTTGTTGGATTGGAATTTGATCAGACATTTTTTAATATGTTCTCTCGAAATTTTGTATTTGAGTCTGTATGCATTTTGTGGCTTCTTTGGGTACTGTAACAAATGTGAATAATAAAGGATTAAGGAGGTGGCATTAGTCATTTATTGCTTTCAATTCTTTTGAAAGCATGGCTTCTACAGCAGAACAGTTTTGTTTCTTCTAGTCATGTTCTGTCATTCCCCCCAATTAAGAGATACCTTAGGAAGCTTTTGTTTGATTCTTGAATGTAATTATTGTTCTGCAATTAAAATGGATATAATTATGATCAGCTTTCAGATGTCTGTGGATGATTTATCTAAGTTGTGAGCAGCAAGACTCTGTCTTCTCTGCCAGAGTCACAGCTTTACAGGAGTTTCTACTGGGAATGCCATCAAACTCACCCAGTAGACAGCTCTGTAAACTTCCAATGCATGTGTGCAGGTTGGACAGTAAGTGCCTGCTCATATTTATAATAAAAATGACTTCTTTTGTCTGTTGCTCTGTGATTACTTGGGAGTATGATGTCACACACAGGTTACATGAGCCATTGGCTTTGTGAATGAAGTCATGACACAGTAATGTTACACCCATTGTTGACCAGAAGGTTTTCTTTGAAAACAGACTAATCCACAAAAGCAGATGATATGATTTGGAAGTGATGTGTAGATTCATCCAGTAGTCCAAATCTGAATGAGCTCTATATCAAGCAAAATTGTTTCCTGTGTGAGGATAAAGTAGTCGTGAATTTGAGGTGACTTTGGCATTATCTAATCCATTTTCAATAGACACAAACTTTGCCTTAGAAAGCACAGGAGCTGATTCTGTGTAAGCTGCCAGCCTTCTCATAAGTTTTCCAAGCCCCTGTAGAGGAGTGTACACTAGAACTTGTGATATCCATTAAGGATTCAGAGAAAGAGGATATTAAGGCTGCATAGTTCTGTAATGCTCAGATGCAGATCATATTGCTTCTGTCAGTGCTTGTCAGCAAGTCTAGTGTGCATAAATTCGAGCTGCTGTTAGGCAGAATGTGAAAATGAGGTTAGAGAAATGGTAGCAGATAATAACCATGAAAGCTTAGTACTAAATAATTCAATTTGCATTGATCTAAACAATTCTCTGTACAAAGAAAGAAATGTAACTGAAAACATCTAAGGCTATCCATGCAAAGTGTCTGTCATTAAAACTTAGTCCATCTCATCATAATTCACCATCTTTCTTCATGCAGTTTGTATATAATGAATGTTCCTATATGTTAACAATGTCCATAGCTTTTATCCTTCTTGCAGTCTCACTAAAAAAACAATAACTCTAACTTTAGTAGCACTCGTGATTATTTTACCTGCCCATGTGATTATTATACCTTGCCTCATTGTTAGAAAAAGGTTGGTTGCTTAAAAAAAAAGGTGTTTTTGGTTTTTTTTTTTTTTTTTTTTTTTTTTTACCCCAGATATGTCATAGTGTTCTGGTGGCTTTTTTTTTTCATGGTTTCCTATGTGCATACTATTTAAAAAAATGCCTCAATTTAAAATTTGCTTGGTCTTAAAGAAATTCTGTAATTACTTGAAGTCATGACTCTTGGGTGCTTTGTAGGCAATAGTTTGGCAGTGGCCTCCTGAATTTATTCATGTAATTCTTGGATTCATAAAGGGGCATTTGATGATGTTATACAGATTCTGTGCTTGCTAGGTCTGTGTTAGAAGTTAAACAATTTTTATCTTTGAGGTCAAGGATTAAGGAGATCAATTATTCAATTCTTCTTTCTTTAGAGATACTACAACAGTCATGAAAATGTGCTCTAGATGTAGAGAAATCCTGTCTTTTTCATCTGTATTATTGAAGAGTTCTGTGACTTTTACATAGCCCTGGTAATGTGCGTGAGAACTCGTAGCTTCCCTTTTTGGTTTAATTTGATCCAGCCGGAGGTATTTGCAAGCCGCCCCAGTACAGTATCCATGAATAAAATAAAGTAGAAATTAAAAAAAAAAACCCAAAAGCCAATGTTTGCTTTTCTGTGTGTGTGTTTTTAAGAACAATTAAACTTCTTTTTCTCCTCTTTGTAGATACACTATAAAGAAGAGTTCAAAAAATCTAAAGGCAAGTGCATATTTGTACCTGACACCCCGCAGCTAAAACATGTGAAAAGCCTTGGTGCTTTTATTTCTGAGGTAAGATCTAAAAGGCTGAAAAATTTTCCTGGCTTCTTATCCTTCCTAAAAACTCTTTCAGTTGAGTACTGTGATTTTTAGCAGGGGAAAGATGGCTTATTTCAAATAATAATTCTGTTTAAAACTGAAGTGAATTCAAAAGCTGTAATTAGTGTATACTGCAATGTGAATAATAATAATAATTTTGAATTACATGACACTTTTATTTTGGGATTTGAAGATAGTTTATTAATGGTTCTGAGCAAGTCCTAGCTATCCCATTTTATGTGTGGATAAACTGAGGAATAGGAAGGGAATGTTACTTTTTCTGCAGTGATGAGGTTTGCAAATTACACCTGTGCAGAATTTCCCTGCTGTGGAGATTTCACAGCCTGATATCAAACAGAAGGAGACAAGGAAAATGTTTCCGTATTATCATCCCTGTCCTCCTTCAGCAGCCATCAGGTCAGTGCCATCTGTGGGTTGCCTGACTACTTGCATATCTGTCTGTCTGTCTATCTGTCTGTCTGTCTATCTATCGATCTGTCTATCTATCTATCTATCTATCTATCTATCTATCTATCTATCTATCTATCTATCTATCATCTCTGCATATCTGTGCACACACACACATGCAACTGTGGTGGCAAAGAAAGATCAGCAGCTTCCAAAGTGTCAGAGCAGCATTTACTGCCAGCTCTTCATGTCCCAGGTACAAGGTGCTGTAGGATTGCATCTCTGATTGTTTTCCATAGGTAAGAACAGCAGCAGAAGTTTCACCTGAGAGACAGCAGCTTTGTTTAGGATTCACTAGTTCTGAGTGATTTTTCTGTTACTATGGCCCTTGAAAAATAAAAATTTTGGTGCCTCATTTTTTTTGCCGCTTTTATGATTATATTAAAAAATCCCAGTATCGCTGACTGAGGTTACATAACTTATATACACTCTAAATTCTCTTTCTGATATACATCAATTTGCTGTGTAGCTTTCAATATAAATGCATCTAATGAACGCTTTTATTGTATTTATCTTCCTGTTTTCTGAGGAATGGCATGTCCCAAGGGAAGTAAATCTGATGTAATTGCACTTTATAAGAGACAGACTATTGTAGTCTACAGAAATGCATAGAGAGTGTTTATCTAATCTGTCGGATTCCAGAGAATCTGCTGCTAATCATTAATCAAAGATTTAGAGATATAAAAATATTGTAAATTTTATTTGTAAAATATTGTAAATATATTGATATTAGCACACTTTTGAGCACTCTGCCTGTTTATTGCAGCATTACCTGAAGGCGTGATGGATGGTTTATCTTGTAAATTACTGACCTCTAGTGTCCCATCACCTGTATTTGCAAATCTTGGACACGGATATTCTTAACAGCATATCCACTGCAGTGAAAAAGAGCCCTGTGTTTTGGGGAACGGAATCAAATGTTACAGCAAATTATTGATATGTATACATATAATCCATTTGGGTAATTAGCCTCTAATGAAGAACTGTGTATTTCACAGTAAATAAGTGACATTAGACAGTATAATCGAGCATATTTTTTGGTATTTATGATTACTTTCACAGCAGTTTTATGTTTTATGAACTTGGAAGACTTAGATCTGAAGCAATAGCCTCACATGTTTTGAGGTATTGTTCTGGTGAGGTATTGTTCTGGTATCTTCTGTAAAACCCCTTTGTGAGGATCTGCCAGTACTGAATGTTGGAGGAAACACAGGATAGATAAAATGTAATTTAAAAATGAGACTGTAATATGAACAGATGAAACAGAAATTATGGCAGACAGGCAAACTTCAGTGTTCCTCCCCTTTCTAGCTACATTTAATTGCTGCTATTTATTAGTTGCTCACATTGTTCAGGACTCTGGAAAAGAGAAAGAAGAACAGTAATTTTTAGATTTGGAAATGATCTGAGAAAGGATAGAAGAAACTACCTTGCTTATTTTATTTTGTATTTCCACTAAAATTATTGAATTGAATTAGTAGATATTTTGCATTGCATTGTGAAGTAGGCACATCCCTATAAAGTATTATTCAAAGATGCTTTTGCTAGAAAGTTAGTGGCAGTTAATGAAATTTTTCCAGTTCTGGTCTATGCCATTTTACTTACTAGGAAAAATAAGTACTATGTTTACTGTATCTTCATTTTTGCATTTTATGTCACCTTTTTCACCTCTAGGTGAAATATAAAGGAGCTGCTAAGAAAGACCTTTCCAACTCTCTCTATCAGCAGATGCCAGCCACAATTGACAGTGTATTTGCGAAAGAATTGATGCACCTTCAGAGCAAGGTAAGACTTTAGAATTGCAAAAATGATTTTTAGATTAATTGTGTGTCAGAATAAGTACACTTTAAACAAAATACCTGAATGGACACTTGATTGTCTACTTGATTTATTTGGGTGAGCTTATCATCCAGAGTTTATCACCGTAACTTCTTAAATTCAAAGACGACTAATTTTTAAAATGTTGGCTATTTTACTTAGGTTTATTAAATATACATTTAAAAGTTGGTAGTGAATTCATTGATCCAGTGAAATCCGTGAGTGCAATAAGGAATTATTGAATTCAGTGACATTGCATGGTCCTTATAGAATGGGTGACTCTTAAATAACTTTTCCCAGTTGGATGTTGTATTAGCTATATAAAATATTTGATGCTGAAGGCAAAATAAAAGAAAACTGCTTTAATGACTTCTAAAGGCACTTAGTGGGAGCAGTAAATGTATTTCTGATGATCTGCATACTACTACTTACAACAAATTATATACCATTAAAATATGAAATCAAATGTATTGAATATAGTGTAAAGCTTGTAAACAACCAGTAAAATAGTAAATTCCGTTCAGTTGCCTTCAAGGACTCAAAAATATAAGACCCTAAGAGTAGGCAGGTGACCCTTCGCTTCCACTGACCTCAGTGGAATTGTGAATGTTAAGTATATGTAATATGAATGAGGTTACAGATTTTCATTGTTACTAATGAGAATTACATTGGATAGATGGTCATGGCTTTCCATCCACCAAGCATTTCCATGGTTTTCTTGTTTTTGCTTTCTTAAAGATATCTTAAAGATATCAACTACATATAGTTTAAAACAGCCAGCGGGTGAAAGGAACACGCTTCTAAATCCGTAATATTGATTGTATCTCAATATGCATTCTTCTAATGCAGTGACACTTTTTCAGACAAAGGAAAATATTAATAAAAAAAAATGGACTAAAATTTCAGGACAGCTTGTGGAGAAATGTTTTGATATAAAACATATTTGATTATGTTAATTGAGACTATATTAAGCAAATACAATAACACATTTTAGTTTTCAGAATTTGAAAAGGAACATATATACACAAGTTAAAGCACCACAGTAGCTGAAATTACATTAATGTGACATTTCATTATAAAGTGAGTGATTAGAGGAATTATAGTAAAAACAAATTGGGAATTAAACTTGTATAACATTTTTGAGCCATTAGCTTGATTTATAAAACATTAGTTAACTATTTTGCCACAGATTTACTCCCAAATTCATTCCAAATTATTTAATTAACATTGGTGACGTGGCAGAAAAGATAAATAACTGAAACTAAAAATGAAACCATTGGTTCATCAAAAAACCCTTTCAAGGAAAAGACTGACATTTTTATTTGGTAGTTTTTGAAGGCTTTCTTCAATCATCCTACAGTTCTAGAGAAAAAAATATGCATATAGTGTGAGTTATATTTAAGCAGAAATTTTTCCCACAAAATTCATACCAGCCCCTTAGGAGTAGATGCATTATAAATCATAATATACCATAAAACTTAAAGATACGCTGACACATTTTTCCAACTTGTGGTTTACTGCTGCAATGGACCTGAATTTAATGCTACTTTGAGAGAGCTCTCAGGGGATTTTCTAGTGAAAAATCTTCTCCACAGTATTCAAATCTAATCCATATTGTGCCTATCACTGCAGTACCTAAGTAGCTAATACAAGGAATTTAGATTTCATCTGGGTCAGGATGTGGCAGAGGGGGTTTCTGCTGCATCTGTCTAGCTGGGATTGTGAATTTACAGGTCATCATTTCAGGAGGAGACTACAGATATTCCATAGGAAGGAGAGCGAACAGCACCAGCTGGCCATTGCTCCAGCTCTTCTCCAAAAGGGTGCTGCTGCAAACACAGAATTGCAGTCTGTTCTGAGTTGTAGTAACCTGATTTTAAAATAGGTGCCGATTTCCCAAGAGGTGGAAAACACGAGTATGTGTCCTCCCTACCTACATTAGAACAAATTTACACCTTTGGCTCCCTTTTCGTGCTTCTTGGATGCAATTCTGGACCGGAATGCTTTTGTGGGCAGATCAAGCAGGACTCTCCTTGCTCTGTGGTGCCGTGTTCTTGGCAGCGCCCGCAGCCTCGTATGCCAAGCAGGGGCACTGGGACTAGAGGGTCATGGTGGGGAAGAAAGAGAACCCCTGACTTTCCCCAGAGCTGGCTGCTGGCACAGACTGGGTGCCTCTGGCAGAGGATCTCCTTTCTCCTCAAATGTGCTCTCCCCTGATGCAAAGTTTGCTCCTGTAATGGTGCTGCTGTGCTGCTGCTGCCCAGCAGCTCTGTCTTCAGCCTACCTAGAGCCCACCCAGTTTAATAATTGGATACACAGATTGAAATCACACACATGATTTGGGAGCTTGGAGGCAGCTAGGGGGAACTTCCCATTTTTCTCAAGGAGTTACACCCTACCTTACAGCTGCCCTCCACTGTCCTCTCCAGAGCCAACAGGCTGCCACAGTGGCACCGACCAGGTTGGCATTCCTTAACTCCTGTGGCAATTGTCAGTGATTTCAGGGAAGCCAGGATCTCCTCCTTCAGGGGTCCTGCCATGCAGTGTCAGCACTGACAGAAGGATCTTGCTGGGAGTGTAGCACCCTGACACATGTGGTTCTCTTCCTGTGGAGCCTCTTCCCCACATTGGCTGTACTGAATCATACTCAGTTCTCTCTTCGAGATACTCAGGAAAGCCTGAATACAAGACTTCCTGCTGGCTTTTGCATGAAACCCATGTTTGCTCTTTTATGTTTTATGTAGAACTGGCATGAAGAAGGAAATAAATACCCATAGAGATTACATCTATCCAAGACTGGCAAAAAAAAAAAAAAAAATCCCAATGCTGTTTCTGGGAAAAAATGTTTCAGGAAAATGAAAAAGAAGTTTCACAGCCACACATACTTGGGTGGCTTTTATAATTTAAATTTTTTCTCTCTTCACAGAAAATTTGACTTTGGCCTTCTAAATACCTTTCTTTAGAGTGAGAAACCAGATTTCTTCTCTCTCTCATTTTTGTCCTAGTTGTCCCCAGGGTAAGCAAAAAAGAGAAGTCCCTGTCATCACTGAATAACTTCACTCTCCTTACCAGCCTACAAAGCTCTCACCAATTTCCCTGTTTTCTGCAGTGAAAAAATAAATTTTATGAGAGCAGTCTAGGTAGGAAGCCTTCATTTTTGATTTTTCTAAAAGGAAATGGATTTTTTTAGAGAAATTGCATTATTCCTGTAGAAAATATTGCTGAAGGAAAATTTCTGATCATTGCTAGCTCTGTACCAGGTCTTTTTCTTGTCTGAAGATCAATATGCTGAATACTTTCTTATGTAAAACATTATTTTTTTAAATTAGGTGTCACAAACAATGATAAAGATATTTAAAATTGCTTGGGGGAAGTAATGTTGAAAAAAAGTAAGTATTTCATCATTTTTTTCATCACTTTATTTTTGCCATAAGAAGTGATTGCACTGTTTTTCTTCATATCTAAAAGGTATAATCTAAAGCAAACTGAAGGCAGTTTAATTTTCTACTTTGCACAGGGCAATATCTCAAAGAGTCACTGTTGAATGGTATTTCCTGTTTTTTTATAAAGGTGATGAGCCAAGAGAATCTTAAGCAATGTTTTCAACTTCCAGAGGAAGTTTCAAAGTTTTTTTTTTTTTTCCTAAAATAAAAATTTTATTGTTTATTGCATAATTTGCAATCATATTATACATAATCAATTTTTAATGTAATTTAAAGTTTTTTTTATGGTAGAAAATGTCATATTCAAAATTTCTTGTCTTTTATGGTGGCAGGTTTTAGTCTTCTGGATTTCTATAATTCTGTTTTACACAAATACATTGGATAATCTAATTCTCTATATGGAGATTAAAGTGATGTTTTTGGTGTTCTTGAACATTTCCTCCTACGAAATCCTACTTTGTGGATTTTGAGTTCAGAGCACATCTTACTGACTATAAATGGAAATAAAAATGAAAATGCAATAGTGTTTAATGTATGCCAGAATGGGGGCAGCTAGAGCTAGGTTAAAGGAGCACAAAACCTTCCTTAATGCAGCTTCCTATTGACACACTGGTGTAAAAGAGAGAAGAAAAATAAAAAATGAGTACTAACAAATTGGTTCAATCTGAAGTCATACCTACTTAAATAATTGCCTTGTATTTCTCAAGTTAATAAATGGCACCACTACAGGGTAAAGGTTATGTCAGTGACCTATAATGCTTGATCTCTCTGTAGAGTAGTTTCATATGTAGATTTGATTAAGGAAATTCAGTTTAGCTAAAACTTGAAAATCATCATGAGTTGAGAGAAAAGTGTATGCATACTAACTTATAAAACAATGTTACTAAGAATACTGATGAAATAATGATAAATATTTTTTCATGCTTACTTGAAGTGATTTACAAATCTGGGAATAGTTCTGCACTAAACTGTCCCAAACTAAACTAGACAGCCATTGAACCCCTCCTACCCTAGGATTGCAACAAGACTACTTCAGTGAGTTAATGAAAATAATGGGAAAAGATAGGAAGAACAGATGCCAAAGCAAGTGAAATATTGCTACATTAAGCTAAAGAAATGGTCATCTTTTCCCAAGACAGCGAATACTCATAATTTCTGTTAAATTTCTCATGCTGAGAGTTGATGTGTTACTGTGTTTTCATATCTTGGTTACATAGCCCATTCACCAAGGGAAAAATAGAGCTCTTGAACCAGCAAAATGGCAGTGTAATAAAATATCTGTAAATTAGTATATTTTGGAAGTAACCATATGGGTCTTCTGTTCATAATGGCATTAAGTGGGGAACGTTTAAAAGCGACAGTGTAAGCAAGGAGAATTAGCAAAAGAGTTTTTGTGGCATATGTTTGTATTGTAATTCCACTTTCGTAGGGAATCATTTGTTAGTGGTGCTTCAGTTGTGTTAAAGATTATGTGCTTTTCCATTTGCAAGATGTAACCAGTGTAGGCAAGTTATGGACTCTTTGTTTCACGTTCAGTTGTGTTTGTTCCTGCAGAGGTCTGATTGTGTTAGACTGGATAGGGAGGTGGCACATTTTAAGGTTCCTGATTTGATACCTGTGTTCACATAGTAGCAGTGAAAAATTACCCTTCCCCCCTTCTTGTCTTAATCTCTCAGCCTGTATATCATTTTGTAATCTGAGATAGTCAGGGCAGATGCTGACATATTGCTTTGGGCACACTGCTGTGTAACTCAGATGAAATCTTGCTTTAAACAAAAACAGATACAGCATTTTCTCACAATTCTAGTATCCTGTCCTAAAAGAGTCTGAATCTCTGTAGCTGAGAGTTTCCGTCTCAAAACTTTCACAGTATTCTTTTATTGCTGTCGTGGGTTTTTGTGTCAATCCTTTTTCTCCTAATCAGCTTTCTATCTTATTTAATACTTGCTGTTTTCTTATGGATTATTTTAATGCTTGCTCATGAGAGTTATTAGAAAATGAATTTTCTTGATGCTGCCTACTTTTTAGGCATCAAAACCTAGTGAATTTTCCCTAATATAAGCCTAAGAGCTTCTGGCAAGGACAAGTGTAAAATCAGCTTTTCAGGCAGTTGTAGGATGTGAGTGTGTGTATGTAAGTGTAACACAGTACAGTGAAAGATGGATGAATGCCCAACATTGAGTTCCATTTCTATTATAGAAGTAAAGGTGTTTATAAATTCACAATTCAATTCCATTTTCATTTACCATGATGACAATTGAATGTAAATATTATTTTTCTTTGTGAACCTGGGGCTAAGTCAAAATGCATATTGTGCTGTTTGCTTTCCAGCAGTGGAACTTTTGGCAATGGGTATATAATAAACAGTAAAACTGTTTGTTTATGACAAGTGCATAAAATATTTTTTTCCTCTGAAAATGGAAAATAATTATATAGCTGATTGCTTCAAGCGTGTTTAAAAAAAAAAAAGTGGCTTTTGATTATGTATTCCCTGGTTGTCTTCTCACCTTGTTAAGCTTAATTTTCTGTGTTTGTGTATTACTGTTTCTTTCCCCTGTCTACTCATGCGTCTGTTGCAATAATATATGCTGTGTAATCTCACTGCTGACTTTGTCTCATGTGTCTCTGTTTTGGGTGGAAGCTGCTCTCATCTCAGTATTCTGGATCCATGAAGGAGTTAAATTATTAAGTTTCTTCCTGCATACAGGTAGACTACGCCACCAGGTTTAACCTGGCTCATGTTGTTATACCTGCTCTTCTCAGGTCACAAAAGTATAATGTTGCTCTTTTCAGGTTCTCTATAAACAAAAACATGATGCTGAGAAAGGATTTTCAGACTATGCACGTATGAGGGAACCTCCAGATGTTAAACATGCCATGGAAGTCAGTAAACACCAGAGTGATGTAAGTACTCCCCCATCTGAAATGAGTGTACTTGTTTTGGGTAGATACATCTGTTACAGCTTACTGAAATGAATTAGGCATGGAATATTTCCATATTTCCTTAGTTGCTATTTTTTATTAATTATTTGCTTTGAAGTAATTTAGGACATGGTGTGTGTATAAAATGTGCTATGAGTAACAGTATGTGAATTTTATTATGAATGCAGTGGAAAGTGGTAGTTACTGTTTATCAATAGTAACTAAATGCTATCACTTTGAAATAAAATTGCAGGCAAAGGTTTTCTGAATTCACTTGTACCTACTTTTAAAGTATATAAAATTATTTGTTTAAATGAACACCAGTGTTGTTTCAGTGTATCTGCCAATACTTGGGTAGTTTTTCAGGGTTGCTGTGTAGAGGAGACAAGTGTGCTGTTTCTACCCTGCTCTTGCACATTTTTATGCACATGAAGAAGTTTGTTCCTATCATGAATATGTATCAAGTGAATTTTCCAAATAACTTAATAGACTTATATATTATTTATTTTACAGAATTCTAGCCATAATGTTCGATTTGATGTCTGTGCTGGTTTATACCATTTGATCAAAGTATTCATTCTTGTAGTTTTATTTAGATAACTTAAAAATAATTAGGAGTACTTAGCAATATTTTGAAAGTTGATGGCTTTATTTTTTTTTTTCAGCTGCTTGTTATCTTCTTGAAGTTCTGAAGGTTTTCACAATATAAAAGCCTAATAATTCTAATTTCTTATTAGAATCAGGTCAGGTTTGATTTCATGGTCAAGCTAGCATATACTAGCTCAATGCATCATTGCTTGGGGCAGAAATGCTGCCCAGATTAGAGTCTTGAATGATACAGACACAAATTTGAAGAAAAATTTATATTAGTTTTAGGTTTTGCAAAAGCTTACTTGTGAGAAAAACAAATTTTAGGCAAAGATTGGTTAAAATAGTACACAAAGCTTTTAAGAACAGCTGATGTGTGACCTTAAAGGTTTGATCCAGTTCCAATCTTATTTAGGTAACCAAATCAGCTGAAGTAGACGTGTCATTTTACAACTCTTTTTTCTTAGATAAATGGGATGTTTGTTTGCTGCTAACAATGTAGAAAACATAGCTAGGATGTTCATTTTAAATTATCTTAAATTTACCCCATCGTCTCTTACGAACAGTGCAACAAACACTCTTAGGTTATGGAGGCTGAAAACTACATGTCAGTGCTAGATGTATGTCTGTGTGCAGAATCTTGACAGCTGGCTGCTGATTAAAAGGCTGCTGGAAAACTTCAGGGAAGCATTATGTTTGAAGAATAATTTTTTTCTTCTGCTGGGAAATACCTGCAATGGAATTCCCAGCAGTAATTTGCAACCTGCCTTGATTACAGAATTCCCTCTTCCTGTCAAACAGTGTCCATTTCTGCTGTTGGAAGCATCAGGGTGTCACGCTGACAGAGCTTAGGAGCTGGGAATGTGAATGCCTCTCCCCAGAAGCAAGAGGTTTTTTATTTACCTAGCAGTAGGAATGATGGTGAACTGCTAGGAAAGGGAATAATGCTGGAAAGAGAAATGTGAATCCCTCTCAGAGAAGGGGCTAGGAGGGACTAGAAGGAATATGAGACAAGTTCCTGTGGCAAATTCATCATAGTTTGAGGGTTAGTATGCTAGTGCAAAACCTATTCCCCTTCTACAGCTGTATATCACCTGCTAATAGAATTAAGGAGAGCAGGTCACAGATGTGAGGATAAATGAAATTCAGTTGTTTCATCTTTCACCCTTAAAACAAGCAAAAAAAGAGAAAAGGAAATGAAGGAAAACATGGGAGGGAAGGATGTTTTGATAAATGAGAACTTTTAACAGTGTGTTAGAAATAATGAAAAACTATGACAGAAATTATTTTCAGCCTGAGCAAACTTCAAAAAATCAAATAAGTCATCCAAATGCAACACGAAACTCTAACCAGTTAGTTTAATGTGTTTAAGAATGGATTCTTTCTGGTTGCTCATGATTAGCTGCAGTGCAATGGGTAAATACCTATCACACATAAAGGACCAAGTGATGTAGGTTGGTTATTGTTCAGCAGAAGCACACATCTCTTGTGGGTAATATTTGGGCATCATGGTGAATAGCTGTGGATTTCTTCTTTTGTATGTGCAGGTTTAATTAAGAACCATGTGAGTTTTCATCTTGGAGTCAGAACGTGGAGCAGCGAGCATCCCAAATATGGAGCATTTGTCTTTTCCAAACTATTTCAGGGTATCTGTGTAATCGCAGCTTTGAAAGTGCAGGGAAAAAGAAGGGAAACTACTGGGCAGGTAGAAGGACAAAGCTCTTTTATCAACTGTTCAGCACAGTTTACCTGTGGGAGCAGAATGCATGTTTACCTACAATGCTCTGCCAACTCAATTCAACCTGGACATAGAGGGTCTGCATCTAAGAGGATTAGGATGTGCTTAAGACTATTTACTCAGCCTTAAAATAAAGCTGACATTTATACTCAACTCTGTGAAATGTGCAATTTCCTTTAAAAATGGAAACTGTATTCAGCTCACCATACATTTGTGCTGACATTTTGAAACTGTCATGTGCTGTAGGCCTTCACACCACTTTGAATATCATTAACATTCTGGGCATGTTAATGGGCATCATTAATATGTTTGGGCAGAAACTGGGTAACAAGGAAATACTGTAAAAACTCCTGAACAATGTGATCATGTCTAATATAATAATTTTTCTCTTTTTTATACTTAGACTGAAGAAAATTGCTCTCAAATGAGCACAAGTAACTTTCTAATGACAGGAAATATACTTTAATAAGAATTTAAATAATGCTTGAAGGGAAGCATGTTTATCCAAACCAGAGTACTTTTCTGTATAAATTGCGTTTATGTTTTGTGAAGTGAATGTTAATGATGTGACTATGGCACACAAAGTCATTTTCAGAAGAGCAAAGTAGGGAGCAAATATATACTTTGTCTCTGCTTAGCTGATCAGATATCTCATCTGGAAGTTGCCAAACTTGAGACCAAAACTAAGTGATGGTCTTAAAACAATGTCATGTCACATTTTTGCTTTATGTTTATCTGAGTATCATGTGAATGGAAGGATGTAGTTGAATGGTGAAATGACATGACAACTACATTTCTAAAGCAAAGAAACCATTTGCTATGTTGTATCTATGTGGAAGCTACACGTAGCATTTGATGAAGATACTCAAAGCTGTGCATCCCACTTTTGTCTGTTTCACGACCTGGTGAATCACTGGGCCTTTTGAATAGCAAAACAAATCTTTTTACAGCAGTTTAAATGTTCTGCTTTGTTAAAATGACTGATTCTCCTCACAACATTAAATGGTATGAAATAAGGATGTGGTCTTTTGATTTTACAAATAAGAAAACCCCAGTGCATTCATATATGGACCTTTAAAAGGCAGTTTGCACATCTGATTTTAAAGCCTGGTATCTTTTATACTTATCTACAAAGAGTGCTTTTTTAGAAATGTTAGTTGACATCTGGGCAAACTTCTGATATATATAGATGCACTTTCCACTCCACATGAGGTCAATAATAATTTATATGTTTCACTCACCAATCTAAATTTGAATTTTTAAGATGTCTATATTGTCTTAGGAGTAAGTTATTTTTAATTTTCAGGATATAGTGCAGTCACAATCCACACACACAGAAAAAGTACATTATTTCTGATGAGACCAAATCGGCAAATCTTAACCTGGATGTGCTTAAACACCATCAGTAGCATACCCAAATGTTAATGTTTGTTTTGATGCAGATCACAGTAAATGCAGGCTTCTTCTGTCTCTCTGTTCAGTATATGTATTAGAAAAATCACCTTTCTAACTAACTTTCTGCTGACAGTGGTTGCCAACAGTAGGTCCCCCTAGACCACTTCCAACTGGTGCTGAAAATGATGTTTACTCCTGGTGTAATTGGGACCAATCAATTTTAAGGCTCATTACTGGAAAGGATGACTGCATCAATCTGTAGTGGGCCAGAAATGTGTTTGTCTCTTTTACACAAGCCGGAAAACAGTTTTCAACATCATTTGAGCAGGAATTAGAAAAGCTGTTGCCAATGATGATTGTCACCAGCTAGTCATTTTCTTAGTGTTGATGGACCCCGAATTGTAGCTGAGAGGAAAGAGGGCAGAGACACAGCTGAGAGGCCATTAGTTAGTGGACTTAACAGCTCTTAGAAAATGCTAAGCAGGGGCAAAGAGTGAGAGACAAATTCTTATGCAGACAGGTGTGCCCACCTTCTTGCTGAATCCTTAAGAGGGCAAAATGTGTTCATAGCTGCTTGTGCATATTTGAGTAATTTATTATGTATTTGGAATAGTTTTGGTGTTGGAATAAATGAGAAGATAAAAGATTTCAAGAAAGGTCTGAATCTCTTAAACCCAGGTTTGCTTGGCTCACCATGTAGAAGCTTCTGTTTGTTGATTGACAGTCTGAGATGTTTTGCAGCATTGTTAGAAATCTGTTTGCTTTATGACACTGAAGTGCACTCCACTGGTATTCCTGTAAGGTGAAGCATCTTCCAGACCCTGCTGGAGTAACTAGTTCATCATGTTTATCCTCAGTGGACCTTATGCATTTTATAAGAGCTCGAGGTTTGTCGCTGTTAAAATCAGTCTACTAATTATGAGCAGGCCCTGAATATGCTCCATGCTTTGCAAAAACCAGTTGCAATTCAGAGTATGTAATCACATTTGGGATTAAAGATGAGAAATTATTTTGTTCCAATTATTGCTTCACAATAATATTCAACAATGTAACCACTTTTTATTGTAATTTCAAATTGGTAGAAACCCACTTTAAATTTAGTTGGTATCTGTAATTTACTGTTTTCAGCTTCAGAACTCAAGATGGTACATTTTTTTCCCTTTTAATTGCTCCTTCTTGTTCACTTGCATTTCCCAGTGGTTGGCCATAACTCTCCATCTAGGTTTCACTGCTGCTCTAAAATTGTTATCTCAGTTACTTTTCTTCTGCAAAAGTCAGCTGGAACAAATTTTTGTAGACCTCATGAAGTGGAGCAATTCTTGAGCCTTTGTTGATTGTTTTTTTAGGTAGAGCCTGAGTAAACTTTTGAAGTGAAGATTGAGTAAGGCCATTGTGTAATGCCTGGAAATTCCAGTCAGGGTGTGAGCCTCTTGGCTGAACCAGCTCCTGAACAAAGGATGGCTCCTTCTCTGGGTGCTTCTGCTGTTTCTTTTCTTCTGTTGCTTTTCCCCTCTCATGGGCTTCTTCACTTTCCATCTTCTGATGCCCATGGGTACACACGCCACATCAGTTGCTTTGCCCTGTCAACATCTGTTCCCCTGCTCTCTCAGAATAGCTCTGGTTTTACTGTTCTAACATAGCACTATTAAAAAAAAAAAAAATCACTGGATGGAACAGAATAGCAGCTGTGTAATAGAGGCCAGCAGAGTGTCCCAATGGGAGAGGGTCAGCATCCAGGGATTGAGGTTATTCAGGAAATGGGAAGCATATTTTTTCTTTCTTTGGCCTACCTCTGACAAACTACTGTTCTGCTGCATAACATTTTTATTCTCACTGGAGTATGACAAGCTGCAGAATGGAGCAAATATATATTGCAGACATTTGTAAAATGCTAGATGACTTTCCCTCAGACATAAGTAATAGGTATACTGGTTTAGGTGCAGGAAGAATAATAATTCACTCAGGGAAAGATATAGCAATTGGCCTTGCATCTAATATAATTGGAAATGGTGAAATATAAAGGACTGTCACTGTCTTATTTCTCCCCCCCTCTTTCTTTCCCCGAAATTAACCACAATCCATTATTTCATGTACTGTATGATCATGTCATTTGGGAGCAATAAGTGACCACATTTCCTCAACTTTATCACCACTGTTCTTGATTCTCTGATGTTAAATTCACTACATTCCTAATTTCTATTTTGAGCACATATGCTGGCCCTTAATTTGCAATTTACATGGATCATAGGATGCTATTCAGAAACCTGTTTCTGCTGCCTTTGTGGTTTTCACCTCACCTCATGTGGTCATTAGGATGAACAGCATATAATTAACTAAATTCATGTAAAGTCCTGAATTGCAAATGCTTCTCTCTACCTCTAGTTTCTTAAAAATTAGAGAAAATCTAAACATAACTGAAACAAAAGTTCCGGTGGTTTACATAAGCTGTAAGAATCAACTTTTGTTTTGTATGTATGTGATAATTTGTGCTGAATGCATCGATCCTATTTATTTGTTTCTTTTATTAGTGATTACACTTGTGTGTCATGGCAGATTAAAAATTATAAGATCTATTTGTGGGCAGGCAGCCAACAGTGAAGCCTGTTTAGCTTGTCTGCTTAGCTGAAGCCATATGGACATAAAATTACTTTCCTGTTGCATGTAAAATATTTGCCAAAAAGAAATATTTTTTTCAGTTTCTTTTTGCAATATAATTTCTATGAAGTATTTTTGTCACCAACTGCTGCAGTTTGAGTTTGTTGCATTGTACTCAGAGTGAAGCTTTACATTGGGAATAGGAGCAGAGGTTATAATAAGAAACTTCAAGCTGACAACTTTCCTGCTGATGAAATACTATCTTGAGAGGTTGATTAACTTTGTGAAGCAACAAAAGAAAATCTAAAAGATTTCCTAGTAAAGGACAAAATATTATTTTACTTTCTGTTTCCTCTAAACTTTATTTTATGTTCTCCAGCTTCTGCCTGAAACTTCAATTTTTCAGACACTTTTGAATACCATGGACAGAATGTCATTAAGACTAATTCAGTAAGACAGACCTTGGAAATTGGCTTAGATTGACACATGTGCTAGAGCAGGAAAAAGTTGACAAACCTTGAAGAGGGAAAAGCAGGATAACTTATGGAGCTCTATAATGTTCCTGAGGTCTATGCTGCTCCTGTGATTACTTTGCTTAATGGAGAATGTTTGGACTCTCCAATCTGTGGTTGAGCCTTCTGGCCAAAGGTTTCTGAGCCCATTCATTATGGTAGTGGCTTTTGCACAAACAGAAAGAGTCAGTTGTGTGCTCAACATGCTGGAACACTCAGCCTGCTTGTTCCCATGATTGTGCAAAGGAGCAAATCAGTGGCGTTGTGGGGATGCTGAGGTGGAGTCGTATCATTGAATTACATACAAGCTACGTGTCTGTCTAGTACTGAGAAAGAAACTCACTATGATAGAATTACAGTTTCTCTTCAGTGTTGCTGCAATCTGCTAAGCTGCAGTACTCAGTATCAGAGCAGGAGCTAGTTTATATTAAAATGGATAGAACATAGGAAAAAAACCCCTATACTCTTAAAAGTCCTCTGAAATTTTATGGCAAAGCTTAATATTTGTGTCTTTGCAATGCCTTAATTTTCCACTATGCTTATAAGTAAAACCATTTTTCTTTTTAAAATTGTATTTTATGCTTCTGAGTTTCTTCCTTATCATGTTACCTTGTGTGTGGGTCTTACCTTACAATCCCTGTCAAGCAGAACTCTGTTGGAATAAATTAGATGGAGTTCTATTTAGTTTTATGTCTGATTTGACAGGTCATTCAAAGCTTATTTATAAACTTCAAACTTTATTGTTTATTTTAAACAAAACTATGTTTTCTTTGACAGGTATCCTATAAGAAGGATGTGCAAGATACTCATAGATACACTGAAGTGCTGAACAGACCAGACATAAAGAAGGCAACTGAGATAACAAAGATAATAAGTGATGTATGTTCTCCTTTTACTGTCTTCCTAATTTTTAGACATGTAATTTTTTTATTCCAGTTTTGATCTGATTTTTTTAGAATGCTACTGGAATTCTCAAATGTCTTGGACAGAAAACCTGCACCTCTAAATCTGATAGAGAGATTTGATTAAAAGAAATCCAAACATTGCCATTCTTTGCCCTTCCACTGTGACCTCGGCTAACAGACAGGTGAAGAAGCAGTTTAAGAAGCAGCAGTGTGTGATGCAGTTCAGTATTTTATTGTAGACAAGCCAAACAATATATGTACTTAAAGCCTTGAGTCAAGTTTTTAAGTAATTAATTAAACATAAGACTAACTAGACACATTCGGAGAGACAGATTTAAGAGATGGAAATTCACCTTTCAATATTCAGGATTTTATGAAAACCAAGAACTTCTACTAAGTGTTATGCTCAGCATGCAAATTTACTAATTGCTGTTCAAGTGCTCTTAGAATTAGAGTGCTTTGGGACTTTTATTTCTTCCAGTCTATTCTTAAGACGTGTCCTTGCTGATTCACAGTGTTTGAGTAATGCAAGAAGCCTCTTTTAGGCAATGGGTAATTTAGTTTGTGGTATTGCAAAGCACCTATTCTTGATTCATCTGTGTTTTTTTCTAATGCATTGTGGGGAAAAATTGCAGCAGTTTGCATGGGAGGCAGTTCAGCTGGAGAGATCAGGTAACATTAACCTTGTGGGACTAATTCAGCTCTGTGACACCAGTGCAGTCTCACTGACATCCAGCGAGACTGCAGTGGTAAAACTGAGAGTGGAATTTGACCTTACAGTTCAAAAAAGTTGCCCCTCAGACTAGTTTTATTTCAAGACTACTTTCAGCTGCTGCAAATCATCTTGGGTTAACTGTAATAAGAAATGCTGAGCCACTGTGACTCATTCTGCCTTGATCGGGAGGACAGTATTTCTCTGGCTTAAGATGTGCATTTGGTTAAAATTGAATTTTGTGAATGCTGCACATTGTGTTTTACAATTAATAAATATTATATTGTTAAGGAGCTGAACCCTGAGAAGGGCTTTACTCAGAGCTGATTAGAACAGTAGTGTCAATGCAGACATTACATGAGACTTTTTCTACTAGCTTTAATGCTTACATTTCTCTCGATAAAAAAAATCCTGAACAATTTATTAGTGATTCATATCCACCCGCTGCTTTTTTTTTTTTTTTTTTCTTTTTTTTTTTTCCATTTTAAGGCAAAGTACAAAAAAGGAAGAGAAGAACTGAATAAGGAGTCTGCTGTGCTTGGAAGACCCGATTTTGAACATGCTAAAGGAGTTTCAAAACTTTTAAGCCAAGTAAGATTCTCCATCATTTTACGATGATTTAATCAAAATAGCTCATTCCTAGTAATTCAAAGAAATACTTAGATTTTTAGATGCTTATCTCTAATGGCCTTGAAGGTTATGTTCTCAAACTTTTCATGTGGCATTGCAATGATTGGTAAATTTTGGATTCTTAGGAAACCAAATACACATTTTGAAGCAAAAATATGATGAACTTTGTCTCTTGTGGAGACGGTGTATATTTATACAGATTTTCTAGGATTTCTAAAATATTATCTGTATGTAATTTAGAGGCAAATTTTGCTCCTCATTCAGTTTGAGTGGAACCTTACCCTGTGATTAATCCCACCGAAGTAACTGAGGTCTTTTGTGTAGCTGCTTGCTAATGTGAGTAATGGGATCTGAATTTGGCCTGACATGTAAACCACCCTCCTTCCTTCCCCTGAAACTGAACCTTTTATGTACTACAGTTATATATTAACCTCAAAAAAAAAAAAAAATGTCCTTAACTAAAAAGAAATCTGAAATATAAATATTCCCTCTTCCTCTTAGTAGTTTTCTACTCATGAGATGTACATGTAAGACTCTACTACAGATCATCCTGACATTGTGAGAACAGATTTTTCACTGTTGATCTGGTTTTTTTGGGTTTTTTCCCCTTTTTCCCCTCATTTTTTTTGTTTGAAGTGGTTCTTTAACAGTGCCTTGCATAATCCTTGCTAGTAATCCTGTCCAGCTACCATTGGAGCTTTTGAAAACCCAGAAACTGCCCTCCTGTAAGAGGTAAGAGAAGGGTGGTGCCCTTTGATTGGAGAAGGCTGTGTCAGCCTTCCCAAAGCAAAAAAACCTCTCAAGTGTAAACAATGTATATACTAGGACAGACTCAGTATCAGTGATATGTAAAAAATACGTGTGTTTTGGCCAGATACTAAATGTCTTCCCTAGAACTAGCATAAAATGAGAATAACGTGTCCTAGAGGACAAGCTGAAAAACAGTGTCTGCAGGAGGTAGCACTTCTTTTGCTGTTATCCTTAGATACCTGCATTCACACCATTGTAAACTTTGAAGCACAAGGAGAAAAAGAAGGAAATAAATATTTTTTATTGCTTTGTTGGTGATGTGCTCAGAATCAAAATGGGATTGTGTTTTTCAAATAGATTCCTGTCTTCTATTTTATAGTGGATCAGGTTCTCATTTCTCTGCTGATGGGCAAGTTTGCTAAGAGATTATGTTGTGTTTAGCATTGTGCAGGCTTGGAAGTCAGCCTCTACTTTCTAGCAAGTGCCAGTGTGATCCTGCTCAGACCTGAGTGTAACTAACAGGAAATAGGACTGTCATTTAGCAAACATGTCCAATGGTTTTTAAGAGGCTCCATATCCAAATGTAGTGTGTAGTGTCCTTTATATCTACTCTATGGCTGCCTACACACTCCTGTCCTGCAGCTCACTCCTGTGAGTTTGCAGCTGCCTGTTTTTGCCAATAAGACCAAACCATAACCCTTTCCAATAGCCCTGTCCATCTTCCCAAGCCTGGTACCCATGAGATTGTGGCCAACAATCACAAGTGAAAAATATCAGCTGGATCACGGGATCCTGCAGGCTGATGAGCCAGCTACGTGGAAGGCTTCATCAATGCACTTTTTATCTTGTTTTTGTTAGATGTGCTTTTTATCTTGGACAATGCAAGCTGCATCTGCAAATGCTTTATAATAGGGCCTCTTCACTGCCAGGAACTGGGATGGCAGCAGTTCTAGTTGAGATCCTTCTGTGGAAGGCAGCATTTGCTGTGCAATTTTAACTTCTTTAGAGAGTCCAAATAGTGCAGAAGGTGTAACAGAAAGGGAGAAGTTGACAAAATGTATATTTCATTTGGTTTATTTGTGAAGAAGATTCTTATTAAACCTTGGTGGTCCGAATGCTGCAGTCACTGGCCCTGGATCCAAGTTTTGGGATCCTTTCTTGCATTGTCCCCTCCTCAGTCTAAGCTACCGTGGCTGCTTTGCAGTGTGTGTGATGGGGACTGTGCTTTCAGAAAAGGGGGCAGTGCCTCAGCCTGACACTCTGCCTGCAGCAGCCTGGAGGGTGCAAATGCTGGGCAGCTCTCAGCAGCAGGGAGGTGCACTCAGCAATTCCCCCATGTCCTCTGAAGGGAAGGCAGTGGCCATGAGTTGTCTAATGATCTTATATATTATTTGAATCATTATAACACTTAGACACACTAATCATAAATCAAGAGCACAGAAAAATGAAGATGACCCCTGTGTCCAAAGAGCAGGATGGTGGGGCAGGATGAGGAATGCACCTGTGCTAGAGGAGAGAAAGAGACCTAAATATGGGTCAGTCATGTCAGTCCTCTTCATGCAAGGATCATGGAACAGGCTTGTAACACTTACAAGATTTAAAAAAGAGTAAAGTTAATGATCTCTTTATTGTCTCCAGACTTTCTGGCTTTTGGAGTTTCCATTTGTTTCTAGAAAATGGGAAGATCATAAACTTTTTGTGTTGAAAGTTGATAATCTCCCTTAATTGCTTAAATCTATAAGCTGTGACATGCAGAGAAATATTAGTTATTTGACCCTCATAGTAAATTTGCAAAGTTGACAATTCTGATGGATGTAATGGGAAGAGAAGATGATAACATGTTTTAATGTGGTGCATATGGGTAGGTAATTTAGGGAGTATACAGAACAGGAGCAAGAAGAGGTCAGGCAGTGTGGGTGTAACGAAGGGAGAAAGCAATCAAGGCAAGCAGGAAAGCAAACAAAGCGAAGAAAATAGTGTTAATGTTTGACTGGCACTCAAGGCTCTACAGAAATCACTGTTTCCTCTCTCTCTCCTTTCTTTCCTTTTTTATTTTTTATTTAACAAAGCTTTTGACAACAACAGCAGCAAAAATAATAGCTCCCAGAACTAGTATATTTACCCACAGCATGTGGTAACCCTTTTCTGTTGATTTTAAATGAAATTTAAAACAGAAACTGTGTTGGCCCTTGTGAAAACATGAAGCTTGTCAATTTGCCGAGTGTGCATTGTATAATTTGGGCTATATTTTTCTATTTTTTAAATTAAAACAAGCTCCTGTTCGTGCCCACTTTATGTTTTTAATGTATTTTGTTAGCTTTTTCAAAGAACTGCTGATATGAAGTATTCCTCTTATGGTGTTCAGTAACTGGTTTTAAGATAAATAATTTTGGATATTCATATTTGTTGCTGAATCTGGTGCTTATTGTTTTAAGGATAAAACTATTAGAGGTAGGATGTTTTTCAAAATGTATCTTCTCTGAGATTTTCAGTAACAACCCAAAGACCCTAAGATTTTCTCAATCTTTTTTTGCATTAAACTCTGCTAGTGCTTTTAGCAGGGAACTTTTCAATTTTGCTCTTTGTTTATGCTACATTTTCTTCAATATATATGTGCTCTGACAGGATTTTTCCTTTTTTTAAGATGTTTTCATATGGTCCTGAGGAAATGCTTTAGCTGCAAGTGTCTGCTTCATCATGGGATCCCAGTGGTTGCATGATTCAATTTTTGTAGTTTCTTTGTAAATCTGAACAGTGGGTGATGTCATCCACTTCTGAAACTGAACACTCCCTGTGTGAACAGCTTTGAACTACAGATTTGATTTAGGAATGTTACTGCTAAGCTTCAAAAGACACTGCTCTGTCCAGCTGCAATTCTGACTTTTATAGGTTTTGTGCAAGGTCGATGAGAAGTTTGTTTATCCAGGCCTTATTTAATTCCAGTTTGGTTTTTCAGGGATGTTGTTGTGTTAAAAGCCTGCAGAGTCTGCTCTTTCTTAAGCATAGAGAGCAACCTCCACGCATTTCTTTTAAATTAACCCCCACCATATAATCTCTAAAAAAATAAACAAACTTAAGACTTTAATGAAGATGGTAAACAAGTAACCATCCTTTTAAGCCCTCATTAAAGTAAAGCTCTTGGTTAATGATGAAATTTGTAGATAAGTGTCCACTAACCACTGTCAATTCTACTCCCACTTGTTTGCTCTTCCACCATATTAAAGCCTTGCTAAGACCTCCCCCCTTCAGATGGTTTAGAAATCATGAGGTATTTTTCTTCCTTGTTTTTGTTCAGAACTCTTTCTCTCAGGCATGTTTCCTCTCTTTAAACTGCATTCACCCTGTTCAATAGGATGATGAATACTGTGTGCTTTCCTTCACCATGACTCATCCATGGACTTGCTCTTCTTTCTTCACTCTCTCCCATCCCACACTTCCTTTCAAAAGGGAGAAAGAACCAGAAAAATGTTGTTAAAAGAGAAAGTGTATATCTATGTAGCTGTCAATGCAGCAAATCCCCTATGACAGGACAGTTAAATGGCTGCTGGAAGTGCTCTGGAGACAGAGCCAGGGTTGTCTGTTTACTGTGTCTGCTCTGCTTTGCCCAGAGCGACCCGTGTGATGGGGAGGGGAGCAAAGGCAATGAGCTGAGCAGCCAGGGCAGGCAGCAGGGCCTGGAGCTGTGAGGCAGCTCTACTGCAACCAGAACATTTACACTCAACTTGGTTGGGTGGCTCCTTTAATTTTGGAACCCTCCTGCATCAGTACACGGGGCCCCATGAAGACTGGGTTCACTGGTCCCCCCTCCGTCCTTCAGAGGCAGCAGTGTGGTCTGAAGCGACTCTAAAGAGGGTCTATTACTGGAATCTCTAGATTGAAATGCATTGCTAAAAAGAAATTTAAATGATGGCATGGAATGACTGCTGCTGGAAGATGGCAAGCCAGTTGTGAGGAGAGGTCCCTTTGGCACCAACACTTTCCCACTTAACAAGAATTTCAATGCCATGTTGTGCATTTGGTCTGTGTGCACTGCTTGTGGCATTTATTGGCCAGGAGAAGGCAGCCTACAGTAGTTGGATGCTTAAAGTCTTATGCTTGGTGGAGTTGTGATGTGGGTAAAGGAGTAAAAGACAGTTTTGCTCACCCTGCTGTCTTGATCTCTGGATTTTTGAATGACATATTTTCACTGCCTGATTTTCATTAGAAGGCAAATTTTGGATACACCTTTTAAGATAGAAAAGCCCTCTGATTTTTTCCTTCACTGCTCGTACAGAGCATGGATTTGCCTTTGCCTTTGTATTTAGATATAAGGCTGAGGAAAAAAAAAATTGAAGATTGTTTGAGGTGGCTTAACCACTTTTTCAGGCATTCATGTGGGAATAGAGAAAAAAGGAGTAGGGAAGAATCCATGTATTTACTTAGTGCAGAGCGTGGTAAATTATAATGGATGTTGCATAGGCTCAGATATCAGGTGTCTGCCTAAAATTCATGAAAGCAGCATAATTCAGACTGAACTTTATTCTCCTCCATTATGCCCAGCTGTTGGAAAGAAGCAGACATGTGTGCAGTCTCCAGATGTTTGATGATCGCTCACAAAGGGAGCAAAGGAGGGAGATACACTATTTGTTCAATTTCATATTTTCAGATTATGAATTCAGTTTTTCAGCATATTTTATGGAATTTTTATGTTTTATTTACTTTTAATGCCATTGTCTCCATATTTATGTATTGCTTATTTCCTTACAAGTGTTATCATTCCCCCTTTTTCTTTTGAATGAGAAGAAAAGATGGTGAAGGTGATGGCAGGCAATCATTTAATTATGCTTTCCAGCACTGTGATGAGGTGGGCATTTTCCCCAAGACTGTACTACAGAGGGATTTCTCAGTGTCTTGTGGGAAATTTTTGGCAGGATTAAGAAATAGACCTGCCTGTTCTGGTGGAAGTCCAGCATAGTGGGAGTGACATGTAGACCTGGTGGTGGTAAGTTTGATTCTGACTTCCCACTTTCAGGTGGTTGAAAAATTGACAAGTGATTTGTTTTACAGATGTTACAATTTATTCACCTTAGATTTTTTTTTTTTTTGTGCTAAAACCACAATTTTGGTATTAATTATGAATCAAATTATTGTCTATTTGATTATTGCTAGTCAGTTTGACTTTTGCTAGTCAAATAGTTCTGTTTTATTTGATTACTCATTTGAGTCATGTGGTCTTGTTTCTGTTTTCTTTTTATAAGTCCTTCAGCACCAGTAATCACATATGACAATATTCAAATTTTAGGAAAAATTCCAATACATAGAACTTAATTTGAAACCAACGCAAGACTGTCACAGGTGTGGGTAAACTGAGTTTCTTTAAACTGTGTTTAATGATTTATGAATAAAGCAATTGCATTTAATAAGTTTCTTTGTAGTCTGAATTCTCTGCCTTTTTTAAATCCTATATGTTAATATTAGACATGTTTGTTCTGGTGAAAGGTAAAATACAAAGAGAAGTCCAGTAAGGAAATGAAGAGTCACCAGTACAACCCTCTTGACAGTGCTTCCTTCAAGCAAGCACAGATTGCATCCACCTTGGCAAGTGACGTAAGTTAATTGGCTTTGTATTTTATGTGCATTTACATCCTGAATAACCTAACATTTATTCACAAGAAGAATTTATTTTTTCATCTTATGAATTCCTCTGAGTCACAGTCTCTGCTATACAGTGTGTAGCAGGTACAGCGTGTTATCTGTTTCTTCTTCTTCTTCTGACAGAGGGCCTGAAGAGTTTTTCATAACCATTTTAGATGAGATTTGTCTCACTTAATTTTGTGTATCAAAAGGTGTGACCACTTTGAGCTACTTGCCTTGTACTTGGTCCCTTTTTATTCAGGAAAGAAATAAACAGGTTTAGAAGCCAATTCTTTTCACCTGTTAGAGGTGCCTGTCTTTAGAGGAGCAAAGTACTGTCATCTCTCCAATGGCTATAGAAGGAGGTTACACGAGCAGTTCAGATTTGGATGTTGGCTGTTTAGACTTTATTTTTCTGGTTGGTCTTTTCAATGGTATTACAAAATACTGCAGTCACTAGGTTCAGCAATGGGTGGCTGCTGCTGGAGCCAGACTGGAGAAAACATCTGTATCAGGGGATACTGCTCTTGGGATTATATATTTAAAAGTGTGTTTAATGCTAAAAATATGATCTCTTTGAGGCTGTGATCCCAGATAGCCAAAAGGCAAGCCTTCATTCTGTAGTCCAGCATTTCTGGAGTGTGAGGTACCGTGCAATGGGAACAGGAAAGACTGGCTCTGGGAAGGGTACAGAAGATTATGTAATTATTTCCAAAATATACATGTGTAGTAAAAAGATCAGTTGAAGCAGTTATTGGGCAAATTGAAGTGAGGAACATGATACCTATGTGGAAATGACTAAAGGTATTAGTTTAAAAGATTTCTTATCCAAGACAGTTAAGGTAGCTAGTTTTCCTCCTGTAAATTTGGGCATACAGGTCTCAGAAGAATGGAAACTCCTACTGTAGGCTGATGGGAAGTTACTTTCTGCTGCTTCATTAAGTGATTATCTTTTGCTTTAGGTCACCATATTGCTTATATATGCTGCAAGCAATCTGTGTTGGATAAAATATCCAGGAACATTTACCTTTAACTGCTATATATCAAACTTCTAAACTGGACGGTGTGATTCCTGAAGCTGGGAAAAAAGAATAAGAATTAAAGGTGTTTAATATGATTGGACCCAAAGTATTGAGGAAGACACTCTTGATTTAAGTAGGGGGTGGGAAGGGAGGGGAGAGGAGAACAGAGGCAAATTAATTCTAGCCTGAAAAGTGATACAAAGTGTGGTTTCGTTGTAAGTGTGCTTGTTTGGAGAAAAAGTTTGAGTAGTTCCTAAGTATGAGTCCTATATTGTTCTTTCCTTTTCTTTGAAATAATAGTAGATGACCACCATCTAGTGGCTGGGAGAGATTTTTCAGGGAAGCACTTAATGTTTTCTCTTTCTGAATGGTCACGCTGTAATACAGAGCTGTGAATTATTTTATTAATCTTTAGTGTGCATAACCTGCATTTTCTTTCCAGGTGAACTACAAGAAAGATTTGGAAAGCCTACATGATCCAGCATCTGATCTACCAAATCTGCTGCATTTAAACCATGCTTTAAATATCAGCAAAACACAGAGTGATGTAAGTTGCCTTTTTAAGAACAACTTGAAAAATAAATCTAATAAGGAATGTGCTATGTATAGGCACGGTTGGAAACATTTTTACTCTCAAATGTAGTGGAAAATGGTGTTGCAACTGTAGTAGATGAGGGGTGTAGTGAAGAAAACCAGGTTTTTATGAGGACATATTTCAGTTATTATAACAGATAATATATACCGTGGAAGAATCACACAGACTTCTGATGTTGAGTGTTTCTTTTCATATACCTGAAACATTGACATTTTTTTCTTTGTTCTAAGACCTAAAATACTTCTTTCCTTGCAAATCTCATTTTGTCAAAGATCTTGCTTTCATCTACAAGTCTCTACAAAAGTGACCATTATGCTAGTTTCCTATTTGGACTTTTTTTCATGAACAGCCTCTGGACTGTTTGCTTCTCTTAGCCAGAGAAGCTTTTGGGCTTCTCTGGCTAAGCTTTTTCTCCTCCTGTCTGACTCTTCCTACACTGGGTCAGATAAATAGGCACATGCTCCATTCTGCCACATAGCAAGATATGCCCCTATCATCGTGGTAGGGGTTGAAATAGGAAGGAAGAGCTCAGAAAATGTTCTTTCCCACTCCAAGAGCACTTATGCTGTGTGTCTGTAAGCTGGTTAGCTGCATTTGTCATCTTTACTCCATAAAACACAACAGGCCTGCAGAACTGCTATGGAGAGGCATGAGGGGGTGGTGTTGGGAAGGAAGGTTGCTCTATGGTTGGCAGGAGTTGAGTGTTTCATAGACAATTAACTCTCATGAGTAGGAGCATACTGGGTCATCTTTTGAGTCAGTGCCTGCTTATGTCTAAAATAATAAAAACAATCCATCTATATTTGATTTTTGTGGGTTTTTTTTTTTTTTTTTTTTGAGAACTGAAGCTTTTTTTTGTCTGTCTCACTTCCTCTGTGAAGGTAACACTGACTATCCCCTTTTGTATGAGTAATAAATGAGTTGGAGTCTTTTTCTTCCTGCATTCTTCATGCCCTTTTTGGCCCAAATCTAGTTTCCTTCTAGTGTCTGGTAAGATCGGCAGACTTGCTGATTAAATGAACACCCTCAGAATGGACTTCATCAGTTTATCGCCTTAGTTCTAAGGATATAGAAACCTGGACTTTCTCTTAAGGCAGATCATGTCTTGCAAAATGTATTTCTTTCTTTTGTCCTGGAGGGGTTGATTCATAATGTCCATGTGCTTGTCTGAATCTGTAAATACTAAACCTGTGATTTTTGCATCTCCTGGTGAGTATTTTTATTTGGTACAAGAAAAAAAATGTTTTGCTTTGCTAATCCCTAAACTCTCCATTAAATAGCTGTCTTTTAAAGAAATACCATTTTCACAGTCCTTCTCAGACTTGACCTCCCCATGTCATTGCTTTTTTTTAAACATGGTTTACTCTTCTGCCTTTCTCCCTCCTTTTCCAGTGCATTCCATGTGTTCTCCTTGGCTCTCCATAACTCATACCAAATCTATTTTAAAGAGTCTTCCTGACTTCCCTGTGTTAACTGATTTCCAAAGACTGGTCTTACGGTCGTTTTTTTTTTTTTTTAATTTAATTTAATTTTATTTTTTTGTTTGTTTTGTTTGTTGTCTATTTGGTTGTTTGTTTTTTTATTCTGAAACACAGAGCTGCTTGCTAATTGCCAGATTTTGCTGTTTCCCTGCAGTACATCTTTCTCCATTGAACTTTTTGTTTTTCATTATCTTCTACATAACATAGCTATGCCTGCACCAGTGTGACAGATTGAAACCTATATGGTTAATTAAACTCATAAACTAATATTGTTGATTGAATGATTTGTTTTGCTTATTGACCTGAAGCGTAGATGTCTGTACAACACTATGAAGCACTTATACTGTAATATCAATGCAAGGGTGTTATACAAGTCAACTTCCACGGGAATAAATTTCAACAGTTAAGAGGAAAGCTTGATGGGCATCTTTGGACATAAATAAACAGATTTAGACAGGTCAAACTCATCCAAGTTTTATTTTGATGAGGAAGAAAATTACAAGATAGAATTCTCCCTTCATAGAGTATTTTCTGGTTTCACTTGTAATGGAGGTAATTTTCCTCCTAGTAGCTGGTGCTGTGCTGTGTTCTGATTTAGGATGGAAACAATGTTGATAATACACTGGTGGTTTAGTTGCTGCTGTGCAGTGCTTGCACTAAGTCTAGGACTTTTCAGCTTCTTATGCAGCCCTGGCATTGAGGTAGATGGTGGTGCATGAGAAGCTGGGAGAGGACACAGCCAGGACAGCTGACCCAAACTGGCCAAAGGGATATTCCACACCATATAGTGTCATTCTCAGTATATAAACTAGGGGAAAGTTGGCCAGGGGTTCCTTCTCAGGGACAGGCTGAGCATTGATAGGTTGGTGGTGTGTGACTTTTTTTCATTTGCATCTCTTGTTTTTTTTTTTTTTTCTTGAGTTAATTTGTCTCTCTTTTTTTGTTATTTTCCTTTTATTACTGTTTATTATTATTTTAAAGCTTATTTTATTTAAATTATTTAACTCTTATCTCAAACCACAAATTTTCTCACTTTTACCCTTCTGATTCTCTATCTATCCCCTGGAAAAAAGTTTGTGAATGGTTGCGTGGCTGGCTGTAGTTAAACCATGACAGATATATATGTAATTCTGGTATGAACTATGGAGACACAAAATTTGACACTTTGATATATGTAGAACAGCTAGTTTAATGTTTTTCACATTTTAAATCTGTTCCTATTGTGGAGACTTTGGGATACTAATGAAATATCAAAGGGGGCTAAAAAAGGGGGAACTTAGATGTATTTAATTTTAATGAAGTGGGTGAATAAATAGAACTTCAGAGACTGAATGTGGTGCTTTTAGTTTGGCTTAATGTAGCAAAAAGTTATGAGCTTAGCTAAGTTGATTTTATAGAATTTCTTAAAAATTTTCTTCCATTAGCTGTGGAATGGAGTAAAAATATGAGATCAGTGTCTGTAGATGGAGGTAATTTTAATGTGTTTCCACTACTGAAGTGTTTTTGTTGTGTGCAATTTATAGTTCTTCCCACTAGGAGGCAAACCCAGACCATCATATGTGTTCCTTTGCACTTCAAGTGTAAATAATAATGTTTATTTTGTATCGAACATAGAAATATCTGACTTTTAGATTAGCAGGAGAGCTATTTTCTCTAGGAATGTATAAAAGCTATTTTTTATCATATCCTTTTTTTAAAATTTTATCACAACATTTTAAATTCACATTTGATAGAACTCCCCAGTTTGTAGGAATGAAATATAGTTTCTTTCTTCTATGTTTTTTCTTTCACAGTTATTTTAAATAGTGTTTAAATTCCAAAGCCTTTTGGATTTTGGCAGTGAAAACAAAATTTTTGGATTTTTTTTTTGTTTCACTATGCATATAAGAAATCATTTAAGCAAAACATTTTCTGTCATTTCATCCCAGACACTGCAGAACAAATCAATTTCAAAGAAAATGCAGTGCTTCAAAGTCAGGTATACACAACCACAAATGAACACATCTTGCAAAGAGAAAAATGCAGTGTTTTAACAATGATTAAATCATGCACAAAACCACATAATAGATTTCAGTGATGTACAGTGCATGTTCAATCAGAAGCACCCCATGAGGAGAGAGGAGAATGTTTTTGCAGGACCCAAGCCTAATGGAGAAGCCTGACATGGAAAGAAATTTAGACATCACTATTTTTGAAGAGATATAGAAATTAAAATTACATTACTTACTATAAATGTAATATTTTGATTTGTGGCTATTTGCTTTCCTTTAACGCTTCTGTAGACTATTCCATCATGCCCCACACTGACTGATGGAGATAAGTAATGTGTTTGCCAGTCTTAATCAAAAGAGTGTGAATGAATGAGTTCAGAAGGCTTCTCCAGGTTTCCAAACAAGGTGTATTTCCTTTATGAGTTAGCAGAAAGGAGTAAGTTGATGTCTTAACCCTGTGTCCTTCACTGTGATTTTGCTGCCAGTTATAAGGTCATGGTCCTTGGTAGATGTGAGGGGAGTGTTGGTGCAGGACAGGGCCCTACCAAAGCAGCAGTTTTCCTCCATTTCTTCTTCCCACAATTGAGAGTTGTGCTTCTGAGCCTGGAACAAAGACCTGTGGAGCCTGGCTGTGAAACAGATTTTGTTGCTGTTACAGTAAATGTGTTGTTTATGGAAACAGCAAGAGATGCTATTAAAAAGCTGCCAAGTGTTCAGACATAGGTCATTTGGCCAAACCTATGCAGTTAGTTTGAGGATTGTACTTGATGCTCCTTATTTCTGTTGTCTTCAAAGTCCACAATTTCTAGGTCTGAATTGTGTAGAAAAGGAATAAATGACGCCAAAACATATTACCTTATCTAACTGTCCAACAGGTTAAATTTGGGAGAAGTCTTCCAAGTCAAAACACCTAAGGAGCATGGCTAAGACAGGATTTGTTTCTTGCCAAGGCAAGCAATCAGATCTCATTCTCTCAGCTGTTAACAGACTTTATTTTAATTTTATTAGGTCAAGTACAAAGAAAATTATGAAAAATCTAAAGGCAGATCGATGCTGGAGTTTGTGGATACACCAATGTATCAAGTTTCAAAGGAGGCTCAAAAGATGCAAAGTGAAGTAAGTAAAAAAATGTACTTTTTGAACAAGTAAAATTTAGATCAACAGAGAGGTTAACTGACTCAGGTTAAGAAAATGTACAAAGCAGAGAGTAAATTGTGGATATGGCAGAGGTATACTGAGTAGTTGTCTCTGCTCTTCTGTAGTTCAGTTCTTCTTGTGAATTTGTATTTTTCTCAAAAGGCCATTGGTACTAACAGTACACACACATCATTTTATTGAGAATAAGCTCAATAGGTCATCTGGATCAGAGATTAATAACCTTTAAAATTTTCACTTGAATTCCATCTTTAGGGAAGGATGGTTCTCATGTGGGAGCAAGTGAAGCCACAGAATCCAGTCCAACCCCATGATTTAGCTGAAACATCCTCCTGCCTATCCAGCCTGGGAAACTCATCAAGGAGGAGGGACTGTTCCCAGGCTCCGGAACAGCACTGGCTGTCTTATATCAGGCCATGTTTTTCTAAGTTAAAAAAAAACCAACCAAAAAAAATACTTCAAATGATGGAGATTTTGTGACTTCCCAGACAATCTAGTCCAGTGCATTACCATCCATCCTGAGTGAGATGGATGCACCTGTGTCCCCATGCTGTAGTTTGATGCCATTAGTTTTGCTGTGTCATGGAAAACAGATTATCTCAGCCTCTTGGTAGAAACTTTAATGAGTTTTAAACCATTTCCTTGTGTGCCATTTGTCTTCACTTTTCCCTACCAAGAAAACAGTTTCTTTCATAGATCAGGTTCTTTGGGCATACTGTACACATATTTTTGCCTAGATTGTATCTGTTTGTATAAATAAACTAGATAATGAAATGCATAGTGAAGTTGCTCATTAGTGTGAAATCTAATTTATGGCAGGGCTTATTTCTGGTTCTGTTTACAATATCTCTCCTACAATATCTCTCATATTTCTCCTGAAATATGCTTGGAATTGCATATGTATGTACCACTAATTTTGGTTTTGCTATGATAGAAAACGTACCGCAGAGATTTTGAAGAAGGGATCAAGGGAAGACCTTCACTGGATTTAGACAAGACCCCAGAGTTCTTGCATATAAAACAAGTCACTAATCTTCTGAAAGAGGTAAAGGATTTTTTTGTTGTTGTTAAGTTGTAAATGAGCAATAAGCAGCATCACTACAAGCTGCTGAGTGGTGAATAACTTAAAATTTTCTTGGCAGTTACATACAAGTAAATATTTTCACTAGCAGGAATTGCTTCATATAATTTTGGATTCTGAATAGTCCTGTAGTAAGGAAATTATAAAGTTCAGCATACCTGAATCGGACTATCACTTCTCTTTTCAGATAGATAAAGGGGTGGATGGAAGAATTTCCATTGGTGTCCAGATGGCAGTTTTTCCCTCTGAGTAATTATTTCACATTTACGGTAGCCTGTTGAGGTTATACAGATGCCTCGAACTGCATAGAGTCAATTATAACTAACTTAATTACAATAATTATCTATCATACATGTTATGGATAAAAAACAAAGAAGACCAAAATTCCCTAATAGAGCTGTAATATTGCATAACTCCTTTAGTCCATTTTGTTAGAAGGTACAGATTTTCTGTATGCCTACTGTTTCCTTCAGATTTGTGAAATGTTCTTCAGTTGTATATGTCACTAAAAATGAAATTTTTTCTCATAACTGAGAATCCTTCTATCTTTAGTATTTTTATATTATTTTTAAAACTGTTTTTATGTTAGGTTTTGAGTATTGTGTGACTGAATTTAGAAGAGCTAGGAATGCTAGAAGAGAAGAGCAGTGCTACTAGATATTCTGCCTTTGAATCTGGGAGTCAACAATACCTTGTTTATATTTATGGTATTAAGAACAGATTTTTTTTTTTTTTTGCCAAAACAAATAAAGCACATTAGAATTAAAAATGCTTGAACTTAGTGCCTTTCCTTGTTCTTTATACAACTTATTCCAGTCCATGCTAGATTTCATACAGTTAAAGAAAAAAAATTTCTTTAAGATATTTCTTTATAATTCATCTCTAATAAATAATTTATTCTGATAAGCCTGATTGTCAGGTAGGCAAGTTTCAGGCTAGGTCTGTTTTGTGCAGTGGCATTTTGTGATACATCTCATATATGCCTTCTCACTAGAGAAAAATGCAAATCATGTTGTCATCTTATTCAGTTCATCTTGCTGCTCACCGAATGCCCAAAGAAGTGGGTACTGTATGCATAGTTTTACCATGTGTCTTACATGTTCATCTCTGAAATTTTGATGTAGCTCCCCTCCTTAGTGCTATATGCATTAAGATGTTCTCTAATTCTGATTTCCTCAAGCTTTTATGCCTTCTTATTTAGGGAGTAAACCATGCCTGGAAGTCAAAGAGGAAGGAAATGAGAAAATGAAAATGTTATTTCCATTAATGCATAACTGCATGAATTTCTGATGATTTTATATCCACATTCAAGGAACATATTCCATACCCAGAGATTACCTGGGTAGAATTAATTAGCATTTTCATGATTCAGAAAAATTATGTATGTCTTCGGAGTCAAGGATGTAGCTCAGTGTTTTTCCATAAAAGTTCATAATCAACTTTGAATAGATATTGCATGAAACAAGAAAAACCTGTAATTAAAAATGAAATAATTGTTCAATCACTTTTTTTTTTTTTTTACCCAAATGTCAGCTATGTTCCAGGTTATTCTGTTGACTTCCTACTGTAGAGAATTCTGCAAATATTTCACATTTTGTAACAATACAAAATGTCTTCTCTGGGACCACATTTACAACTCCTTCAGAAGAGATAGCTGAATTAAATAATTCTTAGTTAAATAGTTCTAAATTAGAAGAAATTGTTTCCTGCTTGTTGTAGGACATGCTTCTGATGATCAAGAGAAGCATCTTTTAAAATATCTGGTTTCCTTTTATTTAAATAAAGAGCTTATAGGGAGATAAAGGTGCTCACTGCTGCTTATGAAACCTAATATTTAATTAGGAGTATTAATCATGTTTATGTAAATCATTCTGATAAATATTTTGTGCAATGTTCTTCTAATTTCTTTGCCCAAAAAAGCCTAAACGTCATCTGGAGATGTGAAGAGTAATTAAAAATTCTTTCATAACTTAAAGATCTTGAACTTCAATAGGCTTACATCAGCTCTCTAGGAGCTGGGAAGAGCAAAAAGAACCAAATGTCTATGGGCAGGTTCTAGTGTGCTTTGAATTTTATACTGAATATTTGAGTACTCTGGAGGCTGCAGTTGCTGAATGCTGATAGGTCATAGCAGTGCAGTGTCCAGGAGGCACAGGAGTGATATGGTAGGAATACTGCTTCTACATTTTAATTTATCAAGAGGTTGTTTTAACAGATCCTAGTATGGCGGGAATCCATCCTGATTGGGATGCCATTAATGGAACTGTGGTAAAAACTGCAGCACTGCTGGTCTACAGAAAGAAAATGCTGCTGCAGTGAAAATATCTGTCCAGAGACAGACAAGGGTCCTGAACAGTGTGCTAGTGCTGTATAGGAGACAGCTGGTTTTCAAGAGCACAAAAAAAAAATAGATGACAACATTGAAATCTTCTTTTTCAACATTGTTCCTTTTCATTTTACAATTTCCAATTCTATTTTAAGTCTGAAATCTGTACTTGAGCTAATTCATATTTCATAGAAATTTCAAAGGGATGCTTCAGATGTTTAATAAGTGGCATTTCTTTTCAAGATCTTGCACAAAAAAAGAAGTGGTGAAATCTGTCCCTCTCTTTTTTTTTTATTTTTATTTTATTATTATTTTTTTAATCCTTAGAAAGAGTATCGAAAAGATTTGGAAGAAGGGATGAAAGGGAAAGGAATGACAGTGTTTGAAGATACACCAGATTTGATTAGAGTGAAAAATGCGGCTCAGATACTAAACGAGGTATGTTACCCTAGCCTGAGGTTATTAATATCACAGAAGGTTCACTTTGTGTTAAACTCAAAAGATTACTATAAGTTTTTTTTTTTTTTTACATAATCTACATGAAATATGTAAGTATTGAAACTAAGGTTATTTCTGTTTTGCTTGAAAAAGATAGTAAAGCTCTGGATAAAAAACAACACAGGACAGATAATTTAGATTTTCAGGCAAGTGAAAGGTCATTGGAGATTGTTAGTGGCGTCAGTAGATCCAGGATTTAGAGCTGTTCTCTGATGAACAGCACATGAGTTTGGGTGGTCTTCCAGACATCCAAGGCTGTCTCTGGGAAGAAACAGAGGGGCTGGAGGGTGTAGGGAGGGAAGATGGAAGTCAAAGCTTGTGCTGCATGTTATACCTGTGGGAAATAATATCAGAATATATATATATGATATTAATTTTTAATTTTTAAATTTAAAAATTAAATTTTAATTTTTACATTTTTAAAATTTATTTTTTGTATTTTATATATATGTTTATTTACACACACACATAGACACACACACAGATATCTATATACATATCTGTAAAAAATTGAGGGAATACCATGGATAGAGCCAATTTACCACTGTAAAGAAGTGCAGGAATATATAGCTGTAACTTCTGGGATTATCTTTCCCTTGGTGTTTTACACAATATGAAGCTTAGAGGAAACATCTACCATTCCACCTTCAGCAGAGAAGAATTGAGGGATGATGTTACAGGTTAATTTAACAGGTTAATTTACAATTCTTGCAAAAAAACCCACAGTTTATGAAGTAGAGGGCTGTTTTATCACATTTATTTCCACATCAGAGTGAGACAGATATTGAAGACCAAAAATCTTTTTGCTCATGTTCTTGTAAGTGATCAAACCATTGTATTATGTACAAACATCTATTCCTTCTTTTTCTAACTAATGTACAAGTGTAAAGTAGTTAACAAACAAGAAAAGTAAGAGGCATTTCAGAATTATATGTATTTACTTTAAAAAAGAAGAATTTTCCACAGGCAGAATGACCTACAATAGAAAAAAGGATGATTATTACTACAGCACTGAAAGTAGAAATAGCTGACAATATTTTTTTATAAAAAATATTTTTTTATAAAAAATCTACAACTATTGTATACAATATTTCCATATTACTTTTTAATATAATTTGCTGATGAACAAGGAACATATCCTTGCTTGGATAAGCTGAAGATGAAATATTAATTTTGTTTTTAGGTTATTGGTTATTTATAATTTATGTTGTGAGGAAAAAGCAGCAATCACGGATGAGGACTGCCACTTTCCTAATGGCTATGGTTCAGGAAGGACCTATTAAATGAATAAATTACAACTTCCTGATCTGGAAGTTCACTGGAAGCAGTTCTGTATGGTATTAAATTTCTAACATGTAGTCTTGTCATAAATAAAATATTTTCTTAAAAGTAAAATGTTTTTCAATTAGACTGGCACCAAGGACAGACTTACTACACCATGTTCTACAGAACTAAACTTCCCCTTTGCTTTAGAGGATAACTGTAGCAGACTGCATGGGCTGATTTCCTCCCACCCTCTGCCACATTAAAAATTCATTGATAGAGATTTGTACATTCATTGAATATCTTCTAAAAGTTTTCCTTCCGTAGTTTGTTATGTGTTTTTTTCTGACAACAGTTCACCAAAAGTCGTGAGAACTGTGACTCTTGAAAGTTTTGATTGACTCTAAATCCTAAATTTGAGTGTCTAGTGGAAAAACATCTACTTCCACCTCTCTGGATTTTGTGAATGTCATGTATAAATTCTGTCTTCACAGAGGCAATACAAGAAAGACTTGGAAACTGAAATTAAAGGGAAAGGCATGGAAGTTGGTCCAGATACACCTGAGATAAGACGAGCCAAGAAAGCTTCTGAAATTGCAAGCATGGTCAGTTCTGCTCCTGGGGCGAGCTTTCCTTTCGACGGAATGCAACAAATTATTGTGGCTGAGAATTCCAGGTGGTGACCAATCTAGGCAGTACTGAAAACACAGATTTCTCTAAATAGCTAATCCATTGAGCTCAAAGAGTTGAACAGTTGCATAATCAGTGTAAGGGGGGGAAAGTTAAGACTTCCCAGAACTTAGACCTTCCTATCACGTTTTGCAGGTTGTGCTTATTCCTCATGAGCCATGCCTGGCCTGGGGTGTGTTTGGTCACTGTGGGCCCTGCTGCTTTTGGTTCTGAATAGCTACTTATTTAGGTAGGGCCAAATGATAAACAGAGTTAGAGAGATGCTAAACCATTATGAGCTCAGTCTTGCAAAGCCCAGCAGATGGAGAAGTTCTCACATGTGCCTGACTGTGGCTGCCAAAACTACACAGACAGGTAGATGTGAAGGGCTACATCGGATTTGAAGTGATCAGTCTGTTAAAAGAGTTCTTTAACCCATCAGCAACTACAGTGTAGGCATGGCATGGATAGGTTCTATAAAACTGGTACTGTTGAACCATTATTTATTTGGTGGTTTATTTATGCTGGTCAGTGAAATCACACAGATTAAATTGGAAAAATGTTAAGAATTTGGCTGTCAACTGTGAGCATTTTCAATGCTATTCTTTTCAGAAAGAATACAAGAAAGACTTGGAGAATGAAATTAAAGGAAAGGGAATGGAAGTAGGTACGGATACCCTTGATATACAACGAGCCAAAAAAGCTTCTGAAATTGTCAGCCAGGTGAGTACAGAATTAATTGCTTTAAGATTACTTTGAAAGTAAAATGCATTGAGATGTTAAAAATATAGAATCCTCTTGAACATTCTTAAGGTAAAAAAAGCAAGCAATGCACAATGAAAATATTAAATTAAATAAATTGAAGAATTTATTTTTATAGTGTGACCAGTACTATGAGAATAGCATTGAAGACAGCATGTACAGAGAGTTGTAGTATTAGTTATAGAGTTTTTTTTTACCATTTATTTTTATTCAGAAGAAATATAAAAAGCATCTGGGGACTGAAATTACAGGAAAAGGAATGCAAGTTGGTCGTATATTCCAGAAATACATTGTGTCAAAAGGGCTTCAGAAATAGCAAGCCAGGTAGACATAGTCAAAAGCTGAATGTTTTAATTCTGTGTAACAATGACTGCTTGGCATACTCTGCTCAAAATACTTTTTCTCTAGCTCTGTAGAGGCTTTCATAACCATACTAAATTAATTTACATGTAGCAAAATGTCTTAACTGCCTGATTCTTATTCGTATTTAGGCCTGTTACACCATGTAAATTGATTTAATTATTTACATCTACCTGTAGTTCTTTTCACATTACTGAACTACCTAATGTTACCTTACATACATTCTGACAGTGAAGGGAGAATATATATCAGGATACATTATCTGTGAAGGTATGTTATATATGAGGATATATAGGTATATTATATATATTTTAGTGCGGAGGCAGACAATGGTAACAGTATCATGGAGAAGTCAGGTTTAAATAAATATTGGACAGGGATGAGGAGGCTCATCAGCAATAAGCATCTTTTGTGCAGTTTGGATATCCTGAGCCCAAAAAGCATAGATGTGTAAAAATTGTTTTTCCAGAAAATGTACAAAGATGAAGCAGAGAAGATGCTCTGTAACTATTCTGCTGTCCCAGACACTCCTGAGATGGAGAGGATAAGAAGTACTCAGAAAAACATCAGTTCAGTGAGTAATAGTGCTTCTCTCCTTGCTTGTAACTTTTCAGATATTTTTTAGTTTAAATAGGCTCTCTTGTGCCACAGCACAAAATAGGGAACTTATGAGTAGGTGTCCTTTGAACCATTTCCATAATTTTCCTGGAAAAAAACTGTATCACTTATTTCTGTCAGTAAAAATAATACCCAGCTTTTCTAGGTGTGACACTGTTATTTTGAATTTCTAAACCACTTATGCCACCTTGCCAAGGTGTATTTTTGAATGAAGATATTTTTTTTCTTTTTCCATCAAGCCCTAGGAAGTACTTTATTTAAAAGGGAAAAAAAAATCAAAGGCTTTTTACTATGCATGTAAGATTTTTCATCTGTTTCCTATCATTTACTGAGCATCAAGATTAGGGTATAAAATTAGAATAGATCAAATTTCATATATATATATATATAATGATTTTATATTACACTGGGTATATTTTCAAATTTTATGCTAGATTTTAGTTTCAGTTTATCCCTAAATATAAATTATAAGCTTAGATTTCTAAAATTGCCCAATTTGGGTTGTATTACATTTCACTTCCTTTTTGGGCCCATTAATGCTGCTGTTTGTAATTCTGCCTTTGCTTGTGATATAACAGAGAAGAGGAGTAAATCTGGCCTCCAGAACAAAAGGGCAGTCAGTTGTTTTTATGGCAGACTAAGTAATACTAATAAAGCCAGTGATTTGAGAGAAAGGAGTATAAGATACTTAAATGTTTTTGGTATTATCTGACACACATATTTCTTAACTTAGAGATATCCTCTGCTTCTCCAGCTCTCAGAAGTAACTGAGTAAACTCAGTTAGTTTCTCCCAGAGGTGTTTGCCTGCAGCTCCCCTGTACACCTGAGGCTTCTGCGGGGGAGTAAGAGCCTGTGGGGAGAGCAGAGGAGATGACTCTCTGAGCCTGCTCCAGGCTGTGGTCATCTCCAGGCATCACCTGCCCTTTTCCTTCCTTTGAATGAGGACACCTGAAAGCTGCATCTTTCTAGAAGGAGCTCTTGACAGGCCCACTGGTCCAGTTTTGCTTCCTGTCATCTGTTGGCTCCTGGTTCTGAATGGTGTGTGCAGCACAGTGTGATGTGGTTATCCCCATTTCTCATGTCACTGGTGTCCTATCAGGCTAGGTTGAAACTCCCTAGAAAAGAGGCAGCCAAGCCAGCCCCTGTGATCTGCTTTCCTCCCTGCTCCAGCCTTTGGTAGCTTTTGGTGAAGTCCTCAAGTAGGTCAGTGACTCTGGCAGTGTGGACTCACTAACATTTAGGTGCCAGGCTTAGTTAAGGTAGGTATCACCCCTTAGCTCAGCCTTGACAAGGCTCTGATGCATCAGAACCCTTTTCAGCCCTTTAGGCCATTCTGAGATTTCAGTGTCAAGGCTGACAATGATCCTCTTTGTTAGTATTCTAGATAATAAGAAATAACGTGTTTTGTCTTAGAGGTGATTTGTATTTGCTTTCTTTTGTGATTGTCCTGTTCCTGTTTGCGAACTGGGTCTTCCAAATGTAGGAAAGTAGTTTACAGCAGTGATTGAACTACTTTTCTTCTTCTTTATGTTTTAGTCTTTCATCCTTCTGTCCAGTTTAGATGATAAATTATTACTGAGTGAAGATACAGCTGGAAGCAGCCCAAATAGATAAAAAAAAACAACGACCCCTAATAGTCTTCTGATTTTTGGATTCTGTCTCAAGTATTTTTCTGCCTTAAGGGACAGAAACTAACAATGAGCTCTGCAGATAAGATCGCTGCTGCTTTTAGCTCACTAGCTCATTTGGCAGATGATATTTACTTCACAGTCATCTCTTTCATAGAAAAATTCCTGTCTCAAACATATTTTACCAATCCTTCCTTGGTAGAGGAGAAAAGTATATTGTAGTCCACTCCACAATAGAAATCTTTCTAACTGACATGGTGCAGAATAATTTTCAAGTTCTTACTCATAAACTGTCTCTGTTATCACATGGTAAAACAAAATTCTAGACTCTGAATAGTTTTCTGAATATTTAAAAAAATAGCCGCAGACAGTCACTCTTCTCTGGAATATTTGACAGTAGTATTCACCCCAGGCTAAGGAGGACTTAAAGGAAGTAGAAGGAATTAGTTAAGAAAGATGTTTTTATTCTTCAAGGATTGTTGATAGGAAAACTTTAATAAATCTTGATTTAAGAAAGGCAGAAATACGAAATGATAAAGATTAATTTTATTAACTCCAGGATCAGACTTTTTTTTTTACACTAATGGACTGAAAATACATACTTTAGTGGCAACAGCTGTGACACCAAATACTGAAAATCCAATAAAACTTTTTCAGGAGTTTTGCAGCATGATCTGGTGCTCCATGGTTATTTAAATTGTAACCATGCTTGGAATTCATGGAGCAGTTATTTACTATCTTTTTCAGTAACTTCAAATGAGTGAGTCTACTGATAGGCTTTGTGATTTTCCTTTATTGAAACAATTGAAATAGAGAGAATTACATAAACAGCATGTGTATTTTTTAAGAAGTGAGTTTGTTTTTAGATACAGTCCTCAGCTTTCTGGCTTGAACCTAGGAATCAAAAATTGCATGACTTGGATTGTAGCTCTGGTTTGTTATGGTTATTTTTCCATGAATATTTCAATTTTCTAGTTTGTTATCTTAGAAATAATAGTAATGTCTGTTCACATCTCACAGTATTTTAAGATCTGAAGACTACAGAAACCGAATCAAATCCTGCATGTACATGTACCTTCAATGACATTGAAATGAATATAATTACTCAAGCATAAGGTTACATTTGTAGAACTTTAGACAATATTATATACATTTTAATTTTTTTTCTGAATTTAAATATGTAATTGCAAATACTTAAAAATACTGAGGTCATTTTAAAGGATGAGAATATATTATCTGGGTTAGAGCTGAAAATAATATTATCGTAGTTATTGACAATTAGTCTTATTTATGAAAGATTTCTTAGTAAGATTTGTAGTCAGACCAATTTGAAACTTGGAAAATTGCCTAGCCCTTTTATGAGAACTAGCATTTGCATTGCTAACAGTCTCATAATTATATTTTCTTTTGGGGAAATGAAGGTGTTTTATAAGAAGGAAGTAGGAGCTGGCACAGCTGTAAAAGATACTCCAGAGATTGAAAGAGTAAAGAAAAATCAACAGAATATTAGTTCGGTAAGTGCTATTAACATAAATTATTCTTATGTAAGTAAAAGGTGGAGCAACATTTTTTTCACTATCTTGTTTACTAAAAAGTTCTTCATTTTCATATCGCATATTCAAATAGCTGTCCACTGGATTTTGGATATAGAGCTCCATTCTAGCACCGCTAGAACTCCCCTATACTGTAGTGCTTCTGTGTCCAAAGGTAGAGATTCTAATTGAAACATTAAGTAAAATAAGAAAATACTTTAACTAAATATTTGAGGAAAATGTTTTGTCTCTCAGTAGTGAGAAATATGAGATGCATTTCAGCATGCGGCAGACTGAACAGCAATTGTATTTGCAGGTTAGAAAAATACCATGTGACAAAAAAGAAAATCTATTGTGTTGTGTTAGAGGCTGCATGTATTGCGTAGGACTTGATACAATTTGTACTTCAAGATGAGAAAAACTATGTCCAGACTTCCCTTATATGAAAAGCTAGAGAGTTGGATCTTCTTTATGTGCTGGTGACAAGTTGATCTGTGGATCTGATGAGATTAGTTCTGAATTGATTTTGTTTATCTAAGGGTGCCCAATGTCTTTGACACTTTAATAGGTAAATCAATATAAAATATCAAAATGAATGTTTTCTTCTAATAATACATTATCTTCTGATAAATATGTGGCAAAACTTGGAAAAAATCTGAACAGTGACTGCCAAGCAGCAAAAGCCTTCTAACTGTATTGTTCATTTCCTTGTTATACTTAGTGTGGACTCCTCTGGGGCAATTTTTATGTTTGTAACATGACTTTTCTAATTATTAGATTTTTTAAAAAATGTAAAGTATAAATATAATTTATAGATATGATACTATATTGTGTTTAAGTATTAGCTAAAATATGAATTAGGGTGTCTGGATACCTATTCTCATAGAATTTTGTTGTTTAGTGAATAATGTTAAACACCTAATTTCCCACCAGAGTAAGGTCGGTAGACAATTTCCAAAAAATTAGAAAAGCTCATATTTTCCTTAATTTTTTTTTTTACTTCATCCATCACTATTCGTCTTGCCATTTTGAGTCACAGTGCAAGCTATCATATGTCCTAAATCCTGAAATAGTTGGATATAGATCAGTTGAAACCTGATCCTTGGGAAGCTGTTGATTCTCTTGATTTGAGGGTGAGGGTTTTTTGTTTATTTGTTTGTTTTTTTTGGTTGTTATTTTGCTTTTAAATTTCCAATTATCACAGAGGTTTATTTCAAGAGTAGTGACACAGAAAGGAGAAGTCTTACTCGAATGCTTTTTCACAATGCATTTCAAAGTGAAATGGAAAAATAGTGTACACTGTTCTTGCTGTTTTAGAAATCCTGAATAGTGGTGAAGAGAGAAAAATGAAAGGTTGATCAGTATGCTAGTAGACACATTTGAGCAAAAACCTACCAAGGGAAGTACAAAATGCATTAGTGGTGTAGTGGTACTATGTAAATAGCATGGCCTTTACCTTGCTAGTCTTTGTGTAGAGTTAATGTTTTACAAAAGGTATTTTATTACGTGTAGTGTACTTGAAATTATTTTAATCTTGTATATTATTTATTAGAGTTGCAACATGCCAAATTTAAAGGCAATGTACAAGCATGTTTCAAATTACATGTCAGTGAGGGGGAAATTATATTGTGCAGTAAGAGGGAAATTGTACTGTGTAATGTACAGGAGTCCCAAAGGAAGGGTAAATTACACCAATTTTGAATCCATTAGATTTAAATGTTTTACACGTATTTTTGAATTTAGCCAGAAGAACTCGAGACAAAACTAAAACTATTTTCTGGGCTAAACAAAACTAGTATACGGAATGTGAAGCAAATTTGCAATGAAACACCAGGGCACCAAAATAACACAGTACAACCAACCACACAAAAAAGCCCATTGAATCATGTTCTGAAAGTGATCAGATTCTTCCAGATTACATATGCAGGAGGAAAACATAAGAATGGTGTTTTCAAAGCCTAAAATACAAGGTGGTGACAGCCAAGGAGGTTGAGCTCATCTCACCTGTTGTGATGATTGGTTTGGAAGAAGCCAAGATCTCACAAAACTTTCAAAGCAAGCCACAGACCCATGGGCTGTAGCTGAATCTGCACTGAGAAGCTATAAATAACTAAAGACTTTTAAAAAACTTGTTTATATTGTGGGGCAGTCAGGATTGGACACAGCACTGGGAAGAAGTGCTTTGGGAGAATCTATTTGTGTTTTTGTTAGTGTGAAATCTGTGAGTAAACTCCTGTGGTATGTCAGTCAATACCACAGAGCTGGGGGGGATCTTATTAAAATTCAAGTAACAGACATTTTGAAGCATTTTAAGGATGAGTAGCACTGCCAATTCTTAAACTTACCTAATAGTCTCTATTAAAAGACCCTTTTTTCTAGTGCTGTAGTGTTTTTGCCAGTCCTAAACTGTCTGGACTGTAATTTTCCATTCCTGCTCTGTGCTTTGGACTGGTTTGGTTTTATTTATTTATAAATTTCAGTCAAAGCAGCTTCCAAGTATGAGCTTAGAGGAAAACAAGTTGTTTTGTCTGTGCTATGAAAGTGGACATTCTCCAGAAGTACCTTGTCTTTAGAACAGAGTTGAAAATTAAATATTAGGAAAAAACCAGTAAATATCTGATAGCACCTGTAAAAGCTTCAACAATCTGCACAACTACATCCTCTCCTGTGTGTCACATGTGTTCTTAAAGAACTTAAATGAGACTTTGAAGCCATCTACCTTTCTAGAACACCTAAAAGGTTTCGTTTCTGAAATAGACTGGTAAACTCCATAGCAAGTTAATAGTAAGACCAGGTCATTTTCAAAGTTGGGTGGATCTCCAGGTAGTGTATGCAGCATCCCAATTATGATGAATATAACCACAATCCCATGTGATGTATATTCCCACTGTGAGAGTTTTAGTACACTAGAATTGTTATAAGCACTCTCTTCTGCATTTTATCAAACAAGGTACATCAGAGACCCTAGCAGACTGTTTTAGAAAATAACTGTTGCTTTTCGGGCCAGTGATATTAGTAGATGTGGTCTAGTAGTGCAGTATGTATAAGGGTGAGAGTATAAAGTGATAGATGTGTTTTAGTGCCTGTCTCTCTCTTCTTTAAATTGATAATATTTTTTAATGTCTATTGTGCAGATTAAATACAAGGAGGAAATTCGACATGCAACAGCTATTTCTGATCCACCTGAACTAAGGAGAGTTAAGGAAAACCAGAAGAATATTAGCAATGTGTGCCCCATTTTCATTTCTTGCACACTTCTCTCTCCTGTATTAAATGTTATTAATGTGTCTTGGTGAATATATCTGCGGTGTTTGTGCTACTTTCTGTTTGTTCACAAAGACCAATTTAATCAATTAATGGTAAAATGGTAATTCCTTAGCCTACACTTTGGTTAATAAGAATAAGAGTGAAGTATTTTTGTTGAAATAACAATTGTCTGTGTTTGAAATAGAAGAACTGCCAGAGGGTGAGTACTAAGTATTGTGTGGGAGGATGGGATTGATTATTAAGGAATGGTACTTTCCATCCAAATGCAATGTGCTTTTTAGTGATGTCTAGCACACTTGTGTATTTCTATTACTTGGAAATCTCTGTTGTAATGTCTTCTGACATGTTTGTAGGTTCAGTACAAAGAGCAGCTCTGCAAAGCTACACCTGTGAGTGTCACCCCTGAGATGGAAAGAGTCAAGAGGAATCAAGAGAATGTCAGCATGGGAAGTTGCTATCCTTTATACTTTGTATAATTTTTGGGTGTAGAAGATGAATACAAAGTTCTGCTTTCTGAAATAGTGCCTTTAGTTGGGGGAAAACTACTGTATTGTAACGTGTTTGAATTCAAGTAATGGAATTACTTGAAAATCTTCTCTCAGGAAGCAGTTGTGACAAGGCTTTTCTTGCATTGGGAAATGGCAGGTGAACCATCACATATTCTATTAAAGAAATGGCTGCAATGCTTTGAGATGTTATTCTCTTCCTTGGATATTTGCAGAAAATCTTGATTTTTTTTTTTTTTAACAGAATATCTGTTTCCAGTTTTATTTTTCTTTGCTTTGTGAAAAATTAGCTACAGTTGTGCTCAAACTTCTGCTCTCTTACCTGTCTCTCTGGTTCCTCATAACCTCCCCATCAGAATTTAGTATTTAATTGCTGGATAACCATTTGCAGGGACACAGAGGAGAAGGCAAGGACTGGAGCAAGCTACTGCCTTCCTGCACTGATGGAGTTGTACCCTCTTGAAGAGTCCATGAGAGACCAGGCACTCTCCTCACTGAGAGCTGCCATCAACAGCTGTGGGTCATGGGTCCACAAATAGCTGCAGTGTTTCCCTAGGGTGCATTCACCAAAATAATTTTGAGTCACAATTTTCAAGAATTCTGCCCCTCTAACTCAGCATCTGGATTACTGTTGATATATCTGGCTTTCCTAAAATGCATTCTGTTCAAAAACTGCTTTCCTCTTTTTCAAGCCAGTCTATGTAGTATTTCTTCTCACACTGTTGTTTACTCTTCACCGACTTTCCTGTTGTGAAGATTTCACTGGGAAAGTTTAAATTCTTTTCAAGTCACTGGAATAGTTTTGAGTGAAGAGTCTTTCACTTCAGCCATTTCTAGAAACATTAATTCTTGAATAGTTCTTTTACCTTCATAAATGTTAATTTGAAAGTCTAATCCGTTTAAAAGCTTACCATCATTTTAGTAAGACATTAATTTTTCAATTGGAATACATTGATGTGGACAGACCAAAATTGTGTTGTTCTGGAAGACAATTGCTTAAGCAATAGTTGCCTTACTGCCACAGTGCACTGCAGAATTATGAGCATAATGTATCTGCACAGTTAACCTTATCAGTTAAACCCAAGTGCTTCCTTTTGTACTGAAGCATTTATTTTGCATAAAAATATATGAATTGGTATTAATTTGTTGCCAGGGTCTGTTACTAAATATTTACCATATCTGACTTCCCAGCATGTGGGACTAGAGTTAATGTTAGATTGCTTGGTCTGTCAATGCCACATCCTGTCCTGATCTGCTTTAGATCCTGATCTAGCTTTGGGTGTGCATTTGGTTAATGCATTGCATTTGGTTACAAAGTGATGAAGGGGATATTCCTACAGTACATTTAAATAAATGCATGGTGAAATTAGGCTGTATTCAACTGGCCGTTGTCTGATGTACTGCACCCTGTGTTTAATCACCTTTGAATATGTCATGTATAAAATCTAGAACCTAGATAGAGACCTTATGGAATTTTTGTGTCTTGACAAATATGTATTTACAGTGGACCTTCCTGAAATTCAGTTTTTCATATGCTCTGCTTGCCTTTACTGCATTATGTGTGGCTTAACCCCATTCCAAATATGAATTATTTCTCTGTAGAGCCAAGGACCAGTCTGGTAAATGCCAAGCTATTGTGTGCACAGAAATGCATTAATAAACAGCCTGTACGTAAAAAAAACCAACCAAAAAAAAAAAATCAATGTTATCTTTCAAAAATCAAGTTTTATAACTTAAATAAACTTTAGATGCATTTTAGCTTTTCAGTTGTTTCCTGGGTGACCTTTGAAATAATGCATTTTTATATAAAACAAAGATATATTGCTATATCTGAAATAGTATGAATATATATTTCATTCTGTTAAATAATAGGTTCACTACAGAGAGCAGCCTGGCAAAGCTACTGCTGTGAGTGTCACTCCTGAGATGGAGAGAGTCAGGAAGAATCAAGATAATATCAGCTCGGCAAGTTGTTTGAATCTTTTTGTCATTCAGAGTTTTCAGTTGCTGTAGAAATATAAACATGGGTATGCTTTTCCTTTTACATTTGCTATGTCAAAGAAATACAGCTGCATCATTCACTGATGAGATATTAGTTTTATTCTTTGAGGACATGGACTGCATATATGTGCAAAAAACATATTCAGGGTTGTCTGGTTATTTTTGCAAAAAATGTAAGTGGTTGTGTTGATGTCAGTATTTTTTGAGGAGAGAGTCAGTAGAGGTCAGTCATTCTTTGCAGTAAAGAAAAAAAGGAAATGAGAATTTAACCTCAGTGCAAATGTTTGAGGTTTTTTTTTTGTGATTCAAAGCATGGAAGTGTCCATTCCATTCTGTGACATGCCACCTCTGTTAGATCTGAGTAGTTCTAAATAGGTCCCACTGCTAAATACTAAAGAGTAAGGTAATATCTATTTCTTGGCTTATATGGTAATAAAATGTAATTGCTACTAAAGTAGAATAAGAGGCAGGAGACAATTCTATTGAGGAACAAGGAAGAAGTGCAAAAAACCTGATGAAGTAAAGGATAAGACCAGTTATATTGCAGTCTGTCCTCAAGACTGAAACAACATCTGTGGCAAAGTCACTGCAGATGGTAAATAGAAGAGCTTTCATGCAGAATCACTGTGGCAGAAGAGAATTATAAGTCATGATCATTTGAGAACTGAGTGTAGGAGTGAAAAGTTGGTTGGATTTGTCAGGGAATATGTCCAAGGACAAAGGAATGGAATCTGACATTATAACTGCATATATCTTAATCATGTTCTTAAAATGCTCATGAATATTTACCAAAGTCAATTATTCTTGAGGTGTGTAGTTGGAAGTAAGAGGAAAATGTCACAACAGTTCTAGTCTTTAATTTTTTTTTAATTCGTGAAAATTTCATGTGTTTCACCAAGTCACTCAAGCTGTTGCTGTTTTACAGGGATAAAAACTCTATGTTAATGAGAAAGATAAAAATCAACCTATGTTGACTGTAATTATTCTGTCCAGAAAATGCCTTATATTGAAAAGCATATGTAGCTGAATATATTTTCTAAGAGAATTTACTGTTTAATTAAGAAGGCTTTGAAGAATATGCAGTACCATATATTTTTGTTTCTCATACATTACTTCAAATTTACCTATGAAACACAGACACCAAGATATATAGTTTCATGGGTATGCTTTCTTAGCCAATATATAATCTTAAGGAGGATTGGACAGTTTCAATACATGGTTTTTCTCATCACAAACGCATGTTGAAATAGATTTGCATAACTTATATGAGAAGTAATACTTGAAATGTGAATACACAGGTAAATCTAAAATATTAAATAACACAGCACACAGGTTATGGTGCGATGTAGAAGCTGAGAGAGGCCATTGGTAGAAGAATTCAACAAGATAGAAAAAACTATTAGAGTACTCACTCCTGTACCAATACGTAGGATCGGCTACTTTCACTATTTTAGAATTTTGAGTGGGTTTTTTTCTTCTTTTTAACAGATAATTAACTTTATATCTTTACTAGTCTCTAAAATGCCACAAAATAAGCTAATCAGGAGAAATGTGAGGTAAAAGATTCAGTACTTACTGATTCACAAAACCCAGAGCCCAAATATTTGTTTAGGAAACAAAATATTCAGATTCTTCCCAGACATGTTGCTTTGTCCTGCTAGTAAAGACTGGCTATTGAATGGGGGTTATAAACCTTCCAAAGGATTAATCCTCTTGTAGGACTTGAATTCCCTGGGCTTCTCAGGTAATGCCAATCCCACAGACTCTGTGTCTTAGTAATAAGAAGGTTGTTTATCATTAGCCATACAAACATTTTTTAAGGATGTTCTAAGTCATGGTGGTGTTTTCTTAGCATTTATCTTATTTTTCAGTTGATCATTAATGATTTCACTTACATCAAACAGTCACAGATTTCAGCTTTTAAATCAATACTTTATTTTGAATAAGTGATTGATGGAATAAATGTGCCTTTTGGCCTTACCAATATACAAGCTCATCTCTATCTTCACTGTGAAATAATTTACTGCCACATGAGTGTAAAGAAAGAAGAGAGCTGTTGGGCACTGTGGTTTGGAAAGGTACTGTTGCATGGTGTGATTCTCACCATCCTTCCTACTGTAAACAAAAAAATTCACCGGTGCTGTTGTTGCTGTTTTGCAGGTGAAGTACAGCAGTGATCAGAGGCAGATGAAAGGTAGACGTAGTGTGCTTCTAGACACACCTGAGCTAAGGCATGTCAAAGAAACACAAAACAACATCTCAATGGTAGGGTACTTTCTTCCTGTGACTAGAGCATTCTAAGGAATGGCACTTGACTTCCACTGGATTTTGCCTTCCATTAATATAGGTAACTAATGGAACTCTCTCCTCAGGTATGGAAGGAATATTTTCTTCTTACGCCTGTAGAGGGAGTGTTTGCTAACTGCATAGGAGTGTAATGAACATTTTCAAAATACTAATAAACAGTTTTCTAACAGTTAAATGTCTGTTCTTTTTTTTTTTTTTCCCCTTTAAAAATGTACACACATCATTTGAGCATCACAATTTCACTGGATGAGGTGACACACTTCACCTTGTGCCTGTGCATGTTCCCGGTTTCTGTGTGACTTTGGTTCTTGGAATGAGTTGTTTTGTGTGCATCAGCTTGTGTGAGAATGTTTGTCAATTTAATTAATGGATGATTAAGTTATTTATAATGTAAATATGCATAAGCAGCAGTACTACCTTTACTACTCTTACTAATACTGGGGTTTTGTTCCAACACTTAGTGCCGTAACACTTTCTACTCTAATGTCCTTTTTTCTAATATTTTCTTTTAAAGCAGGCAGTTTAGAATAACTGTTATTCTTTATAAAAACTTATTTTTAAAGCCAGCTGACATATGATAAAACAAAAGAGCAAAATAGAGCAAAATATACATTTTGTATGATACTGTGCAAGTAGTCAAAATTATCAGGGAATGAAAATGCTTGAGTTCTTTAGAACTACTACTGCTGGAATATTTTTAGTGACAGATATATTTGTCTGCATCAGTAGACAGCTATCCTGTCTTAGAGAAGAAGGGAATGTATTAGATGATCTCCTGAGGGAAGGTCTGTTTTGTGTCCTGTGTCATAGTAAGATGATGCTTTGCTGCTTAAGCTAGTGCCTAATTCAGTGTCAATGGAAAAGAAATGCAAAATTGATAATAAAATATCAGAACAATTAGTTAAAGTGATAGAAAATACTTGGCTGGCCATCCAGCCTATCTCATGTGTATGACAATTCTGTTATGGTGCAAAGTCAAAGTATATAAGTGCTTGATAGACCAAAGATCTATGCATTCCTGCACAGAATAGCCATTTGCTGCCAATTGAAACCTGGGGAAAAATGTAATTCTCCTTGTTTTCCTAGGTAAAATATCATGAAGATTTTGAGAAGACAAAGGGCAGAGGCTTCACCCCAGTGGTAGATGATCCTATAACAGAGCGTGTACGAAAAAACACCCAAATTGTCAGTGATGCAGCATATAAAGGTGTGCATCCACATATTGTTGAAATGGATAGAAGACCTGGAATAATTGTTGGTAAGCTGTTAAATACTGTTGTCATTGAAGGCATTCTGGGGAAGATAAACCCCCTGTTTATGCTCTCCAGATTCCATTTTCTCTCGTTTTTCACCATGAAACTTATGGTTGAACTACAGGTTCTGTCTCGGCTTCTAGACAAGTCATAATGGTAATGAATGGGAGATACATTGTCATTTGCTCTATAATTTAAAAAAAAAAAATATATATGGATAGCTGTTACTATTACTTTAAACTTGAATTTTGACTCTAAAAGGAATGTCAGAATATGTACAATCTTAATTTTACACAGAAGAAAGATGATTAAAACTGATTCTGCAAGCTATCAACGTTTAAATTTTGCAGGCCAGTTTGAAATTTCCCATTCTGTCAGTCAGTAATTTCTTCAGAATTGCATATATCTATTTACCTTGTGTTTCACAAGTTCACACAGCTTTAAAAATATCTCAGGCTGTAATTCATTACTAACTCTGGTAAGCCAATTACCAGTGTTGAGAAGTGATGTTCTGAAAGATGGCTCAAGATAAGGATGAGTGTTCAAGGGATGGAATATAGATTAGATTTATATGTAAAGACAAGGTATTGCATAAAGGTATTATTTGGCATAACCATAATGAACGCTTTTTAAAAATTGAAATGGATATTTGAAATTGCTGAAAAGTCAGCAAGTCTGCTACGGCAAAGGAAACAGTAATATATTTTTCTTCTCATTTCCTTTTTGTTTTGGTGTGTCCCATTTCTGTTTTTCTGTGCTTTGCAGCCATGTAGACCCCAGAGGATCTGCATACAAAAAAAACATACTGACATAGCACTCTAAAATTCTTCATATATAGTGATAGCAGTGAGGCTGACTTTAAGTTTGCATCTCAAAACCCAGAGAAATTGCAGGTGAAATGGACTGACACATAGGCCACCCTCCTGCCTAAAGCAAGGTTAACTATGTTTTTCCTGGCATATGCTTTTTCAGTCTGTTCCTTAAAGTCTCCAAGCAAGTCTCTCCCACATAATGAAGTATATTTCTTTCCTTTTTTGTTGCCACCCTTTAAATGTCTGTAGCTATGGTAGCCTTATATGAGAAGAGGTTTCCCAAAAGTGTGTGTTAAGAGAGCTCTGCCTGGGGCAGGTGCTGATGGTTGTCCATCACTGCTCACTTTCATAGTTGTGGTGCAGCCAAAGAAAAAGAAAAAGGCTTCTGTAAAATTGCAGTGTGACATTCAGTTTGTGATTTGCTCTTTAGTGTATGCTACAAGCCTCCTGCTCTCTGCTGCGTTGCATGTGTGCCGTAGCCTTGTGTAAGAACCATGTGTGCAATCCCACATTCAGCAGCTGAAGCCTTGCTAGCACAAACAGGTTGGAATGAAGGACATTCCTGAGATAGATTCTTGAGCTGTAAGAACTGAAATACATAGTATTATTTATCACATAAAAATACTCCAGTATCAAAACGAAGAAATTCTTAATTTCCCATGCCTGCCAAACTGCAAAAATTGTACAACTATTTAGAAGAAAAAGGCCATGACTATTTCAGCTAACGCTTTTTTTGTAATAAAATTGCAATTATAATATCTACTTGTTTAAAAAGAAGCAGTGAGCTCCCTGCTCGTGAAATGTCCTTGGCAGCTCAAAAATAATCTGTAAACTGAAAAATGTACTTAGGACTCTCGTGAGTATTTTTTGTAGCTATAAATTGTTCAGCCAGTTAGGAAAAGTGTGTCAGAATCCCTCTGGTTATTTTTAATGTATTATTGGTGAAGCTAGAGCTACTCTTTCAAATGCTTGGCTACTAAAATTAATGACACTGCTCTGGCAACTAGACACTAGTTTTAATCCTACTAAGCCATTCTAAACCATCAAGATAAGTTGATGTTGGTGAGCTTTGGATCTGTTGCTAAAGAGAAACCACAATTCTCATATGAATATAAGGTTATTTTACCTTGGCAAAAGGTACCAGGGAATTAAAATTGATTTGTGTTATATATTGCCAAGATTCTGATTCTATGCATGTTATTTCAGATTAGAGAGATGGATAAAATCAATACAAATCAATGACTCTTGCACTGGTGTTGCCATGAAGCCATACGTACATTTTCACTTACTGAGGCATGCTCAAACAGGACAAGTTGCACGTTTGCCAATTCCCCTTCCCCTTCTCATGCCTATCAGTACTTTATGTTGGTGCATAATTTATCTCCATTAGGAATAACACATAGTTTATCAAAAGATTTTGCATTGGCTTTAATTTATCTTGGCAGGAAGGAGTTAGCACTATGCCTCACCTTATGGGAGTTGTGGTAGATTATGTGTAATGTTCATACACTGAATGTATTCTAAAGCCGTGGGATTTATTTTGTTAGCTCTGTCTGTTCTTTCCATGGCATCTAGGCTATTAATCATTTGAAACATGAAATATTTGGGTCCTCACAGTCCTACTTTACGTACAACCCATTAGTTAGCTTGGTACCTCTCAAACCAGCAAAAGAAGAGCTGGGAAGACAGATTTTTCCTACTTCCAATATATGGAGTAAGTCTTGCAGCCAGGTCTGCCCAAGAAGAAACTATAGTAAAAAATGTGTGATCTGGTAGGTTTGTGCTTTGACACAAATTTTGTATTTTACATCAAGGTTTTAGTTGAAACTGGTTTGAAGAGATTAAAATATTTATTAATTTTAGACATATCAGGTATCATATAATCATTTAGATTGGCAAAGACCATTAGGACCATCAAATGTTACCATTAACCCAGGTCTGTCAAGCCCACCACAAAACCATGTCCTTAAGCATCGTGTCAACACATATTTTAAATATCTCCAGAGATGTTAACTTTGCCACTTCCCTGGGCAGCCTGTTCCAGTGCTTTGACATCCCTTTCAGTGAAGAATCTTTTCCTAATATCCAGTATATATGCCTCCCCTGGCACACCTGGGGCCATTTTCTCACATCCTGTCAATTGTTATGTGGGAGAAGAGACCTATTCCCACATCACTACAACCTTCTTTCAGGCAGTTGTAGATAATGACAAGGTTGCCCTGAGCCTCTTTTTCTCCAGGCTAAACACCCCCGGCTGCCTCAGCTTCTCCTCATCAGATTTGTGCTCTAGATGCTCCATTTCCCTTCTCTGGATTCTCTCCAGCACCTCAATGTCCTTTTGGAATTGAGGGGCCCAGGACTGAACCCAGGATTTGAGGTGTGGCCTCAGCAGTGCTGAGTACAGGGGGATGGTCACTGCCCTGGTGCTGCTGGCCACTTTGGTGCTGATCCAGGCCAGGATGCCATTGGCCTCTTGGTCCCCTGGGCACACATTGACACAGAGAATTACTTGTTAAGTTCAAGAGTGGATGTAATTTTATCCTATGGTAGATGTGTGCAATGCAGATTTATACAGCTGAATTTGTCACCTTAGTTAATTTTTTTTTATATTAATTAAGAAAGATAGATACTTTTGAGTTTAAATTAATTAAGCAATTAGTAGAAATATATTTTGGATGAGCTATGGCCCTGATTCTTCTTATGCTGACATGATGTGTGCTGTATTCAAAGGAGAGTCTGTAGTGTCTGTGTCAGCAGCGGAGCTGTGTGCTGCCGACTGGCAGCTATAGGGATATACACTGCAGCACCTCCACACAAAAGGATGCTGCTGGTGAACTGGGGAAATAATCTTATACCTCTGGTGATTTCGGTTCTGCTCCTGGAAGAGACCTCTAATATGTTTATTTAGACTTAAGAACATACTAAGGTCATGTTTAGAATATGCAGAAAAATTATGAGCAAAAGTCTCCTTTAACTAATGTTAGTGCTTAAAATGAATACACCAGGTTATTTTAAGCAGGAAATTGAGCTTTCTGATCTCTTCAGGTGAATATCTAGGTATTTTGGTTAATTTCTAGATGAAAGCAATTGAATGCTGATTGTTAAAGCTCATTCCTTTCATGCTTTTACTTCCTTTGTTGTTTGTCTGTCTTATACGTTCTGTGCTTTGGAAAAAGATCTTAAAGTTTGGCGCACAGATCCCGGCTCCATCTTCGACATTGATCCTCTGGAGGACAATATTCAGTCTAGGAGTCTGCATATGCTTTCTGGTATTGCTTATATCCTGACTTTTCCCCAATTCAGCTTTTCATGTTTGTGAAACTAAGCTGATACTGTAAATTTTCAAGTCAATGTGCCAGCCATATGTTTTAGAAGCATACTTGCATATGTATTTATAACTGTTGTAGTTTAAAAGCAGTATTTTATAGGAACTTCAGCCATAATCACATGTGGAGATAAGAAATAGTGAAAGAAATCTTTTCTTAAACAAGGTTTTCATGCCACTTACAAGTAGCCATTTAAAAAGCATTGACCTACTTTGTCCTTCCTATAAGTAGAATTTTCAAATAGTTGGACCTTGTAAAATTTCAGAGTTATATAAAGTGGCCTATTTACAAAATCGATTTCTTTCCCGTGCACATTTTGCCTATATGGCACATAATATTATTCTTTGTTCAATTATTTGCAGCTCAAAGGTGTACATAATTTTAGGATACATTGCTTTCTTTAAGAAGAGAAAGCAATGTAATAACAGGGAGTGGGTTTTGGCTTTACAAGTTTATTGATACTTTCCCTGCATAGCAGTGTTTATTTTGAATGTTTAATTTTTCACATGCATTTCCTTTGCTACTTTGGAACTTTTAAATTTTCTTTTGAACAACATACAACTGTATTTCCACATGCTGGGATAAAGGAATAATTTGATTTTCCACTGGAAATTTTTGTATTCTTCATCCTTATCCCTTCCTTTTCTGGTATCTCAATACCACCTTCCATTTCTTCTATTCTTTTAAAGCAAAGAAAAAGCTTAGTTGTATTAGATTTTGAAGCACGCTTTGGAACCAACAATGCTCAAAATGGAAACAAAATTGCAAAGACTTGACTTTTCTCTAATTTTACAGCCATCAGTGTATGAATAGCAATGTTAGCAGTGGTAGGGTTTATGTTGTTGCTTGTCTTTGCACTTCCATAATCTATTTACTGTGATATTCTTTATTTCTTTCTACCTTTGTAGAAAGAGCAAGCCGTTACAGTAAGCAGTATTTACATTCTACCAGTCTGGGGGATTATAAATCAGATGGCTCTGACACGAACCCTACCTTTTCTTACTGCAGTGAGATAACAAGGCCATCTGATGAAGGAGGTACCCTTTATTCCCACCTTTTTCACTAACACCACTGTTGCAGTGTGTTGAGACTTCACAGGCCTGTATTAACTTCATATCCTTGTGTAGTCACAAGTAGAAACTTTGTAAGCTGTTGCCTGCTTGACAAAGGAAGTAAAGCAGAACTGTGCAGTTTCTGCGTGCCATACCATTCTATTGTGAATTCTCTTTCACAGTTTTGGTAATGCTGTTGGCTCCAAAGCCCTGTTAACTCCTGTTTACAGTGCTTTAAAGAAGGTGTGTTGTGTTTTTGCAAAATGTACATGAATCTGCCTTTTTTTTTTTTTTCCCTCTCAAATGACACAATGTAACTGAATGAAATACATCTTTAACCTGAAAAAAGCATATTTACCTTGGGCTTTTCAGTGGGTAAATCATTTATATAATAGTATTTTAGTGACTAAAGTACTATTTCCCATATTCAAATATGCAGGTTTTTATGGCTCTCTGTTTTGATATTTAAAAAAAATCCAAGGAATTTTATTGTGTTCTCTCTTTCTCACATAACTAAATTTTCTCATCCTGTCAGTGGCTTGAGGACCAAGGTTAACATTCAGCTGGGAAGTTTATGTAGTCTGTTATGATTTAACATGGAATAATATTAGAGTACTTTGACAAGTCTGCGTCCTCAGGTACAAACCCACATTGTGTACCTGTTTGATGCTGTTGATTAGAAGAAAATTTAGGAAAATAATGAATAAGGGTCTAGTCATCCTAGTGGTGTTACAGTATGCTCTAGACTTGACTGATGAATTGCAAATATTCTGAATCATTGTATTCTAAATAGATAATTTTAAAATAGTGATTTCTGCTTCTCAGTTGTGAAAAAAATGATGCATTGGAAAGATTATACAAAGGGTTACTTTTTTTTTTTCTTGTAAGAAATCAATTAATTGCTTACACAACATCAAACTACCCATGCTTTTAGAAGACTTTAAGGCATCTTAATTGTAAACTGCACTTGTTAATGTTTGCCCATTCACTGGAGTAATACTTTACTTGTGATGGTTGGTGCTTATGGAATCCCTTTTTATGGGTGCTGTGTAAATACAATCAAGCAGCTCTGATTAAGAATGGGTGAAGGAGAAGGTGTTCAGACTGAAGTGCTAACTCTGAACAAAGAAAGAAACACATATCTTTGACAGAAATGTACTGCCTTTTATCATATCTGGCTATCTTTATTTGGTATTTTGAATATATTTTCAACTATTTTAATAAATGATAGCAATGATGCACATTTGTGTTGTTTTTCTATTCTGATGGTGCAAAGTGGTCTTCACAGTCCAGTGCACATTGTTTGTCTATAGCTCTTCTGATCTTTTCTTTGGAAGTATTCCAAGCCATTCCAACATTGCTTTGTCAGCTTGACTTGATTTTTAACAGATATTTTTTACTACTTGAGAATGGAAATGGGCTTTATTTCCCTGGTTGTTCTGGCACTAGTAAGCTTGCTTTTTGTGGCTGTATTTGAATCTATTGTTATGGTGATGTCTTGAATAGATCCTTCCGAAGATCAACATATTTTAGCAAGAGATTGTTTCCATTTTAACCCAGCTGACAAGCCAGGATTTGAGCACTTGTAGACAGCTCCCATTGCAGGGAAGAAATAAGTGCCACAGCTAAGTAACTGAACATAATCCTAATGATTTACAAGAAAATGCCATTTCTGTGAAAACACTTAGAGAGAGCTAGCAGAAGATAGCATCTTTGGCCAAAAATGCTAATCTTTTTCATCCCATTCAAAGGTTATTTTGCACATAGCCACATGACAAGTTTGCCCATGACCTTTATACAATGTCTCTTATACCATAAATGGGAACCAAATCTATTTTGGTGAGATTCCATGGCTGTTTCTCATGGAGCTAGTACTCTTAGATCAGCAGAGTTTCTCATTGGCCATTGTTCTGTTTGATGGTGTGCCAACATGAAAGACAGTTGGAGACCTGTAACCAATTTTACAATCTCTGAGTGTCTTTGGCCTTGTCTCATCATATTTCACATATTCCTACATTGTTCAATTGCTACTTTATTTTAGATACCTTTACTGATACTTGACACATAATTCAAATCCTTGCCTGCCACAGCTGATATAATTATTCCTTATCTACCTCTTCCCAGCCCTTAGCTGGGTCTCTGACTTCGTACCAGATGTTAAAGGCTTATTCAGATCTAAATAACTCTCTCTCCTCTTGGGGAATTTCAGTAATAACATCACAGAGAAGCTACTAACATTGTTCATTAGAATGACTTCTTTCTATTTTGGTTCCTGACTGTTACTTTAGATTATGATGTTGAGTTTAACCATGTGTCCTTCTCTACAAAATCAGTAGATTTTTGTGTGATGGAAGTCCAGAAAATTCCCTGTTAGAATATTTTAGAGTATTGTTGATAAAATTCAATGGGAAACAACTTTTAACACTTTTCAGCAAGCTGGTGCAGTTTATGGACTTTCATTTTATTCATATTTTTGAAATTACTTTTCAACTTTGTGAGTAATTATTTTCAACTTGGCTAAAAAGGATTAGAAATTAATGATTTCTCTCTTTTAGTCCTGCTTTTAACAGTGATGTTGCAACTTCTCAGGCATGGAACCCTTTACTTTTGGAAGGGTTTTTCAGATTTTTTTCTTCAGAAAGAGTTGTTGAGATATATGGCTGTCAGATTTATTTTTGCTTATAAAGACAGACCAGGCAGTTTTTTCTTCACAGAACACTAGGAAAAAGCAGCAAAGTTCTGAAGTGTAGGTCTCTCTTGACAGCATTCGGTCTGAAAAATACCTCAACTGTTGTGTTTTGGGTTTTATTTAGATTCTTTATATAAAAAGTCTTTTCTGTCTGTTCTGTTTTTTTCCGTGCAGCCTTGTACAGTGGTTTTCTCCTAGTTCTTTCCACACTCACTCTCTTGCTCCCCTTCCTTCCCTTTGAGTAAGGTTCTGCTCTGTTAGTTTGCATTCAGGCTCCAGGAAAGAATGATTTGGTTAAATTGTATGGCTCAACACCTCTGCCGATCTGGCACAATTTTGGAAAGTTTATAGTTGAAACCTTCAGGGCTGGTTTTATCCTCTTTTGTATTTGACCTTTCCTTTTTTTTTAATTTTTTTTTCTTTGATTTCCTCTTAATGTCTAGTTTGCGTGCACATTTTTTTTTTTATTTTCTTGATACACACCTTTGTCTAGGTGTGTATCAGCATATTGACATGATACATAAATGTTTTCCTTACCACAGGTTCAGACTTTTTCAGTATAAGTGACCATTTATTTTTATTTTAGATTGTGTGTAGTCTGTAGATGGAGAAAAATAAGAGCTGACTATCAGTTAATTTTCAGGTATGAATATATTGTTACTCTGGTGAGGAAGAAACATGGTTTCTTGGTTATTTTCAATGTCATCGTCATATTATCTTAAAAGATACATAGAAATCAGTCTGTAGGAAACAGAAACCAGTTTTGCAGTACTCCCAAAAACACATGTAATGTAGGAAGCCTTAGTGGATATTAGGACAGAATTTTCAAGGGCCTTTTGTTGTGTTTTAAATGTGAGTGCTGAAATGTCGTGTTTTTGGCTGGAGCCAGCACGTTACCGGTTTGCTGCATGCATGCTATTTTCACTTGACTCCTTTAGCCAGGTTTTTCAGGCTCAATTCACCTGCTGCCACCAGACAAGTAGTGAGCATACAGGACCCTTGATATGAGTCTTAAGTTCTCCCTTTCTTTTTTTTTAATGAGAACAGTCTGGCAGCAACATGCAGGTCTCTATCTTTGCCTGGTTAGGTATCTTCTTTTACTTACACTGGCAATCCAAATACACAGGTTTCAAGAAACCACTTATTTTGTTACCTGCTTTAAAAGTAACCTGTAAATTGCTGTGAGAAAACTGAAATTTTTTCTTAAATACTTCATTGATATTACATAACAAAAAAGCAACCCACAAACAATTGGTACAAACAACCTCTGAAGAATAAATACAAGCAAATGGGCATTGCTGTCACTATGACTCCAAAGTCGATGAAGACTGAAGAGAACACAATGCTGCAGTCTCTTTCTTAAAGTTTTGAAGTCTTTATCTGGCTTGGAATGGAAGTTTAATCAATGAGAAACAGTAAGTCCTTTTATCTCTCTCCCCAGTGACATGTCATCATTGCGTAATATGAACCTTCTGAAGAAGAAAGGCTCCAGAACAGCTGAGTCTGCTCCCCTCCCTTCCTTCAGACTCCAGGGGTTATCTTCCTCCTTTCCTCACTGAGGCAGGAGCTTATTTGAAGGCCATTAGAAGAACTGCTGTTAGAGCTGCAGTGTGAACACAGCCCTGCTAAGAGCAAACACAGACCTTGGGTAGTGTTGTGTGTCACTGTCAGCAGCCTTGTTCTGTGTACCAGCTCAAGGAGAGGCCTTTTATTCCTCAGCCCAACACTGACATTTTAAACGTTAATTTCAAGGATGTCTCCTTCACTTCCCCCAGCACACACCAATATCTGTAACTCTGTATGTAAAATGACTGTTTGTAGGATTTGCCTGAGGCTTTGACACACACATGTATATGCCACAGAAAATCCTAGAACAAGGAACTTTGCTGTTCCTTCTACTCCTGGTTAGTCTGGACAGAAGACTACAAACTACTCAGATAAAATAGAGAAAATCCCTCTTTATTTCACACATTGGTATTGCAGATGTTTCCCAGTATGAAGCCAAGGAGTCTCTTTGCATTGGGATAGTGGTCATAACTCTTCTCCTGTGCCAAGAGCTGAACGAAGAAGTGGAACAAAAACTTGAAAATCCCTTCCTTGATCTGTTCTTCCCATAAATTTTTATAAAAAACCCTCTGGTTTTGAGGTTGGGAAAAATCACCATTAGTAAAAGACAAGTTGAAGAAAAAAAGAGGGAACAATATCTTGCTGCTCGTTATGTTGTAATGGAGAGATCTGTCTTCCATGTCCAGGTTCAGGTGTCAGGAGTACAGGGCAGGAATCCTTCACTCTTCTT